AGAGGAGCAGAAGAAAGTACTAATTTTGGAATCGATCGACGAAATACATGCAGAAATGGGGATCTAGGGTTTCTTTGGTGCGAATGCTGAAACTGCGAATGAACAAGAAGAAAAACAAGGAGAAGAATGATTTGGGGGGAAATGTGACCGTTGAGGCTTTCTGGACGCGCTCTCCGTAACGGCTAGTCTCTGTGGTTTTTTTTTTTTTTTTGTTTCCTTTTTTAGTAAATTTGAAATAAGACGTATTAAAAATATAATTAAGAGAAATTGCAAAGTAAACCGAATTAAAATTAAATTAAATTAGATACATATGGATTTAATTCTACGACTGAACCAAGATTAAAATAAACCAAAGCAAACCCCATTTTCTCTAGTTTCAAATTATACGGTTAATAAAAATTTGGAGAAGATTACAGAATTAAAAAAATGGGTAATTTCGAATACTAAAGTTTTATAAAAATGATTTAAAAACAAAAGTTCACATAAAATTTACGAATATTATTCTGAAAAGTTTTATTTTAAAAGAAAAAAGATAACTCGTGAGTCGTGCGGGGATCCCAATTTAATACCTACGTAAAGTGGAGCGAACAGTGAGTCACGAGTTAAATGAATATCTAACCCTACGAAACAAGTGCTTTGTTGAACCAGTAAGGAAAAAAAAAGGCTCCTTGATAGTGTGATTCAATTAGAGCTATAATTATTAAAATTATATCATATTCTATTCACTAAACCTAGGTCTATTAATTACTTTAAATATGTTTGAAAAATAATATAATATCTGGTTTTTAAAACATTGGAATCCATCGTCATAATATTTTCAAACGGAATAAACAAAACTTGGTTGGTCTGTATATTATTATTTATTTATAAACAAATAGTTTCACACACACACACACACATATATATATATATATATATGTGAAGCGTGAGAAGCACTTCAGAAAGCTTTGCCTGAATTTTCAAGCAAAGCGTTTGTTTGTTTTTTTATATAATTATTTTGCCCTCCAAATCCCATCATTAAGTTATTGACATAAATTATCGAATTTTGTGTACCAATTTATGGTAATTTTTATAATAAAAATATACGAAAGTCAAAAGGACTATTAATCCCATTTAACTAATAGGACATTTTCTGATATTAACCGAGATGAAATGAACCCATGCATACAGCTTCTTTGAATCTTTTATATGCCTCAATATATACACACACATATGTGTGTATATATATATATGTTAAAAAGTTAAAAAAATTATACGCTATCCTTGTCTATTTTTTTTCTATGGGGGTTGAAGTATCACATTTTTCTAGAAAATAAAAACTGATTTATCACTTAAAGAAGTACGAAATCCAACAAATGAGTAATATATATATATATATATATATATATATATATGTATGTATAACTTTGCTTAAACTCCAAAGGAACCTCCATGCATATAATTTATGCTTTTAATATTAGGGCAAATATAGTAAAGTACATTGAAATTCGCATCTCGTTTGTGTGTATTACGCATACATACATTAATTATAAATTCCATATCAAAAGGGAAATCACAAAATATCGATGTATTTATGGTGATAATTATACAAATTTGTTTCTTGTTTGGTGTATTCATATAATGCTAAGATTTATGTAAATTTACGAAATTAAAATCAATAAACAACCAAAGATAATGATAAAATAATCGACCGACATAATTAGATGAAAATACTCTCCATATGGGTGAAACTATTAACAAGTATACGTAATTACGTACAGTGTACGTGTGCGTGTGTGTGTATTGCCGGTGGTCAAAATCAAAATCAAAATCCACGTCCTTGGTTTAATGTGTGTTAGTGTGCCGAATCCTGTGGGCCCCACGTTTTGTTTAATTAATTTTACTAACATAACCGAAGGAAGCTCCTTTTAATTTTAATTAATTAATTAAACCGCGTTATTTTTGACGGTTTCGGGGGCATTTTCGGAACCTCGTCACCTATATAAGCTCCTTACACCCTGCTATTGTTCTTCGCATTCCCGTCGCATTTCCATAATTTTCCCGCAAACGCAAATTCAGCTCGATTTCTCGTACGGGGAAGACGGTTGAGGTACGATTTAGCGTTTCATTTGTGTTGATCTGAGGTTTTCGACCTGATTGTGTGATGTTCGCTCGTTGATTTCGTCTCTATCTATTGTTCTTCGCTTCGATTTGGATTTCCTCCGTAGTTGTTCTTGCGTGTGTGTAGATTTCGATTTACATGTTTGCCCCTCTTTCGAATTTTGTATGCAATTGTTTTGCGAATTTGTTTAGTCGGTGTTTGTGATTCGGAAATCTTCTGCATTCGCCTTGATCTGTGTCGGTGGTTCACGCAAGTTTTTCCTTCATTCGCGTTTTTTCCCAATCCTTGAACTGGGTATGTTTTCATGCACCAGATCTGAGATTCTGATTCGAATGTCTTGCCGTTCGTTTAATTTTCATGCTAATTTTCTCTCCAAACGACTCACTATTAAGCGTGATCGGGAAAATTCTGCACTTGTATTTGCTATCTGGTTTGATCTGAACTAGTACCTTCACCTAACATTTCGTTTTTTTCCTCCTGATATTCCATTTGACGTGAGCGTAGGTTGTGTTGAATCTTCTAATTGTTATGTTACCGGATCTGAGATTTTGACTAAAAATTTCAAAGTTTTTTTCTTCCGTTGGTTAGTTCTCGTTAAGCGAACCCTTTGAATGCTTAAAAAAATCGCGTTTATGGGGGGCCAGTGATGGACAGAAGCTTTGAGTTAAGACTCGAGATTTTGCGTCGATCCGGTTTTTATGTTTTCAAGTCGGCTTTTTTTTTTTTTTACAATGCTTTTTATCAGATTTGAGATGTTGATCCGAAGTCCAGTTGTTTGTCACTGATGGATGCAGAATTCGTCCTGTTAGTTCTGGTTCGACGTGTCTAAGGTCGTTTATGCATTCATTTCAGTCAGATTGGTGATGTATCTGACTCCATTAACGGCTTTGGGTGTTTACATACAAAGACTTGTATTGAGGATGAAAAATTGCTAGTTCCATCTTTTGAGCCATTACTATGAACTACGTTTGGCATTGATGGGGATGTAAAATTGGCCTTCACATTGCTTTTTGGGCATGGCAAATTTGGTTTCTATACCGTCTTAGTAATTTTAGCTTGTTGTGCCTGAAAGATCTCAAATTGAGGCTTTCCAACAGCCTTTCTGGTCCGATTTTGGCCTTGACGGGTAAAAAATCCCTCATTTTTCCTTTGTTTTCAGGTTATCTATTAGCCAACCGAGATGGTGAAGATCTGCTGCATTGGAGCTGGGTACGTTGGTGGCCCAACTATGGCTGTCATTGCACTCAAGTGCCCTTCTGTTGAGGTAGCTGTTGTTGACATCTCTGTGCCCCGGATCAATGCCTGGAACAGCGATCAGCTCCCGATCTATGAGCCTGGCCTTGACGAAGTGGTCAGGCAGTGTCGTGGAAAGAACCTCTTCTTCAGCACCGATGTGGAGAAGCACGTGAGAGAGGCTGATATAGTCTTTGTTTCTGTCAACACCCCGACCAAGACACGTGGTCTGGGAGCTGGCAAAGCTGCCGACTTGACTTACTGGGAGAGCGCAGCACGCATGATCGCCGATGTTTCGGTATCTGACAAGATAGTGGTTGAGAAGTCAACCGTCCCTGTCAAGACAGCAGAGGCCATCGAGAAGATTCTGACCCACAACAGCAAGGGAATCAAATTCCAGATCCTCTCCAACCCAGAGTTCCTTGCTGAAGGAACTGCCATTGAAGATCTCTTCGAACCTGACCGTGTCCTTATTGGAGGTCGGGAAACCCCCGAAGGCCTTAAAGCCGTCCAAGCCCTGAAAAACGTCTATGCCCAGTGGGTTCCAGAAGAAAGAATCCTCACCACCAATCTCTGGTCAGCCGAGCTCTCGAAGCTTGCTGCCAATGCCTTCCTCGCCCAGAGGATATCATCCGTCAATGCCATGTCAGCGCTCTGTGAAGCAACTGGTGCCGATGTCACAGAGGTATCCTACGCTGTCGGTAAGGACTCTAGGATCGGGCCCAAGTTCTTGAACTCCAGTGTTGGATTTGGTGGATCATGCTTCCAGAAAGACATCCTCAACCTGGTCTACATCTGCGAATGCAACGGCCTCCCAGAGGTAGCCGAGTACTGGAAACAGGTCATCAAGATCAACGACTACCAGAAATCCCGGTTCGTGAACCGCATGGTCTCATCAATGTTCAACACGGTGGCCAACAAAAAGGTTGCCATCCTCGGGTTCGCCTTCAAGAAGGACACGGGTGACACGAGAGAGACTCCGGCCATCGACGTGTGCAAGGGTCTGTTAGGGGACAAGGCCCGTCTCAGCATCTACGACCCGCAGGTGACAGAGGAGCAGATCCAGAGAGACCTGACAATGAACAAGTTCGACTGGGACCACCCGCTCCACCTCCAACCCATGAGTCCCACCACTGTGAAGCAAGTCTCGGTCGTGTGGGACGCCTACACGGCCACGAAGGATGCCCACGGAGTATGCATCCTGACGGAGTGGGACGAGTTCAAGTCACTGGACTACCAACGGATCTACGAAAACATGCAGAAACCGGCCTTCATATTCGACGGGAGGAACATAGTGGAGGCGGAGAAGCTGAGGAAGATAGGGTTCATCGTCTACTCCATCGGCAAGCCACTCGACCAGTGGCTCAAGGACATGCCTGCTCTCGCCTAGACCCTCTTCATTCTTTTGGCCCGAGTTCCCCTCCTCGGAATTCCCCCTTTTTTTTTTTTTGGTTTGGTTAATCTTTGATCAATAATCGTCGCCTTTGTTTTGAAATCACAGCATATTTCCTTACTTAATCAATTATGATCAGAACTTTAGGCCCTTTTTTTTTAGTTGCTAATTATGTTGTACTTGGAGAGGATATTGTAAGCTTTTTCCATACAAGTTTCATTTGCCATGAACAATTAATTACCCTTTGCAACCTTTTTTTTTTGTTCCTTAATTATTCAATCTGTCTCTTGATGAAATCATCAGCAAGCTTCAATCTTTTCACAATGGCATTTTCTCGGGAAAGTGGTGGGAAAGCTGAGATCTTTTTTCCTTCCTTGTTCCTCAAGAAATATTCCATCTCTCTCGCACGAGACCCTCCATTGTCACCTTCACCTTCACCACAGCAAATGCCATTTTCTTAGCTTTTCTCTGGTTCTCTTCGTATCTCCCATGTCTCTTGGTAAACATGTATCAGATATAATTCCATAATATTTAAAACTTTCCCTTTTTACCCTTTTCGCGTGTCTTCCGTGTCGGTCGGTCGGTCCTTGTAATCGATTTAAATATTATTATCAAAATAGTTACTTAGGAATAGGTTCGGTTTCCTGAAATTTTTGCAATGGTGACAGTTCGCCTACCTCTACCCAAATTTATTTCCGTCGTCTGATTCTTAAATCAGGACACTGCACCGATTGCTGACTTGTAAATCCGTACAAATCATCGCGTTTATCACAAACAATAGTTACAATTTCATAGAGGTACCGTAAAATAAAGTAAAACAGTAAATGTAAAAGGAGAAGGTGATTTGTTGATGTTATTATTATAAATGTTAACCAAAAATGCGTTGATGAACCAAAGAGAGAAGGGGGCTTGGCCATTCAAAGAATAAAGGGGAAAAAAAAAAATCTATAATTAGCCCTACAGAAACAAACCCTAAACTCAAGGTCAAAACACCAATCCCAAACACGGTTTATACTTTATGGCCCTTGACCTTTCACGGTAATTCCCCAATTAATTAATTAATTAATTTCTCGATTTATATAATTAAGATCTTCAACTAATTATTTTTTTTTGGCGATTTTTTTTAAGATCCACCGGCGAAATGGCTCTTGATTTTTTTTTCCCTCACTCAATTTGTTTTTCTGTTTTTTCCTCCTCCTTCCCCTCCTCCTCTTCTCTTACAAGCTCCTTGATTTTTCCTTGATCCGTGCGACTACTCTGTAACGCTTGCTTGAAACAGAAATTTGGTGCGGACCCGTTTGGATTCTCCGTATTCAACAGTTGGAAGAAATCCGGAAAGACGGCGGGAATCTCAAATTTGGATCCTTTTTGGTGGTCCAAATTCCAATGCGGTCTGTGGGAAGACCACAGAGAAGAAGACGGAGAGCGATAAGGAACGGAACAAGGACGGATTTGGGAGACACCCAGAAGGCTACATCGAGAATCGAGAGGCAATCGGGATCGAGGGAGCGGAATCGCATCGGATCTGATGTTGGGTCGGGGATTGGCTGCGGGAATAGGAATTAAGGTTTCGTTTCGATCGCAGCTGTTCTTGTTGTTGGTGGGGCTGCACGATCAAGGATGCATCTTCACATATCGCCTAGCATGAGAAGCATCACGATATCGAGCAGCAATGAGTTTATTGACTTGATGAAGATCAAAGTCGCAGCTCGTCACATCTCTTATCGAACCCTTTTCCACACCATCCTAATCCTTGCTTTCTTGTTGCCCTTCGTCTTCATCCTAACTGCCGTCGTTACACTTGAGGGTGTCAACAAGTGCTCCTCCATTGGTAACCTTTTCTCTTCCATCATTCTCTACTTCTGCACTGATTCCTTGTGTTATACATCTTAACTGGTTCGGATCTTGACCCTTTTTTTTTATGCCGATTTCATTGTTATGGGGAGTTTCGTTGAATGAGGAACTGAAATGGCCATTTTTGGTTGTGTTTGAGCGAGCTAAGTTTGGGGCTTTCTAAGCCGCGAGATGACCAGGATCTGCATTTCTCCATATGTCTTTCATCTTTGTTCCAATTCCTTCTAGCTTCTTGTTAGATTGGTGGAATCCGATGTCAACAAAGTTTCCGAAATTTTTGTTCTTGCTAGGAAATTTGAAGCTGTTTTCTTGCTAGAAAATTTGAACTAAATCACCCCATTATTGTCTTTGCTCTAAGCTATCTGAATATGCTTCCTTTCTGTAGTCTTATGATCTTAATTTGTAATAACACATTTGATTCACACAATCCAGTTTTTGTAGACGTCAAGTTCAGATTTAAAGGGTAATGTCGTTTGTTTGGTGGGTTGTGGAACGGATGGAATTTTCAGGGAATTCCTAAGCTTGTGTCTGCAGTTAGGATTACAGATTGTTTGTACATTAGGAGACTTTGATTACAAATGACTCTTAAAGAGTATTTTCCTCTTTGTGGTCATGCTTCTTTCTTCACAGTGCTATCGAATGGTCTCATGGCAGTTTCCTCACTTTTCCTGTTTTGCTTCAGATTGTCTGGGGAGGCGGTTAGGTCCACGGCTTCTTGGTAGAGTAGATGGTTCAGAGGTGGGTGGTTGCTTCTTTTCTGCTCTTCTCTATGAATTTCTTTGAATTGTCTCCTCAAGCCGGATATCCCTTTTCTCAATGTTTGTGTTGCAGCAGAGACTAGTTAGGGACTTCTATAAAATTCTAAATGAAGTAAGCACTCAAGAAATTCCAGATGGTTTGAAGCTTCCAGATTCTTTTAGTCAACTTGTTTCTGATGTGAAGAACAACAACTATGACGCAAGAACATTTGGTCTTGTGCTGCGAGCTATGGTACCTCTATGCCTTTTCTGAAATTGTTTCTAATGTGACATAAACATGTTCTTACTGGAACAAAAGGCGATCTGTCAAATAAGTTACCTTTAGTTTTTGATTTCTTAAAAACAAACATCTAGATTATGCTTATAGACTAGTATGCTTTGCATGTTCTGTTACTGTACATGCAAATGTTGGTTCTGATTTTTTTTTTCCTGAAAGATGCCATGGGATTAGATGATTATTTCTGTCTGATTTTTTTTATCCCTTTTGCAACAGATTGAGAAGTTCGAAAGGGATATTAGGGAAACTAAATTTGCAGAGCTTATGAACAAGCATTTTGCAGCAAGTTCCATTCCGAAAGGCATACATTGTCTCTCTCTAAGATTGACAGATGAATATTCTTCGAATGCTCATGCACGTAGACAACTTCCTTCCCCAGAGTTTCTCCCTCTTCTTTCAGACAACTCTTACCACCATTTTGTATTGTCCACGGACAACATTCTGGCCGCATCAGTTGTCGTTGCTTCCACCGTTCAGTCATCTTTAAAACCGGAGAAAATTGTCTTCCATGTCATCACAGACAAGAAAACCTATGCGGGTATGCACTCATGGTTTGCCCTTAACTCTGTTGCCCCTGCCATTGTTGAAGTGAAAGGTGTTCATCAGTTTGACTGGTTGACGAGAGAGAATGTTCCGGTTTTGGAGGCCATGGAAACCCATAACGGTGTCAGGCAGCATTATCATGGAAATCATCTCGCTGGGACAAATCTCAGTGAAACCACTCCTCGGACTTTTGCTTCTAAATTACAATCTAGAAGTCCAAAATACATATCTTTGCTCAATCATCTTAGAATATATATACCAGAGGTAATCTTTCTCCTCTTTTCACCCCAAAAACATTATTTGATATGCATGGTTGTCTTCCCCTCTAAATGAGACATGTTTTATAATTTGTACTGAAAAATCATGCCCTTTATTTTACAGCTTTTCCCGAACTTGGACAAGGTGGTGTTCTTAGATGATGATGTGGTTGTCCAGCGGGACTTGACTCCACTTTGGGATATCGACCTGAACGGAAAGGTTAATGGAGCAGTAGAAACATGTCAGGGGGAAGATCAGTGGGTGATGTCTAAGCATTTCAGGAACTACTTCAATTTCTCCCATCCACTCGTAGCAAAGCATTTGGATCCCGAAGAATGTGCATGGGCATACGGCATGAATATCTTTGATCTACGAGCTTGGAGGAAGACAAATATCAGAGAAACCTATCATTCTTGGCTTAAAGAGGTAATGCAGCAATATCTCTATGAAGTCAATATTCACTTTCTCTCATCCATTTCCCCCATGGTGTTTTTTTTTTCCTGTGCAGAACCTGGAGTCGAATCTGACAATGTGGAAACTCGGAACATTGCCACCGGCTCTTATAGCGTTTAGAGGGCAGGTTCAGGCAATAGAGCCGTCATGGCATATGCTGGGATTAGGATACCAGAATAAGACAAACATAGAAGATGTCCACAAGGCAGCAGTGATACACTACAATGGCCAGTCAAAGCCTTGGCTGGAGATTGGGTTTGAGCATCTCCGGCCATTCTGGACAAAGTACGTCAACTACTCCAACGAATTCGTAAGGAGCTGTCACATCTTGGAGTAACTTTCTGAGAAGAAAAAGGCCAAAAGGGTTAATGCATTTGACCATCATTCCGAAGATTTTTTAATGCTTTGGGCCCTGCAGATTACGCAGCTGCCCACAGTACAAGGGAATGAACACTTGGGGGGAGGATCTGAATCTGATCTGCAGGAGGACAAAGATTCATTCTTTCTGTAATATAGAAGGTGCCCTTTTTTTCTATATCTTTGGGGGTTTGAAATGGAGAAAGTTAGATCTCTTACAAGAGATGGGGAGACATATTGGATTTTGGTTTTTGGCCACTTTGTTGATAAATGAAGAAGAGACTATTGCATTGGCTCTACTCTCTCTCTTTATTATTTAAATAATTCCATTAGGATCAGTGATTTTATGGGCATTTGCTTTTGTAGGATTTACGTATGATTTTCTTCCTTTGCCTCTCTTCTCTCCTTCTCATATAAACAGTTTCAAGCTTGTGCAGTTTTATGTTCTGTCTCTTTTTGATGATTGTTCTTCCCCAAGCGTTAAACAAGAAATATATCTTTTTTTTTTTAAATATTGAATCAAAGTAAGAGTGATTTGGAAGATGATGGCAAAATCTGTCACTGAAATTCAATTCGATGGCTTCATGAGACAAATACCGAATTAAACCGGTCATTTAGATATGCGTGTGTCTCTTGTCGGCACATTTAGACGTGGCTTGTTCCTTTGTTTTTTTGGTTATCGAATAGTTTTGAAGAGGAGTGGTTATGTTGGATTGGTCGAATCTAATATCGGATTAATTGTTTTCGAACATCGTCGCTTGCTTGGCAAGCACTTCTACAAAGCATATGATCTTTTGAAAGGAAAAAATTAAATTAAAATGGAATTTTAAGGCTCGCACCAGAGAGAGAGAGGGGCGTCCATTTCCACAGGCGTAGAGATGGGAAGAACGGCAGAGAAAAATGGAAGCTTTGACCGCCACTGATTCTCTATAGATTTCGAGATCTACTAATCGCAACTCTCTCTCTCTCTCTCTCTCTCTCTCTCTCCCTCGGCATCGTTTGATCCTTGTAGATCCTCCTGATTCATCTGGGTAGTCTCAGCTCAGATCAGTCGCAGAGCCAAGTAAGAACGCCAATTAGGGTTTTCTTATGCGTCTGTTTTTACCTAATCGGAAAATTTTTTTGGTGGGTTTTGTGATTTAACCATACCCATGAGATTTCTTCTTGTATCATCATAAGATTGTAGCTTTGTTTTAAAGGTTTTCTCTTCTTTCTTCTTCATTCTTTCTACTATCGTTAATTCCTTGGTAATTCGAATGCGGGCTTCATGACTCACGAATACCCTTTTGGAGTTTTTTTCGATTCATTATCATGACCATATCTCCAGAGAGATTCTTCTCGTGTTAATAAATTTCTCTTGATTTGTTGACCTCTTGGCGTTCGGATGAGGATTTTAATGATATTTATTGGAGATTTGGTCTCGTGATATCTAAAGATTGCAGCTTTTATGAGACGTGATTATGTCTTCATTTCCTGAAACCCTCTATGGCTATTGCCCGCATGCGGATTCAGTTCAAGATTTCTGGATGTTGGTGCTTTGTTTTTTACCGCCTCTTTTCTTCTTCTTGTGGGACATAAATCTGCAAGTTTCAGGTTTGTTTCTCAAGTTTCATGGAGTATTTACCAAGGATTCTAGCTCAAGAAAGAATCTGAGTCCCAGAAACAAACTAGTTCAATTCAAACCCAGTGAGTCAAAATCTCATCTACTGGACTTTGTTCTTGTGAAGCATTATTCTATTCTATGCTTGATGATTGTATCCTGGCCTTTGATTATGCAGGAAAGAACAAAGCATTACCAATTCTCGGGGGGAGGCCTGTGGAATTTGATAGGGATAGAGGAATTGCGTCCAGTGAGAGCTTTTGAAGAGGAGAATTCTGGGGTTTTTTGTCGGTTCTTGGATATATGGCAGAGGTCCAGGATCAGTTAGAGATCAAGTTTCGGTTAATCGACGGTTCAGATATCGGTCCTAAGGCATTTCCAGTTGCCACAACCGTTGCAACGTTGAAGGAAACTGTCATTACTCAATGGCCAAGAGGTTAGTGTGTGCTTAGTGAGGTATTCAGATTCCGAAAATGTCACCCATGGACATGGGTTTTATGGTTAACAAAGCTACAAACTTAACAATAGTTCTCTTCTGTATGGTCTGATTGAACTTTTATGAGAATTGTCCAACAAGCAGATCTTGTTAACAAGCCCTTCCACTAAAAATCTGGAAACGGTATAAGAGTTTGTTTACATTTACATGTTTATGATCATTCATCCATGAACCATCTGGGAAGCCAAATACATGATCCATTCCAGATCATTTACAGTGTCAGAACCATATTGATGGATGCATTTCTTCTGCTGTTGTGATATTTTTTTTGTTTCTTTTCTAACTTGGAGCAGAAAAGGAGAATGGGCCAAAGACGGTGAAAGATATAAAGTTGATAAGCGCCGGTAAGATTCTAGAGAACAACAAGACGGTGGGAGATTGCCTGAATCCTCTCTGTGACATTCCCGGCAGTGTTACCACCATGCATGTCATCATCCAACCTCCTCCTTCCGAGAAAGGTAAAACCATCATCATCATCATCATCATCATGTTTCCTTGAGTAGATTTTTCCCGGAAGAACATCTCTTTATCTCTTTAAAGCCTAGGCCTTTTTTTTAACCCTTTGATGATTGATTCAGACTCAAACGATTATTCATCTTGTTCACTGTTTCCACGCCCAAAAAAAGAAAAAGGCGGCGCCTTTGTAGGCGTGGCCATATTCTTGATGTTCTTAAGATCAAACCCATGTTTCTGGGACAGTTTTAGGATAAAGATTTGCGATATGGATCTGCTAAATGTCTAACTGAGACCCTCCCCCTCTCTATGAACAGAGAAGAAGACGAAAAGCGATTCAAAACAGAACAAATGCGTGTGTAGCATCATGTGAGGGAGACGGTCTCTGCTTCTCTCTCTCTCTCTCTCTCTCTCTCTCTCTCTCTCTCTCTGTGTAATTTTTTTTTCCGACAGACATCGTTCGCTTGAGGTTTGGTCTGAGTGTGATTGGTATTCGTTCATTTGGATGCTGAGCGAATTCATAGTATTAGTATACATCTTTTTTTTTTTTAGTAAGCTCTTTTTTCTTTCTTCATTCCCATTTCTTTTTCTTTTTATTTTTGATGTCTGGAAACACGGTTATTAAAAAAAATTGTTAGTTCAATATACCAATGATTATTCAAATAAATGTTTGTAAATATATGTAATGATATTGTGATGAATAATTTTTTTTTTGTATGTGCGATATCCATTTGGGGCGACACGTGTCGTTGCTCAAAGGGGTTTGTGGGTACAGTGCGCACCCTGCGCATCCCATCCCGAGTGTTCACGAAGCCTCTAGCGTCATTTAGCAGCCTTTCCTTCTTTATTACCTCTCTCTCTCCTCGGGGCTCGCTAATTTACGCGAGACGCACAAGCAAAGAAGAACAAAGATCAGAGATTCAGAGATAAAATTACGCGAGACGCACAAGCAAAGAATAGAGACCAGAGATAAAAGAAAAAGGGCAAAGGCATTATCTTTGCCGAATTCCGACCGAAACTCCTCGAATCCTTTATATACTCTTTGTCGTTATTCCTCTTCCCGTTGTCGATTTCTTACCATTTGGGATCTCCGTCCAAATGGCGACGGCGACGGCGGCTGCTGCGGCGGCGTTTGGTGGGGTGGCCGGCGTAGGCTTAGGGACTCGGAATGCTCCGATGTTTTCTCACCTTCAACCCTCCGTTGCATTCCCGGCGAAGCCCTGTTCTTTCAAGGCCCTTAGATTGAAGCGGGGAGTGGGTTTCTCGCGCCGTCTCGAGCAGCGGCGACCTGTTGTCCGATGCGAAGCTGGTACTGGAAGGGTTAGTCCGAATCTTTCACACAGTAATTGATCATAGTGGTTTGTGATGATGCTTAGACAGACGCGCCTGTCGAGCGGAATTGATACAAAAATTTTCTGGATTTTCCTCTGTTTTGCTAAGTGGGTCTGATTTTGATTTGCTTGCAGCTCACGCAGCAAGAGTTCACGGAAATGGCGTGGCAAGCGATAGTATCATCTCCAGATGTGGCGAAGGATAACAAGCAGCAAATCGTAGAAACTGAGCATCTGATGCGAGCCCTTTTGGAGCAGAAGAACGGTTTGGCGCGTAGGATATTTTCCAAGGCTGGTGTGGATAACACGAAGCTTCTAGAAGCAACAGATAAGTTCATAGAACGTCAGCCGAAGGTAATCCAGCAGGTTTCTTTCGTGGGTCTTCCTTACTTGAAAGTGTTCTTGTGGTTTGCTTGAGCTGATAGATATTAATGGCCGCCAGGTCTATGGCGAGGCTGCTGGTTCGATGTTGGGGCGTGACTTGGAAGCTCTGTTCCAGAGAGCAAGGCAGTTTAAAAAAGATTACGGAGACTCTTACGTCTCTGTGGAACATCTGGTTCTTGGTTATGCTGACGATAAACGGTTTGGGAAGCAGTTGTACAGGGACTTTCAAGTGACGGAGAGGAGCTTGAAATCTGCAATAGAATCAATCAGAGGAAAACAGTCCGTCATTGACCAAGGTTCATATATAGTATGATCTTGATTTTTCATTCTTGTATTTTTCGTGTATACGTATGACTGAATTAGATGTTTGAGACAACAGTTACCGAGCATTTGGTAGATGTAACTTGTTAGTGACGGATATTCAGTGATGAGTTTAGATTTCTAGTGTGGAAGTTGAAGAGTAATCCTGTCAGAAATAAACTGTGAAACCATGGATTAGACTATGGAAGCTGAAGCTTTTGCCTTTTGTTGATTGGTAGATCCGGAAGGAAAGTACGAGGCATTGGAGAAGTATGGGAAGGATCTGACAGCAATGGCGAGAGAAGGAAAGCTTGATCCTGTGATCGGGAGAGATGATGAGATCCGTAGATGCATACAGATTCTGTCGAGGAGGACCAAAAACAACCCTGTCTTGATCGGTGAGCCAGGAGTCGGTAAAACCGCTATCTCAGAAGGGTAAAAACCGCTATCTCCTTCTTCTCGAATATATTGCTGGTTAAGGTCTTCTCTGTGTGATGCTTTGCATGTATTGCTTACTGCTCATGTAGGGATATGCTAAAGTTTATTCCTTTGCTTTCAAAACAGGCTTGCCCAGAGGATAGTACAAGGAGATGTGCCTCAAGCCTTGATGAACAGGAAGGTAAAATTAAAAACAGATGTTTTTTCTTCTTGTCATTTTGGATGCTGATTCCTGTCACGCTTGATGATGTTTTTCAGCTAATATCACTCGATATGGGCGCATTAATAGCCGGAGCGAAATATCGCGGGGAATTTGAAGATAGGCTAAAGGCTGTACTTAAAGAGGTCACCGATTCAGAAGGCCAAACCATTTTGTTCATCGATGAGATCCACACTGTTGTCGGGGCAGGTATCCACTATCTTACCAAGCTCCTTAAGCCTATGATGAGCTTCACATTTTTTTTTTTTTTTTTTATCAAGAATGAGTTTCAGTCTGATTCTTGTTTTTTCTTTTCGGGTTCCCCCTTTTTTTTTCAGGTGCAACTAATGGAGCAATGGATGCCGGTAATCTGCTGAAGCCAATGCTGGGTAGAGGAGAGCTACGATGCATCGGGGCTACAACACTCGATGAATATCGGAAGTACATCGAGAAAGACCCGGCCCTTGAACGTAGGTTTCAGCAGGTTTATGTGGATCAACCCACAGTAGAGGACACTGTCTCTATCCTCCGTGGTTTGCGTGAACGGTATGAACTTCATCACGGAGTTCGCATTTCAGACAGTGCCCTTGTCGAAGCTGCCATTCTGTCTGACCGTTACATCAGTGGCCGTTTTCTACCCGATAAAGGTTGCTACTTTATATCCCATTTGGCTGGAAAATCCTCAAAACTGCTGCTAAATTGCCCCGTAGATGAACGTCTTGAATATGTCGTTTTTTTGTTTCAGCCATCGATCTAGTGGATGAAGCAGCGGCCAAGCTGAAGATGGAAATCACTTCGAAACCGACAACCCTCGATGAGATTGACCGCGCGGTGCTGAAGCTTGAGATGGAGAGGTTATCGCTCACGAACGATACAGATAAAGCCTCTAAAGAGAGATTGGATCGGCTTGAGACCGAGTTGTCGCTTCTGAAGGAGAAGCAGGCCGAGTTAACCGAACAGTGGGAGCACGAGAGATCTGTCATGTCCCGTATTCAGTCCATCAAAGAGGAGATCGATCGGGTGAACCTCGAGATCCAGCAGGCTGAGCGGGAATATGATCTAAACCGTGCAGCTGAGTTGAAGTACGGAAGCCTAAACTCGTTGCAGCGTCAACTCAACGAAGCCGAGAAGGAGCTGAATGAATATCTGAGCTCGGGTAAGTCAATGTTCAGAGAAGAAGTTACGGGAAGCGACATAGCCGAGATTGTGAGTAAATGGACCGGAATCCCTGTCTCCAAGCTTCAACAATCGGAAAGGGATAAACTTTTACATCTGGAAGAAGAACTGCATAAACGGGTCGTTGGACAAGACCCTGCGGTCAGGGCGGTGGCTGAGGCGATTCAGCGGTCAAGAGCCGGATTTATCTCCGACAATGGTTGGTTCTGAAAACTAGCTGACCCCGATGAACCTTCTAATTATATATAAAAAAAAGAGTTAGAATACAAGAGTGGGTGACATGGAAAACTTTAATTAAGATTTTATCATTGATTATAGTCTCTGTTTGAACGTAGGGTTTTGAGAGAGTAAAATGTTGGTTACAGGTGGCTGGGGGATGCTGGTATGTTCTTGCAATACAGCGTGTCGCTTCTTGCATAAGGCAACAGTGCATGAGGAAGGGAGGGAACTGCAATCTAGGGAAAACCGAGCTGGCAAAGGCACTCGCTTCCTACTTGTTCAACACCGAAGAAGCTCTGGTTAGAATCGACATGAGCGAGTACATGGAGAAACATGCTGTCTCCAGACTCATTGGAGCTCCACCTGGTTATGTCGGGTACGAGGAAGGAGGGCAGTTGACTGAAACCGTTCGTCGAAGGCCTTACTCCGTGATCCTATTTGACGAGATCGAGAAAGCTCATTCCGATGTCTTCAACGTGTTTCTCCAAATCCTGGATGATGGGCGAGTCACCGATTCTCAAGGCCGTACAGTGAGTTTCACCAACACCGTCATCATTATGACCTCGAACGTGGGTTCTCAGTTCATCCTGAGCTCGGACGATGACGACTCCCGGCCGAAGGAGCTGGCTTACGAGACGATCAAACAGAGGGTGATGGAAGCTGCGAGATCGATCTTCCGTCCTGAATTTATGAACCGTGTCGATGAATACATCGTTTTCCAGCCTCTGGACAGGGACCAGATCGACAGCATCGTGCGGCTGCAGGTAACGTCCCTTCTTACAACCCTGAACCCCTCTCAGGCTGTTGAACATGTTGTCCAAAGTCGCTGACTTTTCTTGTCTCTCCGATCTCTGTGAACAGCTGGAACGAGTGCAGAAACGGATCGCGGATAGGAAAATGAAGATCAAGATGACAGAAGCGGCGGTGGGGCTCCTGGGGACATTAGGGTATGATCCAAGCTACGGAGCCAGACCGGTGAAGCGTGTGATACAGCAGAACGTGGAGAACGAGCTCGCGAAAGGCATCTTGAGGGGAGAATTCAAGGAGGAAGACACTGTCTTGATCGATACAGAGGTCACGGCCTTTGCGAACGGGCAGCTTCCCCAGCAGAAGCTCATCTTCAAAAGGCTCGGCTCTGAAACCAAGGATGATCAAGAGCAGGAGAAACTCTCTCAGAGCATCTGAAACTGATGGAAGCTGTCCTTTAAGTTGTCAATATATACATTTTGTATTTGGGAATCGTAAAATACGCAGAAAGGTTTCATTTTTGAGTGAGCCCATGTTCTCAAAATAAAGACACTGCAAGTGTGGATTTCCCATTTCGATACACACATATATATATATATACATACACATATATGGAGGAGGGGATATGTGAAGGAGATTTGGGAGACGTAGCTGTCACAAAGAGTTGTAGCGTATATCCCCTCCTTGCCCTTATCCTGTTGGAACACGACACCGGGGAGATCGCATTCGAATACATAATGTGAAGAGGGACAAAATCGTCATTTTCATCGGTCGTACATGGCCGTATCGAATTAAAAACCATTGATCATGCCCTCGCCAATGGATGTCGGGTTTCTTTGGCAATATTATGATTACGCCCATTTTGGCCCTTATTCCTACGCAGAAAAATCAGACTCCAGGCACATGGGTTTTTTTTTTGTCGTTCGTGGATTCCAATATATTACTATTGTTTTTTATTTTAGAAATTACCTTCATCATAAAATTTTCGTATAAATTTTTTTTTTAAAAGGTAGTAAAAGTGTTACCGTCTAATTTTTTTTTATTAAAAAAAGGTAGAAAACTTACCAAAAATAACAAGTATTGGTAAAAAGATTAGTACAATGATTGGACTCCATTATTTGAATTTGCCAAGTCATTATGGGACCTGAAATCAAATTGCACAATAACCACACATATATTATCACTGAAATCCCACAAAGATCTCTTGGCTAATTAATGTCGGAATGAATATAATTAATATCCTAGTTTTGAATGCCATTTTTTTCTTCCATAAACTGTCATATGATAATATAAGTACTTGAGATTTCATCGTACAATCATTTAACCTTTTTTTATTTGTTGGCAATTGTCTTAAGATATGTAAATGTGTCCCGCTACCTTAATTTAAGAACATTTATCATCCTTAAACAATATAAATTATTAACCTAACGATTTAAGACAACAAACTTTTCAAATCTTTATATTTTGGATAGTGTTTTTTTTAATGCACGGAGTTTAATTTCACATTGAAATTAACCGATTATAAATTAATCATTATAAAATATAATTATTTTGTTTTTAAAAATAATTATTTTAAATTTTGCCGTGTTTTAGTGGAAACGTGAGTGGCACACGCGTATAAGAAAAATGAGATATAAATTTGTCAAATTTATACTCTAAATCTAGATTGAGTTTTATCATTTACTTTAAAAATCCATAGCAAATGTACTAATTAGCAGTATATATATATATATATTTAAAAGACAAATGCAGGTATCGTTGTATGCCTTATAATTTTAATTTAGTCGCGGTCTAAATGTAATAAAACGTGTTCTGTCCATATCCGACATGTGGCAATAATGACCGCGACGACGCCACCACAAATCTACAAACATATTCTCATTCGCTCTGTGAATATTCAACCTTGGCATTTATTTATTTATTTTATATGATTTAATGTTGCGAATTTACTTGTTCATCAGTATTGTTCTATCGATTCCAATGTAACATATATGCATATGTTTTTATGGATACGAAATGTTATATTAAATAAAATAAAAGTAAGTAACGCCCGAAATAATTGTGATGGGTCCACTTGGGCCCTCACGTGGACTCATCTCTAAGTCTGTGGGCCTTTTTTTTGTAGGTCTCATTCCCAGCGACAGCTCTTCTCTTGTCGTGGCCTTGAAATCAATGAAATGACACGTCATCCCAATAATTTTCATGCGGTTCGTTCCCGGTCTATCTCAATAACCGGTTCGGTCTAAACCGATGATCTATTGCATGTTACTTCTATCCCGGAAAGAAATGGTTAAATTGGCGAGCTTGGCAGATATTCATTTGTTTTTATTTTCACAGGGGAAGTTTTTTTTTTTAATTGAAATGTTTTAAAAAATGAAAAATAAAAGGGGCATGAGAGAGATACTTACGTATCGCACTCTTCCTTCCCATTTCGATCCCTCCAAACCGAACTCAATCAACCACCACTTGCAAATACATTCTCCCTCCCTCCCTCTCTCTCTCGCTCGCTAATCTCTCCCTGCAACTCCTCTCTCTCTCTCCCATGGTGGTTTCTCTCTTCCAATCATGCCCTCTCAGCCCAACTTCCTCTTCAGGTATATACATATACTCTGGACTTCATATTTGTTTATGCATATACGCTTCTTGTAACGACGGTAATACCGCCGCAGCCGCTCGCGAGTTTGATAATGTAATTTGTTTGGTAATCTGTTACAAGTCCTCCGGTGAACAATTTTCCCGGAAAATTGCTTCGTTTCTTTCCTGAACTTCTCTAAACGGTCACCATGCAATTCCGAACGGTTGCTCGTCCGATTTCGCAATTTCAGGTGGCTTGGACTGTTTTCTCGTAAATTCCGCCGGGAAACGACCGCAACCGATTCGAACACCGGCGGAGAAGTCGGCGGAGGAGGAGATTCGGGCGGTGGAGATGAGACACCAGTGCTGAATTCCGTCGAGTGCTACGCATGCACACAGGCCGGAGTCCCGGCGTTCCACTCGACTAGCTGCGATCAAGCTCACGCTCCTGAGTGGCGAGCCTCCGCTGGATCCTCGCTTGTCCCGATTCAACCAGGTTCCGAGGCGGAACCGGTCCGAATCCGTTACAGGCGTCCCTCAGGCCCGTTCGGCGAGGTCCTCGACCCGAGGACGAAGCGCGCGCAGAGATGGAATCGCACTCTCCTGTTGGCGCGTGGAACGGCGTTGGCGGTGGACCCGCTCTTCTTCTACGCACTTTCCGTCGGCCGAACTACCGGCCCGGCGTGTCTGTACATGGACGGCGCGTTCGCGGCGGTGGTGACGGTGCTTCGCACATGCGTAGACGCGTTACACCTCTGGCACGTGTGGCTCCAGTTCAGGATGGCTTACATCTCGAGGGAGTCACTCGTCGTCGGCTGCGGTAAGCTCGTGTGGGACCCACGCGCCGTCGCTTCCCACTACGCTCGCTCTCTCCGTGGCTTCTGGTTCGACCTCCTCGTCATCCTCCCCGTCCCTCAGGTTTTTCTTCGAAACAGCCCCCAATTTATCTAAACTTTGCAAATGTGCGCTAACCTTTTACTATATTAACGTAAAACCCAAAATTGATGTCGGTTGTTGCTTATGAAACCAAGGAATTTCATATGTACATTACTTCGTTTGTAAACAAGAAAGATTTCAGATCTGATGAGATTCATGGTTTTCATATGCGCAGGCGGTGTTCTGGCTAATACTGCCGAAACTGATAAGAGAGGAGAAGATTAAGTTGATAATGACGATCCTTCTGCTGATATTCTTGTTCCAGTTCCTTCCCAAGGTTTACCACTGCATCTGCATGATGAGAAGAATGCAGAAAGCTACTGGTTATATCTTCGGGACCATTTGGTGGGGTTTCGCCCTCAATCTTATCGCCTACTTCATCGCTTCTCATGTAAGCATTCTAAAGTCAACAACAAAAATTTACAACCATACATTCTTTTTACGTTACAAAGTTCATGCATACGATTGTCAGATTACACATGTTGTGCAAGCATACGCACGTCCTTTTCTGGTTTAATGGCAGAAAAAGACAGTAGTATTACAGACAGGCAGCGGTTTTTAGCAAATGGGTGTCGTGAAAGCCTCTCTCTTTAGAATGGTTTGTGTAGCAGAGCAAGTTAGAATATAAGAACCCGGGCTAGTTCTACTGGTAAGTGGGGATACAAAGTATCTCTCACCCCACGTTCGAATTCCATTGGAGAAGGGGGGTTAGATAAATAAAGATTTATCTCCGACAATGGTTGGTTCTGAAAACTAGCTGACCCCGATGAACCTTCTAATTATATATAAAAAAAAGAGTTAGAATACAAGAGTGGGTGACATGGAAAACTTTAATTAAGATTTTATCATTGATTATAGTCTCTGTTTGAACGTAGGGTTTTGAGAGAGTAAAATGTTGGTTACAGGTGGCTGGGGGATGCTGGTATGTTCTTGCAATACAGCGTGTCGCTTCTTGCATAAGGCAACAGTGCATGAGGAAGGGAGGGAACTGCAATCTGAGTTTATCTTGCAAAGAAGAGGTGTGTTACCAATTCATATCACCGACGGGCAGCACGGTCGGATATCCATGCTTATCCGGAAACCTAACCAATGTGGTTAGGAAGCCATTGTGCTTAGACGCTAATGGACCGTTCCGATATGGTATCTACAAGTGGGCACTTCCTGTCATCTCCAGCAACTCTCTTGCCGTCAAGATCCTTTACCCCATTTTCTGGGGCCTAATGACTCTCAGGTACCTCTCCCGAGTTATAAATTTTTCATCTTTCGTTTTCGAGATCCTGTCTTCTGATAAAATCCTTCACGGTTGTTGTGTTTACCAGTACTTTTGGGAACGATCTTGAACCCACGAGCAACTGGCTCGAGGTTATATTTAGCATAATTACTGTGCTCAGTGGTTTACTGCTCTTCACGCTATTGATCGGAAATATTCAGGTAAGTTAATTCGAAACTCGAAAGGGTCTTAAACTTGTAGAATGGGGACATAATTCTCTTCTCAGCTGACGGTCTTGATTTAACAGCCTTTTTTTTTGCTTATTTGAAGGTGTTTCTGCATGCGGTGATGGCTAAGAAGCGGAAGATGCAGTTAAGGTGCCGGGATATGGAATGGTGGATGAGGCGGAGGCAGTTGCCTTCCCGGTTAAGACAGAGAGTTCGACGGTTTGAGAGGCAGAGATGGACGGCTTTAGGTGGCGAAGACGAGATGAACCTTATCCGAGACTTGCCTCAGGGCCTCCGCAGAGACATCAAACGATATCTTTGCCTTGATCTTATCAACAAGGTATTGTAACCGAGTAGGATAAAATCCCATGAAACCTTGTAAGAATTCTGATTACTGGTTCTCGTCCTCAGGTACCGTTGTTCAGCGGCATGGACGATCTGATCCTCGACAACATCTGCGACCGTGCTAAGCCCATTGTCTTCTCCAAAGATGAAAAGGTACTCCTTCATCCATTCTTTCTCCTTACAACATTTCCTGTCTCTCTAGCTTGGAAATTGTTCATTCTTCCATTCAATGGTCGGAAACAGATAATCCGAGAAGGCGATCCAGTACAGAGAATGATATTCATAGTCCGTGGCCGGGCAAAGAGGAGCCAAAGCCTAAGCAAAGGCGTCGTGGCCACGAGCACACTCGAACCAGGCGGATACTTAGGGGACGAGCTTCTCTCATGGTGCCTACGCAGGCCATTCCTCGACCGTCTTCCGGCTTCGTCGGCCACTTTCGTCTGCACTGACAACATTGAAGCCTTCAGCCTTGGGTCCGATGATCTTAGGTACATTACCGATCATTTCCGCTACAAGTTTGCGAACGAGCGGCTCAAACGTACGGCCAGGTACTATTCCTCGAACTGGAGGACGTGGGCCGCCGTTAATATCCAGTTCGCCTGGCGGCGGTACAGGAAGAGGACCATGAGCGGCCGCGGCAGCGGTGATAGTGGTCCGATGAGTCATGGGCGGGAGAATGGCAGCGACTGTGACCGGAGGCTACTTCAGTACGCTGCTATGTTCATGTCGATCCGGCCACATGACCATCTCGAATAGTAAAATAATGAATTTTTGGATCCAACATTTGTGTTGTTGTTGTTATTTTATCTTATTTATTTATTGTATAAACATTGGTTGGCGGTCATATCTTAATTAATTGTGCTTTGTTTCTGATTATTTTATTTTTCTAAAATCGTATTGGTATTTGATCTCGATCTCAGTTTCCATAAATGCCGCAAAGAATTAATTTACAAAAAACGACGTCGTCTAGGGCAGTTTCGTAATTGGGCCAACGATAGCGAACGAGTCATGACATCTGGGCTTTATATTGAAATTTCTAAGCCCACTAACCATTAATTAAAAACCGTAGATTAATAAAGATAGTTTAAAAAACAAAATCATAAATTGTAAATAATCATAATGCCAGATAAGAAAGGGGATCGTAGTAATAAGTAAAAAATTCCAAATGTATATGATGATTTTAATATTAATATCTGAAAAAAGGATTTTGAAGGATTATCATTTAATTTAAAAGCCTAATTTTTATCTGTCAATGAAAGATATGGAATAGGAATATTACAATAATAAAGCATAGTCCTGGAAATTGTTTTAAGGATATGTAATTGGAATTATTTTATTTTGTTAATCGAGATTTTCCCAAAAGAAAAAAAAGAGGGGGGGGGGGAGGCAAGAATTAAAAGGAACGCACCACATTAGCTCAAAATTCGCTGTATCTTTTCCTCAGAGAGAGAGAGAGACATGGCGAGATTTGCGGCGGTGGCTGCGGCGGTGGTGCTGATTCTGACGGTGACGGCGGCGCCGGAGGTGGAAGCGAAGAAGTGGACGGTCGGCGAGGGCAAGTTCTGGAACCCCAACGTTAACTACACCATCTGGGCTCAGGACAAACACTTTTACCTCGACGACTGGCTCTGTATGCTCTCTCTCTCTCTCTCTCTCTCCACACACACGCACAAACACATTCTATGCTATTGGATCTGATAGGAGTAGATCCAAGGGGAAACGGGTCTAGTTTGAAATTTGAGGATAGCTTCAAAGCTTAAACCCTTTTATTTTATGTGTACCCAGAATATGTCTGAGGATGGCATAGAAATGGAAACTTATACTTTCAAAATCTTGAGTTTTCAGGGCTGTGGGAAAGATCCCTAGACCGCGAATGAAATTGTGCAGCATTTCACAGTAGTCAGATTGTTAAATTCATATCCGTAGCGCAGATCAATATGGATGAACTTCATTACAGCAACCTGAATACTTGTTTTTGCGTGCCTTTCCAAGTTTGTTTGCTTTTGTGGCTTGTCCCAGATCTAGCAGGACAGAATCACAACTCACAAGCATTATCACACGGGCTAAAGTTGAAATCTTGATTAGGATGTTTACTTTTTTGTCAAATTCAGAATATTGGTTCAGTGTTGATTTCATCTGTAAACCCATCTCTATCTCTGCTTCTTCTTTGTTAATCTAGGCCTTGTTGTTCAAGTGAATCCTGATCCTGTTACCCACTATCTGTTAGATCCTTTAAGAAAGTTCGATCCAAACATGAACAAAAAATCCCTGGTTCAGGGCATTTTTCTGGTTTCATAGATCGAATCAAGAACGAGTTTGGTAACAATGTGATGTGACTGACTCTCGAGAGCTTTGCTTCTGTTGCATCTTTCTTGGGTGTGTTCCCAAGACTTTGTGTACGACAGGTACCAACAAAACGTCCTGGAAGTGAACAAGACAGACTACGAGAACTGCATATCCGACCACCCACTCCGCAACTGGTCACGAGGAGCCGGAAGGGACGTTGTTCCGCTCAATGCCCCCCGCCATTACTATTTCCTTAGCAGCGGCGGCTTCTGCTTCAGCGGGATGAAGCTTGCCGTAAAGGTAGAGAAGCTCCCTCCTCCTCCAGAGGCCTCCCCTGCCAAGAGCCTTGGGATTTCCTCCATGGTTGCAGGCATTGCCCAGTTCTTCCTTCCTGTCATTGTAATGTGGAATGTCAATCTAGAGCTTTGGTGAAGAAGAGACGGACTAGACAGTTACTCTTGGATCATGTGTCCAAGTGGAAATTCTTCATTCAGGCGAAAAGCCTCTTCCTTTTGTGGGAAGTGGGTGAGTTCTTGTTCTTGTGTGTAATTGGGGAAACGAGTTGAAAGAGAAGAAGAGTATTGGCTTTAATTTATTAAATTGAGAAAATCAGTGGAGATTTATTTAATCATCATCATGATTATTATTATTATTATAAATGCAAAAGATATTGAATTGTGGATCTACTGCATGTTCCCATGTGGAGATGTCTCTTTCGTTCACCTTTTCAACCAACTTCCATGTTTATGTTTCTTCTTCTTCTGTTCCTTTTTCCTTTTGTCCCGTCTGCCGTTTTGAATGTATTTATTGCGTTTGCCTTTTGACTGGCCCTCTTAATTTTTTTTTTTTTTTTTGGTTAAAAACATCTAAATTTCTTCACACCTTTTTTTCCACAGCTTTAAGTTAATTTATATTTTAAAAAACTACTTCCTCCGATTCAAAATAATTGTTGTTTTAGAGTATTTCACATTTTTTAAGAAAAGACAGAAAAAGTCACATATACCCTTATTTAATGATAAAAACAATGTTACCATTAATAATTTATTAGAATTTAATAGGATAAAATTGGAAACTATTGTAAAAAAATGTCTTGAAAATGTAAGATGACAAATATTTTGAAATATGGAAAATAACCTAAAACTACAAATATTTTGAAATGGAGGGAGTATCAGTTTTACCACTTTTCAAATATTTAGTGATGCTTTATATAATCTGATGCTGGACTTTTGTTTTGTCTTTTTTTGTGATTGTATTTACGTTTCACAGTACACATGAATATAACATGGCGTGGAATAAAATAATCACGGGCTTTAAAATTTTAATAAAATGGGTTTCCGAATAATATTTGGGCTCTGACTCATCGCGCATACTATTTGGGCCGAAAACAAATATAATTCCGAAAGGGAAAAAAAAGGACGGAAAAGCTTCCCATCATAATTACTCCACGCGCCGTTTTTTTGGTTTCACGGAAAATAGCCAAGATCGATGGACTATAGTCCAGCGATTCGAGGGCGGTGGGATCCACGCGCTATTTGTGCGAGTGAGATTTGTTGGATTCATGCAAGACCTTTGGAAAGTTCACGTCATGCCTACGTAACACATTTTAAAGGCTCATCAGAAGCCTATGAAACTCTGTAACGAGTCCAGCAAGAAACCATTTACTTACTTAAATATTATATATATATATTCCATTAATCTGTCTTATTTTAAATAAAAAATTTAATTACTTTTTTTTTCTAAAAAATAACAACAAAAACAATAAACCTTTTCATTAGAATTTCGTGGGCTGTTGTAGTGTGGGCTTTTATACGGTTTGGGCTTCTATAAGTGACGGCCCATTATCAAAAACAAGAAGCTCATAGTGGATCAAAGACAAAAAAAAAAAAGAACAAGAGCTTATGTACATAGATTCTTCTTCTTCTTCATCATCATCTTGCAACAAGTGAAGAGAGAGATTCTCAAAGTAGCAGTGGTAGTACAAAGCAGCCAAAAAAAAAAAAAAAAAAAAATACATGATCATCACTCGCTGCATTATTATTATTATTTTTTAAACGATAAGTAGGAGAGGCAAAGGGAGGGTGTGGGAGTTTGGCTTTCATACATAGAACCTCAGAGGACACGGAGCTGAGAAAGAAAGGCAGCGCAGAGATCCAAGAACAAGAACTGAGGACCTTGCACCCTCTGCAGATCCAACAGATACTTCTCCTCCCTTGTTTTGTACAACTGTTTCACCCACCACATCTCATCTCATCAGCAACACACACACCCCACTATATATACAGTCTAGTTGGAACACTTGTGCCATTGAATGATCCCCTTTTGGTTCATAGGATCTGACATGGTTTGGTTTAACTTCATAAGATCAAATGGCATAAACTAAGTGATGAATGTAGTAAAAACCCGGTACCTGAATTTCAAACTTGACCACGTTTGGTGGCTTGACCGCAGCAGCATCATTCTCTACAATGTTGGAATCGAAGTAGGAGTCCTGCATGGAATTATTGAGCATTCCCTCCGAGCTGTTAGGAACCCATCTGCACTTCATGTTGTACTGTCCGACCTTCTTCCAACATACATTCAGTTCCCTCAGTGCTTTCAGTACTTCCGTCATTATTTCACGTGGATGCGCTCTAGACTGTCGAGTTTTACAGGGAAAAAAAAAGAAGCAAAAAAGCTTGTCGAATCTCTCTCAGGCACATCAACATGGATTAATAAGAGCCAGAAATATATTAACCTGAAGTCCGAGAGCCCATTTTCTGTCAACAGGGTATTGTTGTGATCTCATTCCCACTCCTTGGTGATGCCCCACAGGCGATGCAACTGTTTCTCCCGGATGCATTCGGTTATGAGCACCTTCCTGAAAAGAATGAACGTTCACATGTTAAGTTAGTCGGTCTACCTATCAGATTACAAACATACAATAGAATATCCATTCACCGAAACAAGAGGGGGCGTTAAATAATCCCACACAGATAGAGAGAGAGAGAGAGAGAGAGAGAGAGAGAGAGAGAGAGAACCCACCATAGTCTCTTGAAATTCGGCTCCCAGATAACCACTGCATATACGGAAACGGTTGTCCAATAACAGATAGTATGTCACCGTTCCCTGGCAGACAACATTGTATAACATCTAGTTCTGTTTTTCTACATCTGTTAATGGATAAAGATTAGACAAGCAAGAGGATATAAAGCACACACATCATTCTGGACTCTACTGCGGAGAGATTCAATGAGATGATTCTTGTCAAACCCCATATTGATCACTTCTTGAAGAATATCCTCATCAATCTGCCAAAAAAGAAGAACCAAGTGAATTGTATATTTCCAACATTTTTGCCGCTCATTGAGAGTGTCAAATAGATAAAAAAAAAAAAGGCTACCTTTCTGGCTTGCTGGATTGTATCAGGAGGAGGAACAGCCAAGTAGCGTGGAAGATGAGCTTGGAACCAAGGGTGTTGACGGATTTCAGGGATTGTCATTCGTTTCATGGGGTCTACCACCAGCATCCGCGGAATCAAGTCTCTAGCCCCGGGTGATAAGTGGCTTGGAAGTGTATATATCCCTCCCTAAAAACAGACACGTTAACCGTTACACTCGTTTGGGGAGACAATGCACGAGGATGAATCCAAATGCAAACGTTACAACAGTGGTATCAAAATGGAAAAACAAGAGAATAAAAGAACAAAAAACATCAAGTAAACACACATATGTAATAACGTCTAGTAGTACCTTTATCTTCTTGAACAGGTTTGGAATATTTTCATCGTCAAACGGAAGAGTCCCACACAAAAGAGCATACAGTATCACACCGCAGCTCCAGACGTCTACTTCAGGGCCAGCATACAATTTGCCCGAAATGACCTTCATTAATAAAACAAAGTTTTTATTACCAAGCCTCATTATACAACAAACCTTAGTTATGATGCTCCTTAGAAAACGAGAACATACCTCAGGGGCAGCATAATTTGGACTTCCGCAGCTTGTCTTCAAGAAATGACCATCACGCATTATGTTGCTCAGGCCAAAATCAGCAATCTTTACATTGCATTTAGAATCCAAAAGCAAGTTCTCAGGCTTGAGGTCTCTATGAACCACCATATTCCGATGGCAATATTCCACTCCCGATATTATCTGCATCAGGTCAAGTCAAGGCCATGGCCAATATTAAAACTCATCCACTGGGACACTTAATTTGAAATCCTGATACTAGGTTGTCCAAAAGGAAATACCTGCTGAAAAAAGTTGCGAGCTTCATCCTCCTGCAACCTACCCTTCTCTACAATATAGTCAAAAAGCTCACCAGAGTTCACATACTCCATGACAACATAAATATCTGTCGGTGTCTCTATCACCTCATAGAGACGGATGAGGTGGGGATGCATAAACAGTCTCAAAATCTTGATCTCTCGCCTCACTGCGATGGGCATTCCAAAGGAAAAGTAAAACAAAAACAACAATGATTCATGATACAATCCATGGAAAAGAATACTGAAAAAAGAATTGTCAGTCAAATGCCATTAATGGCAAAAGCACAACAAAACAATCAAGATTCTATTTCTAGGGCAGTGACAAATTCTGTTCCCTTCTAAGGCAATGAGTTACTTATGTGACCAATATTCCAGAAAAGATGAACGGAATGAAATGATACGTGGAGATACAAAAACCGTACCCTTTTCCTCCATCTCCATGCTCTTGATTTTGCGACGATTGAGGATCTTGATAGCGACCTTGTGTCCGGTTAAAGCATGCTCAGCTATTTTCACACGACCAAAGGAACCGATACCAAGAGTTCTCCCGAGCTTGTAGTTAAGGGTAATCAATTCCATCCCACTAAGACTAGTACCCCCTGATCCCTCCATTTCCTATCTACATACATAAGAAACCAACATAAAGCCAACATCAAAAGGTTTATGTCAACAACACAAGCCGACACCCAACAAACAGCAGACACTACCATATACAGAAGCGTACAATAATATACCATGAACAACACGGCAGATCAATAGATTCTGAACAAGAGAGAGATAACCTTCGATCTGGAAACTAAGTTCCTCTATCGGTTACTCCATCGTGTTTCTTCCCACGTTCTAATTAGCAACGACAAAAGCGAACTCAAATTCCCCAATCCTACCGATTTCCATATTCCATCACTCATCAATAAAAGGGGAAAAAAATTTGGGGAAAGCTTAATATGATGGAGAAAGATTATGAATTTAGAGCACAAACAAGTAGAATGGGTTGAAAAAAACAGAAAAAGTTAAATGACAACTGCAACGAATCAGAATTAGATAAAAGAACCCTAACAAGCCAATCACCGGATTTATCGATACGGATCTCGAATCGGACACAGAAATAGCGAAGTTGAGAGCAACCAAACACACCCTTGTACGAGCTAATGTCAAAAGGGAGAAATTTTACGAAACATGGGATTGGGGTATCGAACTTACCAAAAAGCCAAAAACAAGAGAGAGGAGAATTCAGAAGAAATGCAGCAGAAGGAAGAGAAAAACCTAAATTCCCTCAAGCTAAAAATATCAGAGAGTCGAGATCGATGACTCCAGATCAGCTTAAACCCAGAAATTGAGAGAGACTCTCTCTCTCTCGTTGCTTGTTTGTAGGCGCAAAGGAAAAAAAAAATTATTCCTTTTTATGCTAGAACAAAAAAAAAAGGAAACCAATCTTGAAATGCCCAAAATGCTCCACTTAATTACAACGGGTACACTAGATTGACGTGGCAATAACTCAGAGGTTTCCTTTCCTTTGGAATCTCAGTATGGAAAGCATATGGCTCATGAGATGAAATGTCTTAGTCATGCATGACTCGGATAGCTTCCAAGACATGAACTCTTCCTTTATATTAAAAAAAAACACACTCTGATTTTTTTTTTTTAAAGGAGGTCTGATCGCAGTCCGTGTATTTACACACTAGACGACGTCGTTTTCATGTTCTGTAGAATTCAGACATGTCAGGAGATCTCACCTCTTGTCTTCGTTCACTTGACACTGCAGGGAAAAAAAAAAGAACCAGACCCTATCTATGGTTATTATGGAAAGCTCCTCCAAAAAAGAAAACATGCAGAAAACGTTATTGATGTCTCCTATAACATGACATGATGAACTATATATATATATATATATCTGTCAAAAAAATGCAGAGAATGAGAAGAACCATGATCATGATCCTGCACCAAAAGCCCATGCAATCGTGGGTTTAGTCCAAAGTTGTCGACTTTATAATGTTTTTGTACGACAGCTCTCTAACTCAGCTCTAGCAACTGGATGCCGGAATGTGGTTCTTGAATGAGACATTAGATTTAGTGTCACATGTCTTAAAGGTCAAGGTGCTTCGGCTAGATCGAGGGAATTTTTAAAACAGGAATAGTAATCATGAAAAGCTAAGGAGGGTGAGATTCTGTCTTGTAAGCTTTGTGTCACCAATTCATACGTTTACCTCAGATAACTATAGAAAGTAATCATGAAATAGGTATATATATATATATATATATATATATATATATATATCAGATTCAGTGAAAACACAGATTTAGAAGTGTAAACTAATAAACAAGTGGAATCCAAAATAGTAATAAACCGCCACGAAGCCCAAAGGATGAAATTCTTGGGATTTCACCGCAGTAAAAATCAAACCTTTTTAGCTTGGAGACGGAAATAGGACAGTCACATGTTCAGAATTCGACGCTGACAATGCTGCCGGCGTCAGATTAAGCAAATAAAGTATGAACTAGCACACTTCAAGAGTTTGGGCCTTTTTTATAAAATCGTAAAATATAAGGGAGTGATATGGAATACTTTATAACTCCAGGGGCTGGTAAATTTTCGTCGTACCTTGACGAAGTCTCCACCGGAAAAAATACATATATTTGCTTTCTTTTACAAATTTACTTTCGGAAAAAGAAAAAAAAATCATCAAGTCCCTCCGGCGATCTGTTCAATTTCCGGCTAATTCTCCGGTTCCTCGCCGACGAGGTGCGTTCGGTATGTGCCGCTCTCTTCATCGTCCGCGTTTTCCTTGTTCTTGTTCTCTTCGATACCGAAGATGTATCACATTCTCTCCTTCTCGACATTGATTTTTTGGCTTTTCCCCCTGAAATTGGGAATGGAATGTATTGGCTAGGTATAAACTTTTTGATGAATGTATCCATATTCGAAATCACCTAGATTTTGTATCGATCTATTTGGTTGATTTCCATGGAACGATTCTGTGCTGGAATAAAAAAATTCAGCACATATGAGCACACTATGTTTTTGTATGCGCGTGTGTATATCTAATGCCGTGGATGATTGAACAGGATTTGATTGAGGTTGTTGAAAAGTAGAAGAGGATGAGTGAAGTATTCGAGGGGTATGAGCGTCAATACTGTGAGCTCTCGGCAAATCTTTCGAGAAAATGCACTGCTGCTAGTGCTCTGGATGGAGGTGAATGAACTCGATATGATACAGCAAAAATTCACGGCATCGATCATGTTTTATCCTTCAATTGGATCATGTCATGACACCATGTGATTGCTAATTTTGAGCTCCGTTTCTCATTTCTAATGAGCTTCTCCTGTATCGTGGATCCCTCTCGCTGATTTTGGGAATTCCCTAGAGAAAGATTGTATAGAATCTACATTGATTTGTTTCCAGCAATCTGGGAAGTAATTCACATAATTAAGTACAGCCTGATGACAAAATGGGTCTTTGTTATTAAGGGCTAAGAAACGATATAGAAAGCCCCCCTCATCTTTTCAGTCCTTGCTGAATTGCAGAGCAGAAGAAGCAAAAGGTATCTGAAATAAAAACTGGGTTGGAGGATACTGAATCTATGGTAAGTTGAGAATGCAGAATTTTCTTGCACATTTTTCTCGATGGTGTTTGTTTGTATTCTGTTAATAAGTTTATTTTTCGTAAATATGCCTATGTTTCAGATTCGTAAGATGGACCTCGAGGCCAGAAGCTTACCGCCTAATCCAAAGCTGTACTTCTTGCTAAGCTCCGGGAGTATCAGTCGGACCTAAACAATCTCAAAAGTGAGGTTAAGAGAATTACATCTGGAAATGTAAATCCCTCAGCACGTGATGAACTGCTGGAATCTGGAATGGCTGATGCAATGACGGTAAGCCTTGTTTTCCATGGTTCTCATTCTCAACAGTTATATATTGCTTATTAATCTTCTTTTGGTGAAAATGGAACAGGCGACAGGTGAACAGAGATCGAGATTGATGATGTCCACAGAAAGACTTAACCATACCAGCGGCAGAATTAAGGACAGCAGAAGAACCATGCTGGAAACAGAGGAACTGGGGGTCTCAATCCTTCAAGATCTGCATTCTCAGAGACAAGCTCTGTTACATGCTCACAACACGGTAATGTTTAACCAACTATATAGATAAATCCTCGAGTTCTTACCGCAAAAATATTAGTTAGTAACAAGTATTTAGATTAGGTAGTAGTAAATGCAGTGGATAAAACCTGCCATGTCCCAAGCAAGCAAACGATATCTTCATCCATAGTCCTGCTTTCCACATCATAAATTCAACACATTTATTACTGAAAACCACAAAATTGCTTACGAATACGGATTGGCTGATACATTTGCGTATGTTACAGTTGAACGGGGTCGATGACAATATCGGGAAGAGCAAGAGAATATTGACAGCAATGTCGAGGAGGATGAACAGGAACAAGTGGGTGATAGCGGGTGTGATCGTTGCACTCCTTGTAGCCATCATCTTGATTCTCTACTTCAAACTCTCGAAGTGAAAGCTGCCAGATTGATTTTTCAGGTCTTGTGTGTTTTCATTTCACTCTTTTTCCAGTTCATTTTTTGTGTCCTTTGGCCCCTTTGCGAGTTTGTTCCTTAAGTTTATAACTGTAGTCTGTTGGTTTCAAGTGAATCAGCAACACATTGGTCTGCTTTTATACACACGCGAATTCATAATTTTTCATCATAAATATGTCGTGTGGCCTGTTGGGCTTCGTCCATTCAGAAAATACTTTTACAGGCCAGGCATTTCGGCCGCGTTCAGCATACGCGCTATAGTAGCGCGTGTCTCGTTATTAACACACAATCCAAGATTTGGCCCATCAAAGCCCACACTGATTGGTGAAAATTTCTCAGCCGATTGTTTCCCCTGGAATGTCTGATTCTACAGAGTGTATCCATTAGCTCTCTCTGTCATTTTGTGTTGGAGATGTACTGTACTGAAGGGTAACAAAAGAAAGGGAAGGACAAACCTTTGATAGTCGTCAGTCATATGAAATGCTTATCCCACAGAGAATTTCGTCTCCTCCTCCGGGAATGCGCACGCCGATCGTCTCTCTCAACCGGCAAGGAACTCCACGCCGTTTTGACCACCACGGGTTTCTCGAGAGCCCCGAAATCGTACCTAAGCAATGTCCTCTTCCAGTTTTACGCAGCGTGCGGAGACTTGGCTTCTGCGCACAAGCTGTTCGACGAAATTCCTCTGCCGGAGAAAGACGCAGTGGATTGGACTACTCTGTTATCCTCTTTTGCGCGGCACCGCTTCCCGGTGAAGGCGATGAAGCTGTTCGTCGAAATGAGAAGAAAAGGCGTGGGAATCGATGAGGTTGCGGCCGTTTGTTTGTTCGGCACGTGTGCCAAGTTGGAGGATCTGGGATTCGGTGTTCAGGGACATGGGTTTGCCGTAAAGACGGGACTTTTATGCCATCTAAAGGTCTGTAATGCTGTGATGGACATGTATGGGAAATGTGGGTCAGTGGGTGATGTCAAACGCATCTTCGATGGGATCGAGGAGAAGGGCGTTGTTACATGGACGGTGGCTTTGGAGACGGTGGTGAAATGGGAAGGGTTAGATAGAGGAAGGGAACTGTTCGACGAGATGCCTGAGAGAAACGAAGTGGCCTGGACGATTATGGTCGCTGGGTATGTAGGAGCTGGATTTACGGGTAAAGCCTTGGAGCTGCTGACGGAAATGGTGTTGAATCATGGGCACGATTTGAATTTCGTCACCCTTTGCTCGATTCTATCAGCCTGTGCACAATCGGGCAATCAGGTTATTGGAAGGTGGGTTCATGTGTATATGCTGAAGAATGTGATGGCGATGGAGGAGGAGGACGAGACCGCAGGTGCTGTTATGGTGGGAACAGCATTGGTTGATATGTATGCCAAATGCGGAAGCATCGATACTGCAATGAAAGTGTTCAAGGGTATGCGCCAGAAGAATGTGGTCACATGGAATGCCATGCTTACCGGTTTAGCCATGCATGGTAGGGGTAAAATGGTAATAAAAATGTTCCCGGAGATGGTGAGAGAGGTCAAGCCCGACGATTTATCCTTTACCGCCGTCCTAAGCGCTTGCAGCCACTCGGGCATCGTAGAAGAAGGATGGAGATATTTCAACAGTCTCCGGTTGTATGGTGTGGAACCTAAGGTAGACCATTATGCTTGTATGGTTGATCTTCTTGGCCGAGCTGGTCATGTTGAAGAAGCCGAGATTTTGATTAGGAAAATGCCGGTGCCTCCAAACGAGGTTGTTCTCGGCTCTCTCCTGGGCTCGTGCTGCTTCCATGGGAATCTAGAGTTAGCTGAACGAATTAACAGAGAGCTTGTCCAGATGAACCCGGGCAACACAGAATACCATATTCTTCTGTCGAATACATATGCTGCAGAAGGAAGGAGGGAAGCTGCAAATGCTTTGAGAAGGAATATGAGAAATCGGGGTATCAGAAAAGTACCTGGTATAAGTTCCATTCATGTACGTGGCTCAGTCCATAGGTTTAGTTCAGGGGATAAATCACACCCGAGAACGAAAGAGATCTACCTGAAGTTGGACGAGGTGATTGAACGGCTGCGATCAGCCGGTTATGTCCCTGATGCTTCTGCTCTGGTGTTTCTCAGTGAGGGTGAAGTGGAAGAGAAGGAACAAGCTTTGTTCTGCCACAGTGAGAAGCTGGCAGTCTGTTTCGGGCTCCTGGAGACAAAATCGGGCACACCTCTTCATGTGTTCAAGAATCTGAGGATATGTCGGGATTGTCATTCTGCAATGAAGCTTGTTTCGAAAATATACAACCGAGAAATCATCATGAGAGATAGAAATAGATTCCATCACTTCAAAGGAGGCTGGTGTTCTTGTTCCGATTACTGGTGAACAAAGAACTGCACATCAATCAATTCACTATCAGTCTACAAAAAGGAAGAGGAGGTAATACACAAAACTGCCAAAAAGAAAAAACTCAGTATCTTCCTTTTCTGTTAGTGAGAAGGCTTGGAATCTTCCTTTCCTGTCTCATCGTTGCTCTGCAAATTAGCTGAAGAGTCGGGGGAATTTTCAGCAGTTACTGTCTCATCGTCCTCGTTCTTAAGGAGGGAAGAGAAGGACAAAGGGTTGTAAGTGGAGCTGGCTTTCTGTAAACTACGAATAGCTCTCATGGCAGCGAGTGTACTCCGGTAGATATCGAGATTTTCCTCACCGAGAGTAGAGGAAGTCTCGGGTGTGTTAATGTGTGGCAGGCACGGCTCTGTGGTGTTAGATTCTACAACCTCTGCTTCGGTAGGGAAGAGAAGCTCGAGATTCGACTCACATTCACGAACTAACCTTGTAAGGGGTTCTGTTGTAAAGAAGGGCTGACGGAGAGCAAGCTGTGTGAAGGGCAAACGCAGTAATCCTCCGGTTCTCTTATCGTACTTCTTCAAAATCTTGACAACTCCTGTAAACCCGAATTTTACCAATTAAAAAGTTGTAAATTTCATCACATGAACCCTAAATGTATTTCATTTAGTAAACAAAAGGGTGTGTTTTTATGTGCCTGCAAAGTTAAGGGAGCTGTAGTTTTTGAGAAGAACCATCTCGCCATGAATGGTAACGAGACCCTTACGAATGTCCATCATTTCTTCACTAAACTCGCTTTCCGATGTAAAATCTCCGTCCCTTCCGCTCTTCTCCTTGACTCGTTCAATTCTTTCCTTCAGCTCCTGAATGGAAAAAGTAGATTAACAAATAGAGATTTACAAACTTCTCCAACTGGAACAAAGCCAGAAACTATGATCAATGCCTAACAAAAAAGCGTATCCTCCAAAGATTTTTACACAGAATTCCAACCATATCATAACACAGTTTAGTTAGCTATATGTTCTTAATACTCAATCACTCAATTACGACAATTCATCCAATTTGATGCACACAAGGCAAGCTCCAACGCGGAGGGCAAGAAACTGCCTTGTACTGTCAAGATAATCGCAGGAAAAATTCATACACCGACAGAGTAATGGATCTACAAAGCATCACTCCAGCTCAAGTGCAGTTGAGGAGCCAACCCAAAAAAGCCAATCCTTTGCAGGCAGGGACTGCAGATTCAATTCCCCATTAGCATTTCTTTTCTCACAATCAAGAACTACTCATCTTCAACATAAATCTAAATTGACCTGATGGATTTTGGATCGAATTCTACACAATGTTCTAAACTATGAAGCATCAGGTGGTATACTTCTTCAGGAACATGAATAGAATTCGCCAAGAAATTTAATCTTAACCATACAAAATCCCTTCTTGGAGTGCAAAGGCTACTCGTTCCAAAGCTTAAATTCAACACGTACAACTACCAAAAGTTGAAAGCGAATGACGAACCTGCAAGCGAATGACAAAATCCTCCTCTTTATCGACGTAGAAATCATTAAACTTCTCGAGCTCGTTGTTCAGTATCCTCACAAACGAATCATGCAGATCTTCCGGCGGCCGGCCACCGGGAATCGCCGCATCCGAGGCGGCGGAGGGGGAGGTGTTGGTGGTGTCGGCGAACACAGGACGCAACTGGCTCGCATCGGGAGGCGGGAAATCAACATCTCCGGCGGAGGAGTGCGGGTAGTGCTTGAGAAGCTTTTTCAAGGGTTTGTAGCAGAGGAACTTGTCGCGCCACTCCGGTAGAGTTTCCTCGAGGTGCGTACGGAACTCCTTGCCGAATTTCATGGAGATAACGGAGAAATTAGACGGATCTGAGATCGACGACGACGGAGATGGATGGTTGGGGTTAAGCGAGGGATTGCAGTATTTGTAGAGAGAGAAAGCAGAGAATCTGAAGGAAAGAGGAGAGAGAGAGAATCTAACGAAATGGACGTGGATGGCTCCGCTTAAGTACTGAGCATAGACGTCTCCTTTTTCTATCCTTTTCCTTCGATTTATATATATTTCATTGTTCTTGAATTATTTTTTTTTTTTTTTTTTTGATAAAATAATTATTTTATTTTTTGACAAAATGTTCTTGAAAATCTTTCAGATCCTTTTTTTTACAAAGCATCTACCTTCCAATCAAAATGTTCTTGATAGGTTTGATTTTAAAATCTATGAGATTATTTGGTCCGATAATGTAATCATGTATCACAAAACTATAAATAAAGAGAGGAATAAATAGAATGGATTATAGACAAACGGGGATGATGGACGTCGCTGATTCTATTTGATTTTATCTATAATTAATTTCCCCAACTTGTCTTTGATTTTATTATCATTTATATATTACATATATACACACACGAGTAGAGGTGTATGCAGCTCCCAAATGATTTTTTTTTGTGTTACTCATTAAATTCACCTAACGTGGCTCTTGAAGAACCGGCCGTCCACCCTTAGATTAGCCTTAGAGGGCTCGCAATGGCCAATTCCATGCAGAAACCTATTAAAAACAACGTATCTATCACATGCATTAATAGAAAAAAACGAGATTTAAGATTCCTCGCCCTGTGGGGTAAAGATTCTTTTATTGACGATGTACAGATTCAAAAGAGAACTAGATCCACTTTTATTTTATATATTATCTTCCGAATCAGAAAGAATCACTAAACCCTAATTAGCTTAATCAATGTACTAATAAAACCTAACGGAGAATCTCTGAAACACGCTCTAATTATTGATTGCGCTCTAGTGTGCGTGTGTGTGTATATATATATATATATATATATATATATATATATGTATGTATACATATGAGTGCTATTACGTTTTGGAAAAAAGAGACAGAAATCACATTATTGATCATAAAGTCCATGATTGATCAGAAAAATGACAAACTTCCAGAGCAGAAATGCCACAGGAACATATCTCAGCGTTTTCAGACACGACTGGGGTTGGAACCAAACTGGCAGATAGTGAAGGTGACAGTGAGACATCACCTCGTTTCAGTTCAGATGGAATCGAGAGCGTGAATAACGTCGGCCTTGACGTCCTCAAAGTCTTCAACTCCGAAACTGAAGCGAACCAAGTTGTCCTTTATTCCGTACTTGAGCCTCTCCTCTTGCGTCAGATCCCTATCCAGTTCCCATCACCCCATTATATATATATATATATTCACCTTCCTTAACGAGAAGTCACATAACAAACAAGGGGGGATCATATTTACCAGTAGGACATTATGGCGGGTTGGTCCACAATGCTCTCGCAGCCACCGAATGACGGTGCTATGTACGGTATCTTCAGAGCATCCACAAACTTGATCGTTTTCTCAATGTCTCCATCGACCTTACATGGACATGGACAGGAGAAGAAATGAGTTCCAAATTACTTGTCTAGAGGATTGAAGCAAGTTCCATAGGATGATACTTTACCTCAAAACTAACCACACCGCCAAAACCAGTCATTTGTTTCTTGGCGATATCATGCTCGGGATGACTAGGCAGACCCGGATAATACACACGACTCACCTGCACAGTGCACATGTATCTGCTGTTTCAGCCCCAACTACGAAAAACTCTTGCACATCGAGATAAGGTGTCTCAATATCTCTGTGCCAATTGCCATCTCTTGTAATTTATTTTTTTTTTTAAGTTACAGCTGAATCTATTGATGTGCTGAGAGAGGTGATATATACCTTGGGATGTGCCTCTAAAATTTCGGCCATCCTCAAAGCAGTAGAATTCTGTTGCTGTACACGAAGATGCATAGTCTTCATGCCTCGGATGATTAGGTATGCAGCATTCTGTTGTTAACAAGGGGCCCACAGTGTTATAATAGCCTATTTTATGAAATACACGATGAAAGACAGAAAGATGAACATGTAAGGGGATCGGGCTTTTTCACCGGATTAAGTGTTCCCCCCAACACATGATGCAAATTGCGAACTTCTGAAACCAACTTCAACGAACCACTGATGCATCCAGCAAGAACCTGACGATAACAAGGAAATGTAACTTTTACTATCTCCACAACAGCCGAGGCTCTTATACTCATAATTCTGCCTGATGTACTCACATCATTGTGGCCTCCGATATATTTTGTAGCAGAGTGCACGACAAGATCAGCACCAAGGGCAAGGGCCTTCTGATTGAGAGCTGTAGCAAAAGTACCGTCAATGCAGACCAGAGTTCCTTTTCTGCGGCATATTTCCGAAACTAACTTGATGTCAACGCATCTAAGGAAGGGATTGGTTGGGGACTCGGTGAAGAACAGAGAAACCTGCAGAAATTTACAATGCCAATTCAATGGATAGTGAATATATATATGTGTATACTGTTTCCACTTTTACTGACCAATGAATGTGTACAGAGAACATAAGAATTAACTGACCTTGTGCTCATTCACTGCAGCTTCAAGCCCCACGATGTCAGCAGGATCAATAACAGTGACCTATGCACATCAACACGAGGTTAAAGAACTCCATTTTCCAGACAGAAGCTAAAGCCAAGTTAACAGCACTAGACCCTCAAGGATTAGTTGTCTATTCCCTTGAAAAGGGTCCCTGTTGGTTCTACTCTACATGTTCAATATACAGAGAAACTTGGGGATTAAGGAAACGACTGATACCGTGATCCCCAACTTAGGAAGAAAAGTCTCCATGAATATCCTTGTCTTCCTGTAACAATCTGTTGTCGTCACAACGTGTCCACCAGCAGGAACCAAAGCCAACAACATGACAGTACTCGCACACATCCCAGATGCCAGAATCAAGGTTGATTCAGCCCCCTCCAGTGCACTGCAAAACATGAAGATATATATGTATAGCATCAAGAACAGTAAAACAATCCTCGTGGTAAACGCAGATGAAAGAGCATAAGACATCAACACAAACCTTATCTTCTCTTCTAGTACCACAGTCGTTGGGTTTCCATAACGACCATACTCAAAGCTTACATGGCGTTTCTCCTACAAGAATCAGAATTTTAAGGCAATAACAGACACAAGTCAGCAGCCCTGTAAGAAAGACCACTATTCCTCCAATCTTTCATGGAGTCTACCTAACTGAAGATCAAATGAGCAATTACAATAACCGTAACCAATCAGCGGGTTATTCCATCCATTTAGCTCAGAGCAGCATTAAAACTCGTAATTCAGGCAAAATATAGAGGAAATGGTATAGTCCCTGTACCTTGAAGTCAATAAGCTCAGCAGTTTTCTTGAAGAAGTAGGCAGATGTGTTGACAACGGGGGTAGTGATAGCATCCGTGACTATTCCACGACCTAATCTTTCACCTGTGTAAGACATACACCCACTATCTCAAAAAATGCACAAACATCAACGACAAATATCTCAGATGATCCATAACAAAAGATCAAATTTAAGAAGCAAATGAACAAATTGGACGCATATATGAATCAAGCAATTCGAAAAGACTTATTGCTCAGACGCAGCAGGAAACGACAACAGAGAAAAAGGGAAGAAAAATGCACCCAGTACGCGTACCTGCATGAACAGTAAGGCTCCCATCGGAGCTCAAAAACGGAGGTTTCAAATCGGGCAAACTCTCCAGCTGTACACTACCTACATCCCTAATTCCCTCGGCCACCACATCCTCCGTTTCAACGGGAGTCACGGCGGGAGCGGAGGCGGCGGCGGACGCAGCGGCTACGGGAGCAGTCGCAGGCGCAGGCGCCGCAGAGGGCAAACCAGAGGCAGGGTTGTTGGACCACTTAGCCGCGACGATCTGAGCCACACCGATATTGCTGCAGTTGCGTCGAGCCTTGGTGCTCAGTTGGCGGACGAAATTGGGCGGGAACCTCAAGATCACGGAAAAGATTCCGCCGGCGCCGGTGAAGGAGGAGGCGGTCGCAGAGAGGTTGACACGGCGGCGAGAGGAGCCCCCGAGGGGAGCTCCAGAGAGATCCGGATCGGAACGGCATTGGAAGCCGGAGGGAGCGACGGAGGAGAAGATCGTAGAGCACTGGAACGATGAGACGGCCATTTTCAAGTACGGACACTTCTCTCCCTCTCGCTCTGGTTTTCTGTATCGGGAATGGGAAGGGTCCAAAGGGGCGGCTTTAAAGAGGCCGAAACAGCTCTACCGGAAAAAAAAAACAGAGAGAGACAAAAAAAAAAAAGCAGACTGCTTGTCGTTTTTATTTGGTTCGATGGATCAACCTCGGGTTAATTTATTTAATTTCTCTGCTACAGTTCTGTATTAACTTATTTTTATATAATTTTTTTTCGTATTTACACATGAAAATAATTTCATCTGGCGTAATTTTTTACCTCGAGGGTAGAAATTAGGGATGAAAGTTTCGGAAATCAATTCGATATCGGGACGGAAATGTATCGGTTTATTTTTTTTGCTTTTACAACCAAACAGTTTTATACTAGATTCGATTCGATTTCGGTTTTTATTGAAAAAAGATAGATTTTATTTTAAAAATTTTAGTTTTTCAAAATTTTAAAAGTTTTGATTCGGTTCGGTTTTGAAAAATTCGGTTTTCTAAAAAAATACCATTTGAGAATTTAAAACGGTTCGCATAAAAAAAAATCATATTTTTCAAATTGGTTCGATTCGATTTTGAAAAACCGAAGACCCACCTAATAGAAATATTGCTTTTGTGGGTCGATGATGAAGCGATCACCAATTACCACCGAGTTTTGGATTTTCCTGCTCCATGCGTTTCCAACTTGTCCACTAGGACCATTATTTTCTTCCTTTGTTAGAATGCTACGAAACCGCCTTATGTGGTGGGTCCAATTCGTTTGATTAATACGTTATAAAAAATATATTTTTAATGCTAATAGCGATTGAAACCTTTCTTCAATAACACTCGTGTCACTAGCCTTGCATATAAGTAATGGAATATCCAAAGAATACGCCACATTTAAATAAAATGGGGCCACGCAACTCTATGGCGACAAGTGTGGACCAATCACCACTCAAACCTAAGCCCACTTTAAAGCAGTGGATCGAGCCAATAAGGGGAAACGAACGACAGCTTCACCACCACAAAAAATATCACAATTCCTGCTACTTGCTGGTGACTGACAGGGACAGTGATTGCCATTATTGAATACGCATTTTCACAATATGTATGAATGATATCATTGCTGTTGGAATCGAGCTTCGATATGAAATAAACAGTGCAAACCCTGTATATATGACAACAACTGAAGAATAGCGGTTAAAACCTATGTAGACCCAAATCCTGAATGGTGATTGATGCAGCATCCTTGATCCCAAATTTATTTGGAATTGACCACATGAATTCTTTGTTCCACTCATTTCGATTTTCAATTAAATCTTCCGAGATTTACAACTTCAAATCGTGGGTGGCTGACGACTTGTTCCTAAGTGAGTCTAGATCTACCCTCCCTCTCCTCTTCGATCTTATTCCTATACACTCTATTTTACTAACCGGAGCGTGTATCAGTCTATTACCCAAAAACAATGATAGCCCCCAAAAATGTAATTAATCGTGAGGCTATTTGCAAAAAAAAAATGATAAGCTTGAGCATCACCCACTTTCACACAAACCCTCCTACGAAGCAGAATGACATCAACATATCATAAACATGGGAGCAATATGATCCTAAGATTCATCATGCATCTGGGTTAAAATTACAGATGCCTATGTTTCGTCAATCATCATGCATATGGTGTTATTGGACTGCACCACATAGAGGTTATGACTCGTGCCTAAACCATGGGCAAAAGAGAATCAAGAAATTTCACCAGAAGAGCTTCAGAAGAATCAACATCTGCACGTAGAGATTTATTCCAACGGAAGAAGGGCGGTTTAATGATGAGCCTTGGCTTCGGCTTTCTTCTGTGACTTCGTCTTAATCTGCATACAGAAAGATTTCTATGTGTATTGGCGTAACATAGACAATAACACCCGACAAAATTTGTAAATGGAAATATCCAACGCCAAGAGAGTAGACAAATATGCCCAGAATATTCAGCATAAACACAAATGGTTCGGTATCATTCAGTGATCAATAACCTAAGAAATCATCATAATGGTTCGATATTTCACATTTCCTCCACATGATTCATGCCCAATCCCATCGAGCAAGAAGGTTTCAGCTTTAACAATATGGATCATGCTACGGTGAATTGGTCTCTCGGTAATTTGGAAAAAACAGTCATGGATGACGCATCAGTAAGAGGCTAAAAGTGTCTATTGCAGTCTCTCTCAATCAAACTACGAACAATATCATGAAGCCATCAGACCAAATACCGGCACGAACTCTAGAATGCAGATGAGAAAACTACATTTTCCAACATCAAATGGAGATGCAACACCTCAGATTCTAACAAAACAAGGATCCGAAACTCGGAAATTGACGGAGAACTGTTACAGATTCACGATAATTAAATGCGGGCGAACATTACCTTCAAAACCTTGAGCTTCACATTCCCGTAGATGAGACCCAACCCGAAAGCCGAAGTACGAGCCACCTGTTCGAAGCCAAAAGCGATTCGAGAAAAAAATCGAAGAAATCAAGGATACAGATCCCGAAATCGGGGAGAGATGGTTTACCAGAGCAAGAGTGCTGGTGCCGGAGTAAAGTCCCGGAAGAGGAGCCATCAATGGTTGGTATCGCTCGACTCGCCGACAGAGAAAAACCCTAGAACCAGAATCGATCGAAGCTTCAACAAATCTCAGATTCGAAACGGTGGCAAATGACTGAGCTCCTCCTCGTCGGAGATGGGCTCACTGTATTGGAAACGTTTGGGCTCATCATATGCCCATACGTTTGGGCTTTGAAGTGATTTCACTAGAGAGGCCCACCCAGTTAGAGATGCAATGGAGAGTCAAGAAAATAATATTTTCATTTTTTAGAAACAAAAAATAACACAACAAATCCACTTTTTTTTTGTAAAACAAATCACTTTTCCTTCCTTTATCAGTTTATTCTGGATTTTAAAATTATTTAAAAAATGATTATCTAAAATTAGTGTTAAACAATTTTTTTTATTGCCTGTAACTTCAATTACTGTCACAAATTATATTAATTTTTATAATAAATTAAGATTGAAGTATATAAGTAACGTGAACACCAAAATATTTTCGGAGGCAAAAAGGAATTATACCTTTACCCAAATTATATATATACATGTATATGTTATACCATAAGCAGCACGAATATCAATCACCGAACCGATAACCGGTTTACTTAACTGAACCGAATATACATACGCCGACGATTAAACCAAGACGAGAGGTAAGCAAGCATGATAAGGAAGCGAACAATCGATCGAAGCGCCAATCGCCCCCGTTCAAATCTATGGCAAAAGTGTACAAACCTCCGATCTCTGAAGCAAATTCACGCGTCTATGGTCGTGAATGGCTTCTTGTCCAATATTTCGACGGTAAGAGATCTCATTTTCTCTGCTTCCGTAGCAATTCCCGGCGCTCTCAAGTACGCCCTCCAATTGTTCGACCAAATTCCGGAACCAGATATATTCATGTGGAACACTGTGATACGTGGCTGTTCTCAGAGCTTGAAATCGGACAATGCGGTTCATTCGGTTTCCCTGTATACCCAGATGGAGGAACGTGGCGTAATTCCCGATAGGTACACGTTCACATTTATTCTAAAAGCCTGTACGAGGCTTCAGTGGAGTACTACTGGATTTGGGATTCATGGAAAGGTGGTGAGATATGGGTTTATATCAAATGCTTATGTGAGGAATACTTTGATTAACTTTCACGCCAAATGTGGCGAGTTGGATATTGCAAACGGGCTCTTTGATGATTCTGCGAAAGCTCACATTGCTGCCTGGTCTGCTTTGACCGCTGGGTATGCTGAGAGAGGGAAGTTGGTGGAAGCAAGGAGGCTTTTTGATGAAATGCCAATCAAAGATCTGGTGTCTTGGAATGTGATGATTACTTGTTATGAGAAATGCGGGGAGATGGATAAAGCAAGGGAGCTCTTTGATAATGTCCCAAAGAAAGATGTTGTGACATGGAATGTGATGATCTCAGGATATGTCCGTTGTGGGTCTCCCAAGGAAGCCCTGAATATGTTCAAGGAGATGAGGGATGTGGGTGAGCACCCAGATGAAGTGACATTACTAAATCTGTTATCTGCTTGTGCAGACTTGGGAGACTTGGAAAATGGGAAGAATCTTCACTCCTCCATTTTAGAGATGGCTTCTGTTTCAGGTTTTGGAGATGCGAGAACTCCCATCTGGAATGCACTTATTGACATGTATGCTAAGTGTGGAAGCATAGAGAGAGCAATGGAAGTCTTCAGGGGAATGAAAGATCGAGACTTGTCAACTTGGAACTCTTTGGTAGTTGGTTTGGCTCTGCACGGTCATGCGGTGGAAACAATTGACATGTTCAACGAAATGCAGAGCTCGAAAATCCGGCCCAATGAGGTTACTTTCATTGGAGTTCTAGTGGCATGCAGCCATGCAGGTAGAGTGGATGAAGGGCATCGATATTTTAGTCTCATGAGGGATGTGTATAACATTCAACCAAACATAAAGCACTATGGATGTATGGTGGACATGTTGGGACGAGCAGGACTGTTAAACGAAGCCTTTGAGTTTGCAGAATCAATGGACATTGAGCCCAATGCCACTATATGGAGAACCCTTTTAGGTGCTTGTAGGATTCATGGGAATGTAGAGTTAGGGAAGCAAGCCAATGAGAATTTGCTCAGGATGAGGAGCGATGAGAGTGGTGATTATGTGCTACTTTCCAATATATACGCTTGTAGTGGTGAGTGGGACAGAATGGAGAAAGTGAGGAAGATGTTCGATGATACAGGAGTGAAGAAACTGGCTGCTTGCAGCCTAATTGAGGGGGACAATGACAAAGCGATGCTGAAATCTTTACTCAGCTCAGAACCAAAACCAAGACATCAAATTTCTTGAGTTAAAAACAAAGCTTGCTTGCAGAAGGCTACATCTGTAAGACTGGTATTTTTGCTAACTACCTTCGAGCAGTCTTTTGAGCTAGTTGCCTAATCACTGCCTTTAAGATTATTTAGTCACCTTTAAGATTGTTTAGGTTCAAATTGATGCGAAGTTTCTTCTCTGTAGGCTGCAGTTTAAGTTCGAGCAGGTTTGCTCAAAAGTCATTTGATGATCACAGAGTCTTTGTCTCATATATAGGTAAGTTCTTGAAGTTCTATCACACACAATAAGAGGCACATACAGTTGTCTAGTTAATTAACCTCATAGATGCTTGCCTTCATTCCTGTCTTCAATTCTCTATATATAATGTATGGTTCTCAAAAACAGGCATGGACAAGATGTAAATGTCTAGAACACCAAAAAGGAGAAAGGACAAGATATCTTGTGAACAGATGATTAAACACAACTTTGATGGAGTACCACGTTACAGAGGTGACCAGAGAAAGCCACGAAAGGGATGAGACAAGAGAATCTGAACACAGATACAAAAGGATACAGATGAAAACCAAATTCCATATTTTACACACCAACCACACATTCAAACCGATAGACGGACCATATCGCTGGAAAAAGACCATAAATTTCAGGGGCGTCGGGAAAGGGTAATGGCCGATAGGAGAATGAGAAGTATGAACAGGACAACAGCTATGAAGGATCCAATCAGAGAACCAGAGATGCGCTCACAGAAAGAGTTGAACTGTTGGCAGATGGCAAACCAGTTTGTCCTGTTATTCCCTTTGTGTGCTAAGTACACTATGGCTGCTGCTGCAGATGCTCCAGAAGTCAGAAGACCCAACATTCCCTGAGACAGCATGATCAAATTGTAAGACTCTAATCTTTCATTTATCTAAATGACACTCTAATTCGATTCCATTCATTAATTCAGGAATTTCTTTTATTTGCAGAGACTCACCGCATCAAGAAAGATAAGTAGAATTCTACTGTTTTGGGCCTTGCTCTTGACGATGTGGAAGAATGAAAAACCCAGAGACACGATAAGGTAACCACTGACAACAGCGTTTGCAACCACGAAGAACCTGTTTCGAAACAAAAGAAAGGGCAACTCTTTATGGAAAAAAGAAAGGGTAACTCTTTATGTAAAACCTCGTATCAGGGTCTTTCTGCTTTAACAAAACCAGCAAAAGAGTTGTAAGAATCAAAGACATACGTCAAGGTTGGAAGATCATTGTACTCAGCACGAAACCGAATGAACTGGGTGAAGAAAGGGAGGGTTTCATTGGTGGTTCCCATGATAATGGCACTACCAATTGTGTTTAAGAAAGCTATAATCCGCAGGATGAAGTCGAATATGGCTATCCGTTTGTTCATTGCACTGCTTTGGTGGGCACCTTTGCTCCCCTCGACAATCTCTGTCTGGACAGACTTCATTCTCTCTCTTTAAAGAGTTTTTGTTTTCTTAGGAAGGAAGTTAGGGTTTGAGGTTTCTTGGGACAGAAGTATGATGATTTTGAGAGTTTGTTTGCTGCTGGATGAAGGCGAAGGAGCAACGTGTGTGTGTATATATATGCATGTGTTGGGGCATAACGCCATGCAAGAAATGGTCCAATAGAGAGTGGTTATGATAAGCTGCTTATCATTTTGTACTTGCTAAAGCTATTTTTGTTTATTTAATTATGAATGTGATTTATAAATCTTATAAATTTAATCTTGAAGTAGCATATCCATTTCTCCCATTTCAAAGAAGGTTTTTTTCCTTGGACCCACATAATAATTGGTAGAATTTTTCGCATATGAACATGGTTTTATGATATATTCATTATACTACAAGACTCCTTATATTTACATGTAAGCATTTATATAGCATATATGGGGTATATACTTCTCTCCTAATCCACCGAATGTTTCCAAATTTGGACACTTGAAATGTTGAGTGAACATGGGGAGCAGTTGAAATTATATTTAATGATAAGTTATTATATATGATGAATTGATTAATTATGTCATCCCACATGATTTGGTCTGTCATTCGAACAAACACACATTTCTTGTCCCAAAGTTTTTGCGAAACATTGGAAACTTAAAGAAGTTCCCAAGTGATTGGAGAAGGTGAACCAAGTACTTCCACGCGTCAAACACACTTCACTTGCAATGATCATTTGAACATCCAACACTACCCTTCTCCCAAGTACGTGTCGACCAAAGCAACTATATAATAAAATATAGCCGGCCAATTAACTTTATTTTAGACAATTAGCTAAAAAATAATATACCATTTTACTTTATTTCATTTCCTTAACTAGCCAACTTGTTTGTGTGGTCTTGATGGTACAAGTTAAATGTTAATCCATCTCATGAAGATTTTAATATGTTAATCAATGCAATTACCTCAAACTACGAACACAAATATTTTCGAAAACTACCATATCGAAAAAATAGTCTAATTACCATACGATGGCATAAAAAAAATATAAATCTCAGATAATTATAGACTTATTATTATTACACTTGTTATAAATATGGTGAAACTCATCAATACTATTCATACCGATATATTGTTTATATACAAATTCATATATATTATAGACTTATTATTATTACACTTGTCATAAATATGATGAAACTCGTCAATACTATTTACACCGATATACTGTTTATATACAAATTCATATATACGATTATTACTATTCATATCAACCGTATAAATCAACAGTATTTCAAAATTTCTATAAATAAATCATTTGGATTTCCGCATTTGTATTCTTTCAAGGTGGAGAGTAATAAGAAATATATTGTTCTCCATTCTACTAAAATATAGATTTCTGACTCATGGTTAACGGTCTAATATTCGAATCATTTATAATTTCTCTGTTTCATAACAATACTCGTTAAAGCAAAAATGGGGAGCGGGTTTGGGGTATGTTGGTAAATTGCCTGAAAACACATGCATTTCTTTAAATTTAGTAATTAGCCCCGGAACTTAGAAATGGAGAAGTTTACTCCACCAAGTAAACTCATTCCAGAGTATAGTGAAGTTACAAGACATCACTGTATTCCTTCACTTTCATAATCTCATTCTGTGTACAAAGACCGGACTGCATACGGCCATGGAACAGGTCAGTATTGGCAACAAAAACAAGACGGGAGTCATCCACTAAATGAATTATGTTATGTATGAAACTTAACTGTAAAAGACCGAAAACCGGTTCCAGCAAAAATAGAATTCCAGTTCCGTTACCTCTTTCTTCGGACAGCGAGAATCCCCTTCCGAACCTGAACCTGTCTTAAGGCTCTGGTACAGAAAGCATGCAGAGAACAGGCAACCAACAAACATGGCACATAGATGATCCGAGCTATGGAAACAGATAATGAACAAGTAATGATTTACCTGAAGATGTTAAACATGTAACTCTCATGCATCCCTCTGCCTGCAGATACATGTTTGTGCATGGACCCTGATGGTATAGCTTCCTGCTTCAGAGTAATAATATGTGTGGAATCACTCCCTTCAGCTTGATAACTATAAGCCACAAAGATGGAATTCAAGAGAATATACAATAACGAGATTCTCGAGACACAAGGCCCGGTCTGTGAAACCATATCCGAGGGTGGCTAAATAAAGTTTTCAAATTCATACAGAAGGGAATCATCACAATAAGCTAGGTTTTGTCGTAAAGGAAAAACGGAAATAAGACAGCAATTGAAAGACAACAGCAATACAGTCAAGGCAGCTAGATAGATAAGGTTCACTGGAGTAGAAGAGTAGAGCTCAGGCAGTTTATTTGGTTCACAGACGGAATTGGGAAGTTTTTCGAAAGGGTATTATCTCTGGCAAGTGATCTGTTCTCCTAGGAAGAAGCATCAAAGGTAGGCGACAAGTTCCTGGTTCATCTGGTCATCCTGTTTGGTGAAAGGCTTCAGGTGGAGGCAGTAGGTTGGCTTCAGGCTTCAGGATTTCACTGTTCTAGTGGGATGGGGAAAAGGCCACAAAGGTAAAAACAGTGAATCAGAATCTGGCACCGGCACATCAGATTGGGTTATGTCATGATATTGCTATTTGCTACTGTAGACTGGTGGCAGATAGCTAAGTTAAACGGTTAGGAAAAGAACACGAACCAAATTATAATCTACCTTCTTATGAATATCTCCTAGTAATCATAGCTTCTGCGCCGAGAAACAGATGAATGGCTGGATAACCTAAAAAAATATATTCTCATGATATTATAGATTGCTGACCAAGCATTGTACGTAGATTAAGTTATCGGAGAAGAAGCATCAAAAGTAATATGCAATAGTACTTCATATATGGCCACATAAAATCATTTTTAGAGTAAGAAAGAACAGGAGAGAAATGTATTATGTGCTCACCCTGAATTGCCACTGCGTCCTGATGTATAACCTCCATAAACTCCATAAGCACTACCACTACCACCAACCTGTGAAAAATGATTTCGAGAATCATTAACATTGAAAAGGAAATGCATAGCAGAAGGTTATTGAACTCCTTGGAAGAAGAACAAAGTTCCACAGGAGAAGCACTAAGAGGATTATGAATAACCCTCTAAGAAATCCCCCGCCCACCATCCTGCAACAACAGCCCGGGAACAGAACACCTCCTTCCTCTTCAAAAGTCGAACAAAAAAAAAGAAGAAATAAAAAAAAAGATCTGATAACTTCCAGGGGAGACAAAACATACCGAGGCACCATAAGATGAATAACCTTCTGCAGGCAAATCACTTGAGCCGTAACCACCTGGATAAGGATTCCCACGTCCGAGCCTTTTGCTATCTCTAGTATCATAGTCTAACCTATCAGAAGCATCTGGTGCGACAGGAACATATGGCAAGACAGGCAAAACTGCAGAAACAGCACCTTCCCTGTCAAAAATGTTGGCTCTTAATCTTGAAGTTATTTGTATGAGAGCTTCCTTGGCAACATCAAGTTCTCCAGAAATCTGAACATTAAAAAAACAGCTCCTATTAACTAAAAATAAGTGCTATAAATGTAAGAGGATAAAGCGCACCGACCGTCGGATATGATTATGACAAGTTTACCTGCACCATTTCATCATCTTCAGAAGCCACTTTCGGAAGGTTCTCCTTCCCGAGAATGCGAATATTAGCTTTGGTCATTCTTCTCATCTCAGTTATGATAGCTCCTCCTTTACCAAGCAGACAACCAATCCGTGAACTCGGCACAAGCAGACGCATGGTGAATGAGACGAGTCCAGAATCTCTTTCAACCTTTTCGCTGCACTTTGGTAGCAGCCGCATAGCAGCTTCTATAGTCGGAGAATATGCATCCTCAAAGTACTGAAGCAAACACAAGGTAGAGAAACTATCAAGGAAATAATAGCCAGATAAACTTTCCTTGCTTAAAACAACAGAAACTAAAAAGAAATCCCACCTCCCTGGTTGATATAGTTATTAGGCAATCATTTCCTTCACTTTTAGAGCTATCGACTTTAATGGTTGCTTTTGTTTCCTGCCGAAGCTGATTGATTAGAGTACCACCTTTCCCAATAACACCTCCAATGTTTTCAACTGGGCAAACTAGCCGAAGAGAGAATTCTTTTGCCGATGCCTCATTTCTCGGAGCTTGGTATATTGGGCGTGACCAGTCTCCAGCATCACTTTTGTATCCTCCATAGGAACCCATCAGTGATGCTATCCCCACAATTTGAGCACCAGCTGCTGGGCTAATGAGTGAACCAGAGGGATATAAACCAGCAGTTGCAGAAGAAAGCAAGTGCTGCGTCCGTGAGGGGTTTTCATGAAGACGAGAAGCAATCTGATGAAGAGCCTTCCTAACGATGAACACTTCTCCAGATATCTAAAAACCATTAAAAAAAAATCATAATGTGGAGAAGAAAACAATGGCTGTCATTAACTTTGCTTCAGCAAAAACTCCACAAAAGCAAAAGCATAAACTGGTTAGTGCAAAACACTTGAATGCAAATTCAGGACAAATACCTGAATGAGCTCATCTGAGCTCAAGGCACAGGGAGGCATATTTCTGTCCTTAATGATTCGAATTTGAGCACCAGTCTCACTTCGAATATTCTGAACTATTTGTCCACCTTTGCCAAGAACACATCCAATCTGGTCTGAAGGCACAAGCAGTCTGGCAGTAACTTGCTGGTCTCTTTCAGGGCTCTCTTCACCACGTAAATCCTCCGCGACAACTCTATCATGGATCCTGAACAATGCATCTTGAGCAGGAGAAATATAATTGTCACCATCTTCGAAGACATTGGTCTCATCACTAGAGCTGTAGATCGTGATTACACGTTCTTCACATCCTGGAACTGACTCCCCAATTCTTATTTTTGATTTGGTGTCAATTCTCAGCTGCTTGACGATCTCACCTCCCCTACCAATGACACTTCCGATCTTTTTCATTGGGCATAGGTAACGGTATACAGTATCATCACGATCAATTACAAAAGGGTCTCTGTCATCACCACGGTTTCTCCTTTTGCTTCCACTGTTCTCGTCATAATCAGACTGACCACGGGACCTCTTTCCATGGCTATTCCTCTGATCACCAGTCATTGTGAAATGGGGGGAGTCTTTCCTAGCAAACACATTACAGAAGAAGAAGAAGAAGAAGAAAAATCAGAACACCAATCTGATAGCAACCATCCCCTACATAGAAGCAAAATTATGCACCAAAGTATATGCTTTAGCATGCGTTAATGTAAACAACCACCATTACCTCTACTATTGCACCAAAAATGTCAAGAAACCAAAGCATGGTTTGCAAAGGGCACGCACATAAATCGGCAAAAGTATCAAGGAACATAATCAATCAACTTCCAGACAAAAAACAAAAGCATCAGATCCGAGAAAACGACAGAATTCACAACTCAAATTAACCAAACGAACAAAGTAGGAAAAATCTGACAAATAGAGCTGTCGGAACCGAAACTCATACAAGAAGAATCAAATGGAAACAAGAAATTCTGTGAATAAACGAGTAGAAACTTCGCTTACGATCCACCAAAATCTTGAATTGGAGAAAAGGGTGAATCTTCTTTCTCTTGACGAAATCGTATCTTCGGATCTGTGGGTTCAAAGGTTCTTAGGGTTCGCCACCAAACTTCGCAATTCTCGTCGTTCGTTTCAGTATATGATTGCACAACTTTTACATTTTTACTAATAAGCCTCAAACGTCTTAGTTTATTAACATTCTTTCCCCTCTATTATTACGTATTCTTTGTAGACCCCACAGGGAAGGAAGCTTTCTCGAAATTCAAATAGCAAAATGATTTCCTTTTCAGTAATTATCCTTATCCATACTCTTGGAGGTTCCAATTTATTTATATGACCAAATTCATTTAATAGACAACTCATAATTGGAGTGCACAAAAAAAGATATTTCCTAATTAGGAAATTAGCTCATATTGATTATTGTATTTATTTACGATTATTGTACTTACATTACTAATTATATTATCTGCAATTTGCAAAGATATCTCAAAAGAGGGAAGTTAGTTAGTTTTCTTAGGAGGACTAGAGTTTTAATTTTGGAAATTGAGGTAAGTACACAGAAAACCATATAAATTCTGGGTTCATTATCAAATATTTTTTCCCCTGATATTTTATTTTAGGCCCCCGATCTCCATCGCAAGAATCTACGCAGCTTCGTGGTCATCTCATCCCTCCACTGCTTTGCTTTGTGATCAAATACCTAAACTCGGACTCGAATCCAAAGAAGTTGGCGAAGCTCTTGCTGTAGATGTCGACGTCGAGCCAACCACAGTTCCGATACACGCAGACGCCGTCGAAGGTGCTTCACCTGCGGAATCTGCCATGGGAGTGCACGGAAGAGGAACTCATCCAGCTCTGCGACCCCTTCGGCAAAATCGTGAACACCAAGTGCAATGTCGGCGCCAATCGAAACCAGGCCTTTGTCGAATTTGTGAGATTTCTTTTTCTGTTTGATTATCTGGGTTCTGATTATTTTTCGATTCCTTGTTCCTGAGGTTTGATTAGACATGAAAGAACAAAACTTTCAGTTTCTGGTGGGCTATCACGGGACATTGTGTTGGCAATTCTGTCTTTTTGTTCTTCTTTCCCTCGTTTTCTCTCTTCTTCTCGTATTTGTTGGACTGAAGTTGTCTCTTTGACAAGATATGAATTGGAATTCGCAGGCAGATTTGAATCAAGCTATATCTATGGTTTCTTACTATGCTTCCTCGTCAGAGCCTGCACAAATTCGAGGGAAAATCGTCTATATTCAGTATTCAAACAGGCATGAAATAGTAAACAACAAGAGTCCTGGGGATGCCCCTGGAAATGTACTCTTGGTTACCATTGAGGGAGTGGAAGCTGGTGATGTGAGCATTGATGTAATTCACTTGGTAAGAGCCATTCTTTTCACTGAGTGTCCTAAAGTTCTTTATTTGCTGATACTGTTGGGCTGCTGATATTTATCGAAGAACGAAAGTGATGATTGTGCTGCACAATTTGTGCATGGTTGAGTCAGAAGATGTGTACATCATATGGAAACAACAATAACTCATCATCATATTGCTCCTAAAAGATCCATAATCGAACCGATCTGTGACACTAAACTTGTTACGATGTTGATCTTTGGTGTTACTTTGTTTTAAGACATTGGTTTCCAGTTATATTATCGGTCTTAATGGAATGCTTAAATCACAGATGGTGATGCCTCTTATTTAGTATCTTTTTGGAGACAGTTTGGAAATAGTAGCATGTTCGTCGTTCTCCTTTCTATGGTCTATCATGCCCGTAAATGGACAGGTGTCACTCTGCACTTATATCTTGCCTATTTGGGCTTCTCTTTGTCCAGAATCAATGACATTTGAGCTTCCGACTGGATTGCCTCCTTCTGTTCTTCCTCGTGCCATATGAATCATATCGAATCTTAGTTTGTTTCAGGTGTTTTCTGCTTTTGGTTTTGTGCACAAAATTGCGACATTCGAAAAAGCTGCCGGTTTCCAGGTGAGCCTTTTGGATCTATCTGGAAGATCTTGTCTTCCCAAACAATGATTCTGAGCTCATAATATGCCTCTACGACTTGCCAGGCATTAATTCAGTTTAGTGATCCGGAGACTGCATCAGCAGCACGGAACGCATTGGATGGGAGAAGCATCCCCAGGCATGCTTCAATTCATTCTGCATTCCTTCGGATCATTTGATCTCCTCTGATATATCTCTACCGATACTCTTTTATATGCTGTTGGGTTCTTTGAATTCAGGTACTTACTTCCGGAACACTTTGGTTCTTGTCATTTGCGTATATCTTACTCAGCTCATACTGATCTAAACATCAAATTTCAGTCCCACCGTAGCAGGTAATGTTGGCTTATGCCATGTGTGCTTCTGCATTTACTAGTAGTAGTGTTGTCTGCAAAATTTGTTTTACAGTGGCGGATTGATATTTTTGTTACTTCAATGTACACCAGAGATTACACAAATCCATACCTTCCGGTGAATCCTACTGCAATGGATGGGGCTATGCAGGTAATTTTTTCACACTTTACCTTTTTTCCATTTTTTTGCTAGCTTAATGTTCACTGGGTATATGGTAAATCTGAGCCTTTGAAATCATTGCCTTTCAGACTGCAGTTGGTCCTGATGGAAAGAAGGTAGAATTTCAGAGTAACGTCCTTCTCGCTTTGATTGAGAATATGCAGTATGCTGTCACTGTGGATGTTCTTCACACGGTGAGGAATTAATTGTATGCACTCTAAGCTTGCTGAAACGTTAAGACGGGTTTGCCCTTAAAATAATATTTCGCGTTTCCTCTTGTAGGTGTTCTCTGCATACGGATCCGTCCAGAAGATTGCTATATTTGAGAAGAATGGTGCTACACAGGCATTAATTCAATATCCTGGTACTTCCCTTGATGGGTTGCACTTGATTATAGGGATTTAAGAATCGGCTGTATACAAAAGCTGGTACAAAATCCCATCTTAGGGCATGATAGAGTTTTTTTTTTCAAGAGTCTAGACATGTCTGCTTGTGCATCTCATTGATGATTCTGACCAATGATGAGTGTCTTTGTTTGTGATTAGATACTGGGCTTGTAATTATGTTCAGGGTTGAAAAAGAAGTTTTCTCGTATGTTTTATCAAATTTCTTTTCTGTAGATATACCCACGGCAGCAGTTGCTAAAGAGGCTCTGGAGGGACACTGCATATATGATGGTGGCTATTGTAAGCTTCGTCTATCATACTCTCGTCATACTGATCTCAATGTAAAGGTACATAGATTTGTGCTTTTTGAGTTTTACCCTAAAAAAGAGACCGAAATAATGGGACGCTGCTCGATATGATGTGATGATCATTCATTATGAACGTATGCTTTCTTGACGCTTCCAGACAGTCTCCCCCTTATTCCTGGCCCGGAAATCTTAATCATCTTGTGGTTTAACCCTAACCCCAATCTTTCTTTTTCCTTTCTGTCCCGTGTTTTTAGGCTTTTAGCGACAAAAGCAGAGACTACACACTCCCCGATCTGAGTCTGCTCGTAACCCAGAAAGTCCCGGCTCTCTCAGCAGCTGCCCAGACAACTTGGCAAGAGCCGCTGGTCCAACCGCTGAACTCGGGAGCCGGGACTGCATATACATCAATGCCCGGTATTTATCCCAGCCAAATGGACCCAACATCTTTGCCTGTTTATGCAACATCAGCTGTTCCTGCATATGCTACGGCCTCATCCCCTTCTGGTTCTGCACGGGCGCCTCAACAGGTGCAGAACCACCCTCCTTATTACGGTTGAGTACATTGGTGTTTCTGTTTTTTTTCCTTCTTACTTTGGAACTCGCAAAGTGACTGGCTTAGCCATGTTTGCTCACAATGCCCTGAAAACTTGGTATCTTCAGGTGTCTGATTTCACCACCGGTCATGTAATGTGTGACCGTCCTTTGGCTATTCGCGTCTTAGTTCTTCGATCTCTCATCGGTTTGTGTTATTGTCCGGAGAGAAACGACCGGTCGGTCAAATCTTTTGCTGAATTTCAGGTTGAGCCCGAGATGTACATATCTCATCTCAAATCTTTCAAAACCGTCATTCTGAAAACACGTACATATGAATTGAGAAACTATTGGCAAACAAACAGCGACAAGGTATTGGCATATCGAAACATGCTCATTATGTATAGTGTGTTCGACCAAAAAGACGAGACATAACAAAAATCTCTTTGGCAATTACGGGCAGAGACATTCTTCCCCAATATGAATTGAGAATCTATTAACCTTATTCGCTACAGCTTACAGAAACCATGTCTTCCTCCCTCTCATTTTGCCATAGCTTTGGCTTTCTTCTTAATCCGCTGAACCAATGCAGATGATTCCGGCTTCTTTCCTTGCTTTTTCTCTGTGTCTTTCTGCTGGATTTTCATCTTAACCGATCTGATTGCTGAAGACAAATCATGTTTCTCTTTCTTAGAGTCCAAGGCACCTGATTTTGCAGTGTCATCTGATTTAGCCGTTGCCTGCTTTGAGCTTCTCTGGTCACCATTCTGCTTCTGAGAGAGTTGCCTAGCATAAGCCGCACTCCTGCCAGCCCCCAAAATGTATAAAGTTTCAGTATTAGTGCATGAATGTACAAAGTCATATTTGTATGCTCATCCACATGCATTTACCTGTTAGTAATGCTAACAAATTAAATAAATTAGATTAGGGGATCTGTTTCATCGGTGTACCTTTTGAACTGAGGATCTGTAGGGTCTAAAGCAAACAGAGAGGAAGTGAAGAGGGCTGAAAATCTCGGGTCATCGAGATCCGCATCTGGTATCTTCTCTTCCGCAATTTGTATTTTGCCCTTTTTACCCTTCCGTCTTATGTTGTAACCCTTGACATCTTGACGCTTCCAGACAGTCTCCCCCTTATTCCTGGCCCGGAAATCTTAATCATCTTGTGGTTTAACCCTAACCCCAATCTTTCTTTTTCCTTTCTGTCCCGTGTTTTTAGGCTTTTAGCGACAAAAGCAGAGACTACACACTCCCCGATCTGAGTCTGCTCGTAACCCAGAAAGTCCCGGCTCTCTCAGCAGCTGCCCAGACAACTTGGCAAGAGCCGCTGGTCCAACCGCTGAACTCGGGAGCCGGGACTGCATATACATCAATGCCCGGTATTTATCCCAGCCAAATGGACCCAACATCTTTGCCTGTTTATGCAACATCAGCTGTTCCTGCATATGCTACGGCCTCATCCCCTTCTGGTTCTGCACGGGCGCCTCAACAGGTGCAGAACCACCCTCCTTATTACGGTTGAGTACATTGGTGTTTCTGTTTTTTTTCCTTCTTACTTTGGAACTCGCAAAGTGACTGGCTTAGCCATGTTTGCTCACAATGCCCTGAAAACTTGGTATCTTCAGGTGTCTGATTTCACCACCGGTCATGTAATGTGTGACCGTCCTTTGGCTATTCGCGTCTTAGTTCTTCGATCTCTCATCGGTTTGTGTTATTGTCCGGAGAGAAACGACCGGTCGGTCAAATCTTTTGCTGAATTTCAGGTTGAGCCCGAGATGTACATATCTCATCTCAAATCTTTCAAAACCGTCATTCTGAAAACACGTACATATGAATTGAGAAACTATTGGCAAACAAACAGCGACAAGGTATTGGCATATCGAAACATGCTCATTATGTATAGTGTGTTCGACCAAAAAGACGAGACATAACAAAAATCTCTTTGGCAATTACGGGCAGAGACATTCTTCCCCAATATGAATTGAGAATCTATTAACCTTATTCGCTACAGCTTACAGAAACCATGTCTTCCTCCCTCTCATTTTGCCATAGCTTTGGCTTTCTTCTTAATCCGCTGAACCAATGCAGATGATTCCGGCTTCTTTCCTTGCTTTTTCTCTGTGTCTTTCTGCTGGATTTTCATCTTAACCGATCTGATTGCTGAAGACAAATCATGTTTCTCTTTCTTAGAGTCCAAGGCACCTGATTTTGCAGTGTCATCTGATTTAGCCGTTGCCTGCTTTGAGCTTCTCTGGTCACCATTCTGCTTCTGAGAGAGTTGCCTAGCATAAGCCGCACTCCTGCCAGCCCCCAAAATGTATAAAGTTTCAGTATTAGTGCATGAATGTACAAAGTCATATTTGTATGCTCATCCACATGCATTTACCTGTTAGTAATGCTAACAAATTAAATAAATTAGATTAGGGGATCTGTTTCATCGGTGTACCTTTTGAACTGAGGATCTGTAGGGTCTAAAGCAAACAGAGAGGAAGTGAAGAGGGCTGAAAATCTCGGGTCATCGAGATCCGCATCTGGTATCTTCTCTTCCGCAATTTGTATTTTGCCCTTTTTACCCTTCCGTCTTATGTTGTACCCCTTGACCCCCCCCCCATCCACTGCCTTCTCATCGGCCAGTAACAACTCCAGCTCGGCTCGGCTTGCTTCTTCTGCTTCTTCCTTCTCAGAATGCTTCTTCTTTTTAATAGGAGGCTCTTCCACAAAGAAGTCATCAGCATCTTCTGTCACAGCCTCTCTATCAGTATCATTACCATAACCATCATCATCATCATCATCATCAGAAGATGAAGAATCATCTTTGTTGTCTTTATTCTTCCTAGCCTTCTTTCTCTCCCGTCTCTTCCTTAGATAGGCCTCCCAAACTGTTTCTGACTTTTTTTCCTTCTTTTCAATAATGCGTTTACTCAAATCTTCTAACCCGGTATTGAATGTCACCTCCATATCCTGATCCTTATCCTCCTCTTCATCAGAACCATTATCTCCAGACTGAACCAGAGCACGGTATTTGTCTTTCATCTTCTCCTTTTTATCCGGCTTATCTTCATCATCATTAGATTCACTTTCATCAGAAGCCAAAAACTCCTTCATTTCAAGTTCAGCCATCTGTAACGAAAACACTCACAGTATGAGAACACAAAAACAGAATATATAGCAACATTGAAAAACTCTGGCAGTTCATTATGAAACCTCCACGATCGCCTGCCAGTGGAAGGCTTTCTGTGTTCAGTCAATCTACGCAGAGTGAATCGGTCCCTAAGGAACCCCCGAAAGGGCTGCCGTCCGATGGGTACACGAAAGTGACGAAGTTGCTTTGACTACAAAACCATGCCTCTAACAGGAAGTAACATTACTCATAAACAGTTAAATATATACCTGATCGGGTTTGAACTTTCGCTTCAAGGTCTTGACACGGTGAGGCTCATCTTCATCCCAAGAAAGATTGACTTTGCTCAACTGCAGAGCTCGACTATGAAAATCCAAACCGACATAGCTTGCAGGTGCCTGAATTAATCAAAATTTTAATTAACTATTAGTCAGTGTTCTGCATAATATCAGAAGTGTATCCACCATATGCTGCCATAAGTTGACAACCGAAAGAAGTTGCAAAAATGAACCTCGGTTGCAACATCACGAGGTGGATGTTTGAATTCCATGGAATCCGGAATAAATCTTAAGTCGAGCTTGTTTGATGACCTCTCAAACTCAACTCCGTCACATGTCTTATATAGGTAATCTGCAGTGGCACTGGAATCACATTCTACAACTGCATAATAATATCTGCAACAAGAGCAATACAGTATATGTTTTAGTTAGGTCTTCAATCTTGCAGATAACCCAACAAATCCACGCCATAAAAGTTTGCCTAGAATTTGAACTCACTTTAATCTACTAATTTCGTAAGCACGTAATTTCTGGTTGATGATGTCCTCGTCCTCTTCTTCTTCATCTTCTTCATTGTCATCATCTTCACTCTTTTTATCACCATCAAATAAACCAGCAGGCCCATGGATTTCCTCCTCTTTCATGCGCTGAAGTCCAAACTCAGATGGATAGACAGCTACCGACAAAATTTGCCCACCTTTTGGCAGAAACGAACTCAAAACTACAAACAAGTCCGATGCCTATGTATCACCAAAGAAATCAGTCAACAGCCAGCAAAGTTAAACGTAAAAACAAGGCATAAAATCAGAAAGCTCGAGGCTTTTCAAGCACAGATGCGAAAATCAGCAAGCAAATGGACACATTGCTATGCTGCAAAACCACACGATTTCATTTCATGCCGGATCCATAACAAACCAATTGTTGGGCAATAATACGCAGAAGATTACCATAAACATAGACACCAATTTCCAGAACACATAATCAGCACATGAGAACTCACCGAGACATGTGTCCAGTCCATGTTCACGATTGCCACTCTGCGGGTTTCTTTGTCAATCTCTGGTATATTTTCTTCCTATTACACAGCACATAACCAAATTTCATATCAGGAAATCATTATTCCTCAACAACAAAACCAGCATTCAAATCCCAATCCGTTCCTCAACAACTAAACCAGCATTCAAATCACAATCCGAGCAAAAAACCTATCTTGATTGATCCTATTGAGCAGGAAATTAAGCATCTTGATCACCTCATACAGAGATAGTTAGAAGTATTTACCACCAATTCAGGTCTTCCACCTTCATAAATAAGCTCATCGTCATCATCATCATCTTCACTTGTGGATACCTCTTCTTCTTCGCCCTCCTCGCCATCTTCATCCCCCGTTTCTGCCTCCTCGCCATCTTCATCTTCCGATTCCTCCTGTCCGGATCCTTCATCCGACGAATCCGATTTCGCATTCATCCCTCCCTCGCTATCTTCCTCGGACTCATCCTCGCTCTCTCCGTCAATATCATCTTCTTCTTCCTTCGTGTGTTTTTGCTTCTCTTCTTCTATACGATAATACTCCCGCAGTGAATCCTTGCCACTCCTCCCTTCTCGGAGCCGAGGCCGAGCTGACCCGCTTGTCGGTGAAGACGCGCTTGAATCGATCGTCGATCGCCACCTTCGTCTCGCGCTTCGGAACCCTACGAAACCTCGGGTCGGTGTGCGCCGACGCGAACCGTGGGTCCGTGATGATCTGTTTATCCGGCGGGCCGCTGCCACCGTCTGGCTTGCGCTGCTTCTTGTTCTTCGAACCCATTGTCGGGAAACCACTGCTAAGAAGAGGGTGGAAGCGGAAGGCGAAGCTAGGGCTTTAGATATCGTGTCTTCCTGCCAGAATCGGACTGCTAGGGTTTTAATTGTTGCCACTCCTCGAGTCTGATTAACCTATATATCTCACGCTTATCGCTTAGAAATTAGAATAATCTCAATAAATTAATTATTCTCAAAAAAGTTAATATATTTTTAAATTACGAATGTAGTTAGATATATAATAGAATCTATATATTATATTATTATATTATATAAAAGTACAGTGGATTCACACGGGCATGACACGTGTCCACTTTTTTTTTAAAAATTTTTTTTACAATTCTGATTCTAATTAATTGTTTTTGCAATTCTGATTCTAATTATTAAAGTCAAGATAGAGTAAATAATATTCAAAACTTTTATTTATTGGATTGGATCAAGGTTTTGTAAATATAATTAAAAGTCTCCGCAATTCCAATTCCATTAAAGAGGCTCAAAAATCTTTGAGACGGTTTAAGGGTATTTAAAGTGAGTTTTAAATTCATTGATGATTAATTAATTCAATTAAAAAAATTCTAAACTATAAAATGAAAAATATGTTATCGCTTTCTCATCAACGATATCAATTTGATGATGGAGGAATAGACAGTGATTTCCAGGCGAGGCTTAGCTAATCTACGTAGAATGTGAGTTTTTTTTTATGTTTTGTATATTATTGTGTGTATTATATTATTATCATCGTCATCGTATCAATACTTTTTTTAATAACATTAAAGTTGATCCCAAGTGGTTATTTGACTAATATAAATGTGAGTTTTTTTTTTGTGATCCATGATACAAAATTCGTAGAATTCATATACATTTGTTTTGATTGTCTATATTTGAACCACAACTTATATAATTTTACAAAATCGGTTTGACTTATTCTATACCAAAAATGGTATGAGGTATTGATTAAACATGAACCAAATGTTATTCCAAACGATATAATTTTCTAATTACACAATAATAAATCATTGTTGAAATATTTAATATTGAACTAATGTACATTAAGTAATTTGAAAATTGGTGTTTTTGATCATGTGCATGTGATACTATCATAGTACGAAATTTCTTTGTGAGTATATATATACATATGCATTGTTTTGGTGGATTATACATATACATACTTATATATATGTATGTATAGTCTTAAAAAAGAAGATAACTATGGGAGAAACAGTTATGAGTTGTGCCAAAGTGTAACTCTTATGGCCTTTTATGTCTAGAAACTAAATGTGGCAAAAAATATCAGGTTTTTTTTTTAAATCTTCCTCTTTTTATTTCTAAGTTCCAAATTTTTGTTTTTCGGTTGTGATTGTTCTTCGTCATCTTCTTCAAAGGAAACAAGGGATAATATTTTCCAGTGGCTTTTACCATCTTTAAACCCTACTTCCATGTCTACTCATTTCGCTTTTTAGTCCACCTATCCCTTCATTTCGGGCTCTGAAAAAACATAAACATGTTCTCCTTTTTGGACAACTTGGGAGGAGGACCAACTAAAGAAGGAGGATGAACCATGGATGAAGAGATGATCCTGTAGGGTGAAGGAGCATCGAAGGAATGTAGGTCTGCCTCCTCTGACGGCGGGTGAAGGTTGGTGGTGGTTATGAAGAAAAAGCATGGAGGGTATATTATTTTGGAGAAATTAATAAAAAAAGATTATTTCTTATCTATCCAATTATTTAATATGCAGATGGATCATATAAAAAAAGTTTTGTTATATGTTTATATTTAATTAATCCTTCAATAGTTTAAAAAAATAATCATGATATGAAATCATCAAAATATTTAAATCTTTTATAGGGAGAATTCCATAAAAATATTGAATTATAAAAAAAAAACTAAATAAACTACGAACTATTTCATTTTCAGAAAAAATACACTATCACGTTATCTTGACATTTAAAAAAAATTATCATTTAAAACCATAAAAAAAAACAAAATATATTACATTTAACTTTAAAACTATTAATGTTTTTTAAAATAAATTCATACATATTTTTTAATATACGCTAATATTTTTAACTTCTATATAATATGTATCCACATAATTAATTTCATAAAGTATATAAACTATTATCAATACAAATTATTATATGATATATTAATATAATATATATATATATACTTATACGAAGATACAAAAATAATAATAATAATACATATAAATATTGATGAGATTATATAGGTTTAACATTATACCAATGTTTTATTATGAAATATTTAATAATCTATTAACCATATTTTTGATAATTACGTTCTTCAGATATCCTTAAATTTACCAAAAATTAAATTCAGTCATCTAATCAGTAAATTTTATTAAAACATTATTTCAACTTCCATATTCTAACTATTTATTCTATATTATAACCGATAAAAATATAAAATCAAATATTTAAATCTGGTGCTGTTTTATGGATCCGAGGGTTCGATCGGGGTTCGATCAGATTGAACTCACCTTGTGATCCGATTATCATGAGTTGTGCCAAAGTGTAACTCTTATGGCCTTTTATGTCTAGAAACTAAATGTGGCAAAAAATATCAGGTTTTTTTTTTAAATCTTCCTCTTTTTATTTCTAAGTTCCAAATTTTTGTTTTTCGGTTGTGATTGTTCTTCGTCATCTTCTTCAAAGGAAACAAGGGATAATATTTTCCAGTGGCTTTTACCATCTTTAAACCCTACTTCCATGTCTACTCATTTCGCTTTTTAGTCCACCTATCCCTTCATTTCGGGCTCTGAAAAAACATAAACATGTTCTCCTTTTTGGACAACTTGGGAGGAGGACCAACTAAAGAAGGAGGATGAACCATGGATGAAGAGATGATCCTGTAGGGTGAAGGAGCATCGAAGGAATGTAGGTCTGCCTCCTCTGACGGCGGGTGAAGGTTGGTGGTGGTTATGAAGAAAAAGCATGGAGGGTATATTATTTTGGAGAAATTAATAAAAAAAGATTATTTCTTATCTATCCAATTATTTAATATGCAGATGGATCATATAAAAAAAGTTTTGTTATATGTTTATATTTAATTAATCCTTCAATAGTTTAAAAAAATAATCATGATATGAAATCATCAAAATATTTAAATCTTTTATAGGGAGAATTCCATAAAAATATTGAATTATAAAAAAAAAACTAAATAAACTACGAACTATTTCATTTTCAGAAAAAATACACTATCACGTTATCTTGACATTTAAAAAAAATTATCATTTAAAACCATAAAAAAAAACAAAATATATTACATTTAACTTTAAAACTATTAATGTTTTTTAAAATAAATTCATACATATTTTTTAATATGCGCTAATATTTTTAACTTCTATATAATATGTATCCACATAATTAATTTCATAAAGTATATAAACTATTATCAATACAAATTATTATATGATATATTAATATAATATATATATATATACTTATACGAAGATACAAAAATAATAATAATAATACATATAAATATTGATGAGATTATATAGGTTTAACATTATACCAATGTTTTATTATGAAATATTTAATAATCTATTAACCATATTTTTGATAATTACGTTCTTCAGATATCCTTAAATTTACCAAAAATTAAATTCAGTCATCTAATCAGTAAATTTTATTAAAACATTATTTCAACTTCCATATTCTAACTATTTATTCTATATTATAACCGATAAAAATATAAAATCAAATATTTATTTTAAAAAAAATCTCATTTAAAATATGAATCATAAAATCAAAAGCAAAATATATTATATTTAATTTTAAAATTAATAATAAAAAGTTTTAAAAAATTATATATATTTTTCGTCCGCGCGATGCGCGCGGGTTATTATCTAGTTATAAAAAATTAATTATTGATGATTTTTTTTTAAAATTGTATTGAGCTTATTATATTGAGGAAAATAAAGCCATGTGATTATGTGTTACAAATCATATAAATATCAACTTTCATGTGAAATATTGTTAATATTAGTAATGGGCTTATATTTGGGCCTCTGAACTGTTTATTATAAAACCAAATCAAGAGCCCAAATCTTTGACAATTCCAGTGGATGTATTTCCTTTAATTGTTTCATTTGTTTTTTTCCAGAAAACGCTAAATAAATATTTTTACAATTATAATGAAACGGTGTTTGGGAAATTATTAAAAATATTTTGTTTATATCATATTAATGGGCCTTCTACCAAAACCATTACACCTTAAAGTTGTGATAGATGCTTAGATTCAGTCCATCAGAACCTATTTCTTACTTTATAGTTAAAGATATGATAGTATATTACAAACTTTAGTATTATTATAATGTGAACGAAGTGGGTGAAACCCGGAAAAGGTGACCCACAAAATCACCAAAGCATAAATAAATTAGCCTTAAGAGAAAATAACAGTTACTAACCAATATAATATATATATATATATTAAAATAAAATTATAGGAAAAAAATAAAATTTTGGGTTATGATCTGAACAAAGTCCATTCAAGGGTTACTACACCTCTGCACGAACGATTGTGCTCTCGTCGCTCATTATCTTAACGCGTGTTGTGACTTTCCCTCTTCCTTCTCCTCTCCTGCGTTCAATCGATTTGGAACCCCAATAAAAAAAACTTGAATGATGATGACCATGATTACGATGACGACGATGATACAAATTCATCGTGTGTGTTGAGTATTTTCTTCTTCTTCAGAATTCTTCTTCGTTCCTCTCTTCGATTCATCCATAGCGTAGCGTGAATCAATCTCGATTAGGCCGCCTCCTGTTCTGTTCCGGATCGATTTCCGAGGCTTTTATATTGTTGATCGGATTTGAATAGCCGGGTTATTCATTTCTGTTACCTGGATAGCGACGAAGCCCGATTCGTTTGTTTGAATTGGGAAATTACAAACTTTTCAGTTCTGGGCGATTTTTCATCAGGTAGGTTGATCTGATTTTGGGTTTTTGAATTTAATCCGAGGGTTCGATCGGGGTTCGATCAGATTGAACTCACCTTGTGATCCGATTATCAGCTGAACTCGAAACTTCTCACGTTTCTGGAAAGTTTTCATTTTTCAGGACGCTGGTCGATCTGGTTTCAGGTTTTGCTCGCCGGTTTGAACGGTAATCGCGATTGGAATTCGGGATTTCCATCGGATTGAATCGGGGTTCATTCAAATTGTCAGCTTAATCGAAGCTATATCTCCAAAAGTTCGGAAATTTGGCTGGAGTCAGGATTCGATCTGATTCGGCTTTTTGGCTCAGCTGTTTTGATCCGAAATCGTGCGATTTAGTTAGCTGGTATCGAGTCAGATTCAGTCAGGGCTTCTTCCAGACTTTCAGGAGCTCCTAGTTTCTGAGATGGTACATTTCCATAGCTCGATCTCGGTCTGCAACTCCATCGAGCAAACTCCGGCACCGAACATGGCGAACTCAATCAACTCAGCAGATTTGCATCCGAAACCGAGGAACAGTAGAAAGTCCTACACATCACCGAGCTCGAGCTGTCCTAAGTTTCCTGTCTGCGATGGATCACGATCGGCCGCCATCGACGTGGTGATCCTGATCGCGGTGATCACAGCCTGCGGCTTCCTGTTCTTCCCTTACATCAAATTCGTCACTGTTAAATCGGCACAACTCTTGGCAGAGCTCTCTTGTTTGGCCAAGGAAGAGATTTTGCGGAACCCAATAGTGTATGGATCCATAGCTCTGAGCATATCATGTGCAGCCATCTCTGCCTGGGTAGTTGTGCTCTTGTGCACCACCACCCAAAAATGCGGGAAGCCTAATTGCAGAGGCCTTAAGAAAGCTGCAGAGTTCGATATCCAGCTGGAGACGGAGGACTGTGTGAAGAGCTCGAACAGCTCTTGCGCAGGTGGCAAGAACAAAAGGGGATTGTTTGAGTTGCCACGTGATCATCACCGCGAATTGGAGGCCGAGCTGAAGAAAATGGCGCCCACCAATGGACGAGCCGTTCTGGTTTTCAGGGCGAGGTGCGGTTGTTCTGTCGGGAGATTAGAGGTTCCCGGGCCGAAGAAGCAAAGGAAGATCAAGAAATGAAAAGGTTCCATCTTTTTCTCCAAAGATCGTCCTTACACCGATGTTATATGAGTAGCTATGACACCTTTTCGGGTTAGTTATTCTCATAACCTTTTACAGGAACTTATATCTTTATCCATGTGTCTAAATAAGATGAATATACGATGGGAATAAACAGTGTAAGGATATTGCGAAAATGGTTATAGTGATGAATGTTTCTTTTACTTCTTTGATCGCTCCTTTACTTTCCTTATGCTCTGATTTAAGGTAAGTTTAGGTTATCTGGTTGGTTTCTGCCATAAAGTTTGGAACTTTCTGCAGAATCTCTGCCAAAAGAGCTCAGGCTTCTAAGTGCAAGAACAGAGCTTAAAAGCTTGAGTTTCTCTAAGCTCTAATGGAGTTTATCACCAATATACACAGCTGAGCTTGTCAACGAAAAATCCCAAAACACATTCTTATAAAACAATAGAAGCAGTTTGTATCAAAACGTTCATTATTGATGCTCAGCAGCAGCGGCAAGAACTTCCTCATACTTCTCTGCAGCGTTATCCCAGTGGAGATCTTGCTTCATTCCTCTTCTCTGAATCCCTTCCCAACTCTGCTTTTTACTCCCTTTATGTCAACAAACAGTTCCCTAATGCTTGTATCAGTTTACTCGCTTCTGCGCTGTCAAATGTCCAACCTAGACCCGTTTCGTTAATCGGGTCAAATGGCTGAACCATATCCCCTCATACGGCATGGACCAGGGGGGTTGAGCCGTAGCTCGAGGGCATTCTTATATCATGTGGGGGGCTGTTTTCGCTGAGAAGCCAACCCATCCTCTTGCTTTGTCCCTGTATTGGTTCTCCAACGGTCTGAGAATTGCCTCCAAGTCTTGTCGTTCTGTTCCCAACATAACCAGCTGAACGTCCTGTCCCGTCCATCATCCATGGAACCGACTCAGCTACCAGATCAATACCCTTCCGGTGATCCAACCTTCCAATAAAACCAATCACTGGAACATCTGGTCAGACTGGTAAGCCGAGCTCTTTCTGTATTGCAGCCATGTCTACTGAGTTTTACCCTTTTGAAGCGTCTCCAATGAATAGTCTGTATAGCCATCATACTGAAAATGAATATCAAATCTAGGGTCCCATTCTTTTGAATCAATTCCGTTCAAGATTCATCAGGATTTCCAATCACTCCTTGAGCTTTTCAGCTCCCATGGCTGACAGTGACAACTCTATCAGCAGCTTTCAGACCACCTGCAAAAATGTTGAGAGGGTTTGCTGAAATGTACACTCTTTTTCCTTGTTTCCATCTAGTTTCGCTTCAACTAGAACAAATATTACAACCTTTTTCATTGTCTGGTGATTATTAACGTAATCTCTGGTTATTGTCTCGAGTTTTGTTGCTCTCTTTTTCCATTGCTCATATAAATGCATGGGGATCTCCTTCACAACTCACCCAAATCGAGTAAATGTGATGATCCGGTTAAGCTATTTTAATTAACAGGAAAGTACTAAACCGGTCATAGCTGACGATCTTCTGACTTTCTCTGGTTTAGATGGTTTGGTAGTTTGGTTTGGAGATGGGCCTTGGTCGTGCTAATAACTTTAGGGGTGGAATTGTAAAGCATTCGAAATTTCAGGGCCTAAAATGAAAGATGGGTCTAATGTTCTAGAGCACCACGTTGGGCCGAATATCATGTCATGTCCATTCACTTTAACAGTAGTAGGCAAATATTTGAAATCATCGAGAAGTTATGAAATTGTTTTTAATTAGAGGGGATTTATTTGTTTCAAATTAAAATGTTGAGGTGTAAATGTAAAAACAAATGAAATACAGACCCATTCGCACGTAATTTATTGTCACTTCGAACGATACTCTCCCTCCCCTTTCCTCTTCGTGTCTCCGTCGCCGCCACCGTTTTCTTTTTCAGGACTCGCCGCCTGTGTGTTTCCGCCGGCATCGAAAGTCTCGGGTAAGTTAATTCCTATTCTTCTCCTCCTCCTAGGTTTGAGCTCGGGCTGACGTTGGGCATGGAGTAACCTGCCGTTTTACGCCGTATTTTACTCGGCTAGGGTCTTGGATTCTGAGCCCGTTGTTCTATGATCTAGATGGACCTTGCAATTCCGCCTGATTCACCGTGAAACGGTGAATTTGATCCGAGTTTTGGTGGCAAGTAAGGGCTTTTACGGTGGAATTATCGCCCACGGAAAGCCAAAATCGACCTCGGAATTTAGGTTACTGGTGGCTTCCAGCGGGAACCGGATTGATTAGTGATTTTGGTATAATTTTTGAAATCTGAGTCATTATAGTTAACAAATGATTATTCGATCGACAATGCTCACGTTCTGGATTGCTACGTGAAACTGAAAACTAGAAAGCCGATTAACAGGACTTAAGGAATGTTGACTTGGAATTAAGGTTAAGATTGCTGTCTGTTTGATAAAAGTTACAGAATCCCATGGCTGTAAACTTGAAGATGGGAAGAAGCTACCTACACGTTCTCTTTGGTTTTCAGGGAGATTACTTTTTTGAGGAATGAGGTTTCTTATATTGTTGAGTTTTTCTGTAACTAAATTTCCATGGAAAATACAGGGGGGTGTTGCTGTATTGCAGTGGTTTGCATTGATCTTCTGAATGGCTATTGTGCAGGTGCTCTCTCTCTTTTTGAAATTCTAAAAATGAATGTATTCAATTCAGCTGCATCGATATGCAGAAGGGTTAGTTTGAGGGAACTGATCTCCGAAGCTCCCGTATACAATAGCTGCATTTCTGGTATTAGTTTGTCTATTTCAGCTTTCTTGTGATGAGTTTCCATCTCTATCTGATCTTTCTGGTTCTGGTATCACTTAGTGACCCATTTGGTTACTTCCTCTTTTTTTTTTCTCTGTGGTGTTAGATGGTTCTTCCAACGGGTTGAGCGTGGTTTTTAAGCGTTGGGCTACTAAGAAGACCGCTGGATCCACAAAGAATGGGCGAGACTCTAAGCCCAAGAATCTTGGTGTCAAGAAATTCGGAGGAGAGGTAAGACTCCAAGCCGAGTAGGATCCTCTCATGCGTATGATTAGGACTATGCGTACACGTATAGGAAAGAAAAGAAATGGTTGATTTCTGCAGGGCAAATACACTTTAGTTGATTTCTTGTTAGCTGAAACTTCAGGGCAAATGCATATGTATGTTTCTGCAGAATGTGATACCGGGAAACATCATAGTCCGACAAAGGGGAACACGGTTTCACCCAGGGGACTATGTCGGGATTGGTAAGGACCACACCCTCTTCGCATTGAAGGAAGGGCGTGTGAGATTTGAGACGCACAAACTGAGCGGACGCAAGTGGGTGCACGTTGATCCGAAGGAGGGTCATGTTCTTCACCCTGTCTTCCTGAAAGCTTCTGCTGCTGCTGCCTCTGATTCAACAAAGATGGATACAGCTTCTTTGTGAAACTCAGGTTCACAAGGTTTTGATCCCAAAAAAAAATCTCTCTTTTGTTTGCCTGTTTAAATGCGTTGAAACAGCAAAACTCTGAGACATTTCAAGTGCTCTGTTTCCTGTTTACTGTTAAAGACTTTTTGAGTCTTGTCTTTGTGTCAGCTGCTTCATCCAAAAACCCTCGACGCCTCCTTTGATCGATGAATTGTATTTTACATACGAAACCATGCGAAGCCCAATCACGCAACATTACACTTTAAATGTGACGGTTCAAAAAAGAAAACAAAAGAATATGCTAAATCCCATTCTTTGTTTTTCCAATGTTCTTTTATATTTTTTGGATTTTCTTTTTTGTCATTAAGACAAATCCATGTTCCTTCGGTCATTTAATAATAATGATATACACACATATATATAAGATGAGATGAGCCAACTCGTTTTCGCCATTAACGCGCTTTGGACCCCATCACTACAAGTTGTTACGCATATGGACAAAAACTATTAAAAAAAATCCTTTTTATAATTATTTCCTTGTTGTAAATTGAATTTTCAGACATCTAGACAGTAGTCCAAACTAGGAACTAAACCTCCTCCATACATTCCGTGAAATGTAAATTTACTTAATATAAGAACCGAACGCACTATTTTTTTAAAAGAAAAAAAATTCATGTATATCCATTTAACATACATAATATAATAAAAATATTAAAAACGATTACATGGGTCCATGATTAAATAATAATTAAAAAAAGGAGTGAAAATTATCCTCGTTATGGGCAAATACGGATACGTAAGTGTCGGTTTGTCACGTTCGTCATTACAATATCCTAACTAAAAGTATGGTCATTTCAGCCTTTTATTATTTATTTTAAATTCCTTTCTTCATTAATTAATTATATTGGAGTACAATCTTAATACGAGTGGTAATTCAAGCTCACATATCCGACCAAGTACAAATCTCTTCATCATTCTCCTATTCAATCGTGTGTGGAAGGACGTAATTAATCCTTTTAATTTTTTTTTAATTTAATTAATTAATAATCTCGATGACAAAAGTTTAACTCATTAGACCCGAAATTAAGCGCACATGGTTCGATCCGGACGTGCAACGTGGCATCAAGAGGACACGTGTCAACTTTTGTTGCTATTTGTCGCTTTCGTTTTAAGTCGCTAATTATGATATAGCGACTGCTTCATAATTAGCCCCGAGAGGTTTCATGCACCTTACGACAGGGTGGGGTATGATCGTCATTACGAAACTCGACCGAGGGCATTTTGGTCCGATTGACACCACTCTACTGAACCGATGAGATCTACTAGATACTCCAGAAATCATACGCAGATTTGTTGTGTTCGCTAGTTTAAACAATTCATTTACTATAACGGGAAAAATCCAAACCACGGCATTGATTTAAAAAAAAAAGTGTTGATTTTTTTTTTATTGTCGATGTCATGAAGATACAAATTTGAAAAAAGAAAAAGAGACAAGATGCTGTGCTCTGAACGCGAGTTATTAGGCATATTTATTACACTTATCTTCTCATTAACCCTTGGGTGGGGTCAACAAACCATGGTTAAAAAAAAACACAGCAAAAAGAAACACACATTATGGTTAAGAAGCTCAACCACACAAGCTGGATTTCTCATTATCAACAGTCTTCACTCCTCATCATCGCCTTCCTTCTCCTCCACCCTCTGTTCCCCCTTCACCTAAAAAATACTAATAAAAAATTATATTTCGAAATCAGGGGAAAAAATTATCAAAAAACCCAAATCCCCAAAGATTTCAGCTTTTTAAGTAAAAAAATAAAAAAAATAAAAAACCAGATTTGGTCTTTTACTCTCCATCGCTCCCTTTTGCTCTGCTTCTTTAAAACCCTAGATGTTTGAGCCATGGAGATAGCTCCTATGGTTACTGCCACGACAACCACTACTAATACCGTCACCATACCCGACCCGGACTCTCCAGACCACGAAATCGGAGCCCCGACACGGTTCCAGCCCGCCAAGCCCATCTCCTTCTCCAATGGCAAACGCCACCACCACCCGGCGTTAGGACCGGTGACCTACAGAGAATGTCTGAAGAACCACGCCGCCGGAATTGGCGGCCACGCCCTCGACGGCTGCGGTGAGTTCATGCCGTCGTCTTCGACCGATCCCAACGATCCGACCTCCCTCACCTGCGCCGCCTGCGGCTGCCACCGTAACTTCCACCGCCGCGACGACCCATCTTCCTCCCCCGCCGCCGCCGTCGAGTTCCGGCCGCAGAACCGCCACCATCCGATGCCTCCGCTCCCGCTCCCGCCGCCGGTCCGCAGCCCGGACGACGACTCCGCCTCCCCTCCTCCGATCTCCTCCTCGTACATGCTCCTCTCTCTCTCCGGAGGGAGAAACTCCTCCGGCGGAGGAGCGACGGCAGTGGCTCCGGGGACGCATAAGAGGTTCAGGACGAAGTTTAGCCAGTACCAGAAGGAGAGGATGCTGGAATTCGCGGAGAGGTTGGGGTGGAGGATGCCGAAGGCGGCGGAGGACGCGGGGGTGAGGGAGTTCTGCCGTCAGATCGGAGTGGAAAAGGGGGTTTTCAAGGTGTGGATGCATAACAACAAGAACAACGGACGCGGAGGAGCTCGGAGGGGCTTCACCTTGAGCGGCGGCGGAGTTGTCGCCGGAGACAGTCGTGAGAAGGTGGCGGAGAGTGATCATGACGGCGGTACGGCGGCTGAGGGATCATTTTCCTCGTGAAAACGTCGCCGTTCTAAGGCGAACTCATTTGATTTCTCCGTTTCACCTGAAATTTGTGTTTTTTTTTTTTGTTTGTTGTCGTTGTCGTCGTTAATTTTTTTTTAGAATTAGGGTTCAATTAATGTTGACTGCTGTGTCCTTTTTTGTTCAGAAACAGGGATTTCATTTGTGTTTTTCGTTTCTCTTATTTTGTTATTAGAATAAGTAAATTCGGAAGCGGTGATGATGAAATCAAATCATCATTGGGTGGGTGTGGGGATTAATTAAGGTACAAAACAAGTAAGTATGATTAAGGGATAAACAACGATTAGAGCGTTGCTTTCTTTTTAAGGTAAGTAGGGTTCAGACATATTGGAACAATAATTATTAAATAAATAAATAAAAATCACGTGAACGTGGAGGATCTTCACGACATCATATATGGATGCATCATGTGGACGTACAAGTAAAGATGTTTCGGTGTGTAATTAGTAACAGCAAAAAAGAAAATGCACACAATTCTCCAAATTAACCAATCCATGAAATTAAAATCACATAAAATTATATATTTTTTAAAAAAATTAACTAAAAATACTCTCTGTGGTGGAAGCTCCGGTGGCAACCGCAAGCCGCACAAGAGAAAGATTCCGGCGATCCATCTTCACCGGCGGCCATGAACTCGCCGCAGCCGTCGAGGACGTAGTCTCCCGTATCCATCCCATGGTTTTTCTTGCATTCGCCGTATCTAAAACTTTCACTTGCCACATCCATTTTCTATATCGTGAACCATGTTTTCACATGCATAAACACGTTTTTCGATCATCACCCAAAATCTATTCGGCGAATTGGATGACAGTTGATATGATACATATATATAATATATGGACTCACCAACGTCGCCACGATTTTTTCATGGAAAGACAAATGGCAGCCACAGCCACTGCAGAGCAGGGACTCGGGCGTTCCTTCCTCGCCTCCGGGGACGAAATGCTTGCAGAAGTCACGCATGGGTGTATATTCGTTCTTCCTGCACTCTCCATACCTCGTTACTTCTCTGTACTTGCTCATTAAATTCTTGCAGTTTTGTCCGAAATCCCAAGTATTGTATATTGTGATCGAAATGACAAAAGGCTCTTTGTGGATGTTTTTGTTGCCGGGTTTTGTCTTTGACCTCGAGGTTCATATTTGGATGGTAAACTGTCCTAATTACTAAAAGTCAACCACCCAACTTGTGCTTTTTTTTTGTTTAATGATTATATATATATATATATGTATATATGTCGATGATCACGCATTGTTATTGGAATGACTCGTTCCATAAAACCCACTAGCTTGTAATGTTTCTTATCGATTTGATTCGTTGTTATCGTGACAGCGAAGCGACTGCAAACAAAACCCCATTAATAGTATCCACTACTTTGTTTTGTAACGTTTCAATCCGTCTTTGATAGCCATTACTATATTTTTTTAAATTCCAAATTAGGAATTTATATATATAGTCTCTATGTGTATCAAATAAAAGCAACCTCCAAGATCATACTTTGGACTGTATCAAGAATCATTTGTATCCCTTGATTAATTCATGGGCATTTCATATTTATATATCTCACTTTAATATTCGTCATATAAATTAAGATAACTATTCTTCAAACTCGTGTAATCAATTTCTCCATTGGGGCATTCGCCTTGACTATCGTCAAAGTTTTTCAACCACAATTCTCTGGTTACTTGACGGTTTCCTTTAAGTGAATTCAATGCCCTCGTGTAATCAAACACCCTCATCTTGCCATGCAAACCTAAGTAGCCCTGTTACGTACTTGAGTAAATGATTGATCTTGAAGAACAAATTAAAGAATCTGTTTCATATCGGAATTCCGGCCGATCATAACAACTCAACCAAAACATAACTCTTAGTTCAAACGGAGATCAGTTCAGTTCTGTCCTAGTAGCAAAATATCTGCATCTCCTCCCAGAGAGAAACCCTCGATTTCACAGTTTTTCAACTGTGTAGTGTCAGCATCATCAAGCAACCATTTCTCGATCTCAGATAACGGCGTTCGGTCGCAGCTCTTGGCTTCACCAGGGGAAGAATCAAAGCTCTCAGACCCTACAAACTCTCCATCTCTATCTTTGGTTTTCGTTTCAGGAGATTTCTCGAGCCACCCTTTGAGCAGCCTGGCTATATTCTCCAGGCTTGAGGCGTAAGCGCTTGTCTTTGGCCTCAGATCAACCATAAGGGATTGTTTTCCGGCGGATAGTAACGCCTCTTGAAGATCATGCTTGGCCTTTTCGATGCCGCTTTGTAGTTTTCTCTCCCATTTGTCTCTGGAGATCGAACCCGAGGACAACGATGGCGAATTCGATGAAGAAAACCCGGTTTTCATGGATTCGGATCCAACCCTTTTCATCAGCTTCTTCTTCAAATGGGTGTTCCAATAGTTTTTTACGTCGTTGTCTGTCCTCTGTGGGAGGTATGATGCTATTGCCGCCCATCTATAGTCACACGCCATGCATACATATATTTATAACATATGATCTAAATATTATTACATGATGCCAAATTTTATACACTTTTTGTGTTTCATACAAAAGAGAGAGAGAGAGAGAGAACCAGTCACCTGTTGCCGAAGAGGGCTTGGAGATGGACGATCACCTTCTCTTCTTTCTCCGTGAAATGGCCTCTTTTGATTCCTGGTCTTAGGTAATTACTCCATCTAAGCCTGCAACTCTTACTACATCTAACCAAACCTGAAAACAAAAACGTGTTTAATTAAGGAACAGGATTAAGGAGACTAATTCAAACACCCATCTAGTGATTTTTCTCTTATAAGATTTGGTCCAATCGGGTTTGAATCCAGGTTGGGAGCACTTTGTACCATCCAACCCCTAGGCTATCCCATTTGGGTTTTTTAAATTTTGGGTTTTGAATCCCCGAATGTGTTGTCACAAGGTAACCCAAAAGGTCGGTCCTGTCCTTGCCAAGGGAGATGCCAACCGTCTCTCCTTACGTATGAACACCATCCAGTGAAAATTATTACATATATATATATATATATATATATATGATATGCAATCCGAAAACAGACCTGTGTTTTTGGGAACAGCTTTCCAGTTGCCAGGGCCATGTTGCTGAACATGAGAGACCAACATGATATCTTCTTCGGGGGTCCACGCCCCTTTCTTCACACCTCGCTCACTCCAAGCTGGTCTCGCCATTATAATACAATCATCTATCTCTTCTTTCTGTGTATATATATAGTAGAGGGGACGATAAGATTATTTATTGAAAACGAAAAAATAATTAATGGATTTTTATCAAAATATATAAGTCAATTGTGACAGCAAAAATGTAATAAAAGGGAGACAAAGGGTCTTAGCTGTGTTAGTCATCTCTATGTCTCCATTATACACATTGCATTCAATGTGTGGCCAATGCCATTTCTCCAAGTCCTATTCAATCCCATCATCATTTGTGCTGAATGTTTGTTCGTTCTCGTTCATGCATGTTTGTATGGATGGTTCCTATACTATCAATATAGATCTGTATATGGATGGTCTCTACGTATATGTATGTATTTATGTTCATTCCCAATTACATATTGTATCACTCACTACCATGTGGACGACTTCAATATGATTAAGCAACTTATTTACTTTCGTGGCTGGCTGTGTCCATACCTAACTTATATACGTATATTATCAACGTGTATATATATATATGTGTGTGTGTTATATCTTAAAATTATTTAGGTTTTTTTTGGAAGAAAATATTTGACAAAAAATATCAAAAAAGAAAAAAGAAAATATTTGACAACATATGCTTTGCATATGTAAAGAACGGGCTGAAATTTATAAAAAGAAAAAAATACAAATGGACCCAGTAAGAAAACTAAGTCCATTTGTTTATTATAAAATTAGGCCCAATAAAAGGTGCAGTATAATGTTAACAGCCCCATTAGGGTTTTATGTTCTTCCGCTTATAAGAGGAGTCGTCTCTTTCTTCAGTCCCCGACTCTCTGTTTCCCGGTTTCCTCCATCCGAGTCTGCGAGAGACGGAGACGAAGAGATGGTGAACGTCAGCTACTACCGCAATTGTAAGCCGCCTTTCCTTTTTTTTTTTTGACATCTTTCGAAGTTTTAGCTTGGAACGCATTCTCGATTTGATCGCTTAGGGTTCATCACAACTTTATTGCTCCATTGATTGCGAATTTGTTGATGAGGCTGCGTAAATTTGGATGAAAATTGATATGATTTTGGCCTATGAGGTTTTGTTAACCTCAGTCTGCTGTTGTTTCGTGGCACGAGATTTAGGGTTTAGTATTGGGTCGAACTTTGTGATACGAAGTTTTGAGACTTTGTTGGGAAATCCACTTCGTAAAAAAAAATTTCGAGATGATGAATCTTTAAGACATTTGATATATGAGTGGGGCATTGAACGATTGCGTCTTGGTCATCGAATAGAGCTTATTAGTATACCGTCTTGTAAATTCTAATGTGGAATGCTTCTCTCTTAGTGTAAGCTTCTGATGCAATGTTGAATAGTTTGCAGTTAAGATTTCATTTTGTTTGATAGTAAGTTATCGGCTTTCCGAAATTATAAAATTCTCACCTCCTTGATTGCGAGAGTAATGCCTAATGTTGTGTGATGGAAAATGTTTGCAGATGGAAAGACCTTCAAGAAGCCCCGTCGCCCTTATGAGAAGGAGCGTTTGGATGCTGAACTGAAGCTGGTTGGAGAGTATGGTCTCCGTAACAAGCGTGAGCTCTGGAGAGTGCAATATGCTCTTAGCCGCATCCGTAATGCGGCTAGAGATCTTCTCACTCTCGACGAAAAGAATCCCAAGAGGATTTTTGAGGGAGAGGCCCTCCTTCGTCGTATGAACAGATACGGTCTTCTGGATGAGAGCCAGAACAAGCTTGATTACGTCCTGGCTTTGACTGTTGAGAACTTCCTTGAGCGCCGGCTTCAGACTCTCGTCTTCAAGTCTGGTATGGCGAAGTCCATCCACCATGCCCGTGTCCTCATCAGACAGAGGCATATCAGGTATGCATGTTTTCTTGTCTATGAAATCTTGGGTTCTTTGTGTGGCGTAAGCTTTAAACTCGAGCAAACCAGTTAGGGTTTTGTTTGTCAATGTCATCTTGACTTGCTTGTTATCAGCCTGAGTTTATCGTGGCTCGTTTATGTTGCACTCGGATGATCCCCAACTAGTGAAACACAATTAAGCAAATGATCAAAGTTTGATCTTTGATGGCTTTCAACACCGGCTTCCATCTTTATTTGCGTAGGATTAAACCCAAATGTTCCTATTATGCTTTGCTCTTTGAAGTTGTGTTTCCTGAAAAAAGTCACAGTTTTTTTCTTTCTGGGATTAAGATTTGGGGCTGCATTTCTGAATTTTTTAAAAAAAAAAAACAAAAAATTGCGTGTAGGGTTGGGAAGCAACTGGTGAACATACCATCGTTCATGGTGAGAGTGGATTCTCAGAAGCACATAGACTTTGCTTTGACAAGTCCCTTTGGCGGTGGCCGTCCCGGTAGGGTCAGGAGAAAGAACGAGAAGGCTGCCTCCAAGAAGGCCTCTGGCGGCGACGGAGACGATGAGGATGAAGAGTAATTTAGGCCTTCGGTTCAGCCAAACCGGTTCTGGTATTGAAGATTTCGGTTTATCTGCTATGGTTACATTGCACTTGGTTATGCTCATTCGCATTGTTGTTAAATTTTGACGTGTTTCTTGCAAGATTGTTCTCCTCTTTTCCTTTGAAAAAATTAGATTTTGTTTACTCATAAACCTATATATATATATATATATATATATATGATTAGATATTCTTTCTCCAGTGAAACTTAGCTTCGATATTATTTTGTAACTTTGAAATCATGTTTATAGTTGCCATAGAACAAATCATGTGCGGTTCTTTTCATAAAAGTTTCCCGTAACTATCGTTCTTTTTGTTAAAAAATAAAATTACTGTAAGATAAAAGTAATCAAGAAAATACCTGCAACTATAAATTTGCAAAAAAATGTTTTCCATGCTTTATTCTCCCGTCGTCTTCGGACCAGGTAGAGGCCATTTCTTTTTACATACAGACAAGCCATCTGTTTCTCAACACAGTGTCGGCTCCTCTCCTCTCCGCACACGTGCCGAATGTGATCCACGTGGAATTCCACGCCACCGTCATAACCCAAATTCAAAACAGTAATATACATACATATTATATTTGATAGGGGAAAAATAATAACATAGAAGTAAAAATACTCACAAGATCATGTGCTCCCGAAGAAGACTACCGCAGCAATCCTGTTTTCCCACGTAGAAACTCTGAGAATTGTCATTCCATATTTTATTCAATAAACAATTATTTTCCGAGAAAGTAAATATTATATAAGAAATATCAACTTTTAGGATGCATAGTCTGCGTTACAATAACAAAGGGTAAACATGGGAATTAAGATATATTACAATGGATTACTAATGTTCTGTCCAATATCGAAATCTATTTTCAAACACAAGTTATCAGGATGCTTTGATTTGAGCCTCTAATCCCCCCCAAAAAAAGGGAAAAAAACTCGAAGGAAATAGTCGTATTTTATTGATACTATTTCGGAATCGTAAATTAAATTCGAAAAAATAATTTAATGCTAACAAAAAAAAAATGTGAAAATGGAGCGGGGGTTACGTGGCGTGGTTCTAGAGAATCTGAACTGGTTAGGAATGCCTACCAACACGGCGCCGGATTAGGTACTTTCAGATCCGAGTCCCTAATCCACACGTCTCGTTAGTCAAATTTCGAAGATCCGTTCCCCCTCTCTTTTACCAGCCACCCCATTTACCACGTGGCATTACACCTCGTGACGTCATCACTGCCGACACGTCAACACTAACCGTTTTAATCCCGTTACGACCTCCCTATAAATCGCAGCGTCACAGGTCCCTCACTCGCTAGAGTTCTAATCAAACTCGAATTTCAAATTTCGAATTCAATATCCTGTTTGTCGATGATAGCGAGGAAGATGACGACCGCAGATGATCATCCGCGATCGCCGGAAACTTTGCCAGAGATGGAGGCGGACGCGGTGAAGGACATCGCGAGGAAGATTCTGGAGGAGGCGGAGACTGAGAGCAATGGATCATCGGAAGCAGAGACGGAATCTCCAAGATCCGTCGGACGGTGGGGATTTTCCAAGGAGAAGGTACACAGTCAGGTGCTGAGGATTAGAGAGGAGGAACTGTGCGTGATCGTCGAGGATAAAGCGACAAATTATTGCAGCGATCCAGAGGATCGTCGATATATTCATCCCCGTCGTTTGAATTTGTTCCTCGTTTCGAGGCCGATCTTGCCTTGTTCGCCTCTCAGCGGCAAGGTTAGCTCCCTCGAGGCTGTGCAGTGATTTCCAGAAGCTCGACTTGATCCATCGGCTGAGGTTAGTTTCTGTAGATTCCAACATCCTTTTCTGTGTGCGCGCGAGTAAATTTTCGTCGAAGTCCTCTGTAATTTCTGTCTGGTACTGTTTGGGACAGAGGAAGTAGGGCGAACCAGAGTGCTATAAATCACTAAATCTGCATGTGAATATGTATATAATAGACGTATGTGCATGAAAAAAAATCCTGGTGTCAAAGTTTGGCAGCATCTCTCTTGCATAAAAGGTGGAGAGAAAGTATCCCGCATCGGATCGTTTATCCGATCGGATAATTTTATGCTGAGAGATCAATCACTAAGTTGTTTTCTTGGTTTGTTCAATAGTTTGCGCAGGTGATGAGATTGCTCAACTGTTCCGGAGCATGAAAGAGGATGGTTCAGTGGAGGACTTATCCGTGGAATTTCTATCTGTTTCTCGCTTTCCCTCTGTTTTCAGGTGAACTCCCCAAAAATCCATAAACAGAAAAAGGCTCCTTCACTTTGTATAAACCGTGACGGATGTGTATATATTAATAGTCCGTACACGGAACTTGCATGAAAGTATCCTCGAGAGAATTTCCCTGCCGCATTATCTCCCCATACACGTGTATGCTTTTATTGCTTGCGTTACGTCTATATATATACATATATATGTGGGTATAGCTAGATATCGGATTCATATAAATCCAAATCATGCAGAGGTCGATATAATTCCCGAAAAGGGCCGTTTCTGCAACGCCTAGCAAGTGTTGGAATCATGATACAAACATGACACATAATATCACACTATCACGTCAGAGGAGTATTAGTCGGCTCAAAAATTAAAGACAGACCCCAAAAAGAAAACAAAAAATTGACTTTCATGTTGAAACGTCCGCACCGGGTTTCTTTCTTTTGATTCATACATATGCTGAAGAGGCAGCTGCAAAGCGAAACAATAGAACATCTGAAACACAGTTGTAAAAGAAGATTTATGAAACAAATCCAACTCTTTCTGCATATGATGTATGATTGAGGTATTTTTCCACCGGTTATATCTCAGCTGCTTAAGGGGGTAGGTCCATGATTATTCACTATAACTAGTTGCCAAATTTCACATCATCACATAAAAACCCAAAAACCAGAAAGGCAGATACCATTTCTAGTAGCGTTTTGAGATCCGTGGTACTGAACTACTGTCACTGCCATCATGGTACAGCCTCAGAATCACAGCCGCAGTCTCTTCAATCGCCTTGTTCGTCACATCTGTAATTTCCAAGACATTCTTTTGTTTACTTCCTTATGTTTCTTTGGTAGCTCACATTTAATCACAGAGTGCAAATTCTATTCAATTCTTACCTATCACAGTCCACCCTGGGTTTTTGGCATAGACCCTCGAGGCGAATTCCAGTTCCTTTCTGACGAAATCGATCCCTGAATACTTCTTCCCGGACTCAGCATCTACCCCCAACGTCTTCGCCCGGGCTTTCCTAATGGCTTGCAACACAACAAGATCGATTCTCAATCCAAATACCTTCCTCGGGTCGGCCTCAAAAAGCGTTCTTGGCAGTTCCACACCCATCACAATCGGCACATTCGCAACTTTGTACCCTTTTTGAGCAAGGTAAGTTGATAACGGCGTCTTCCCTGACCGAGAAACGCCAACCAGAATTATGTCAGCTTTGTTCAAATTCTCTGGTAGGGTTCCATCATCTTGCTTGATGGTAAACTCAATTGCTTCGATCCTTCTGAAGTATTCGTCGTCGAGGGTCTTCCCCCTACTTCGAGCTCCCCGAGGAAGACCGGAAGGGGAAACACCTAAATGAGAGGCGATTGCTTCGATGATAGGCCCCAAAATATCGTTCGAAGGCACACCCCATAGATTGCAGGCTTGCTTTGCTGATTTTGCCATGGATGGATCTGCCAATGTGTAAAAAAGCATTGCCCTTTCTTTAGCCGCTTGCTTGACGATCTCTACCAGTTTCTCTTCATCCTCAACCTAAACAGTTCCCAACAAGATCGTTCAAGTTCAACATTACCTACATAAAAAGCTTCGAAAGGGAATCTCAAATTCTATAGAATTCACAATCTTTCTGTGCAAATAGCTTATACATTCGAAGACATTTCTCTCTAAATCTCTCAAACCCACCTTCTGTCAATCAGGATTTAGCTCCTTACCACTCTAATTGCCCAGATCATCGATCACAAACCATGAAAGTGACCAAAATTCGCAACGAAAACACAAAGAACAGCCAAAAAGACATGATTTTTACCCCTGAGAAGAGATGGGTGTTCACAGAACAACCTCGACCGACCAAACAGTGCTCGAATTGTCCCAACGCAGCGTTAACAGAGTGTTCCGCCGTCCAACCAGTTCCGTCAGATACCAAGTATAACGATTTCCCCGCCGTAAAACCGTCACCATCATCATCATCATCGTCAATCGCCGACGACACACCACCAGCATCCTCCTCCAACGTGGGATCGATCTCCGTTAGTTGACGGATCGGCGACCTTGGCTCGGCCGTTCGATGAACCGGATGATCAAGCTTGATACCGGATCGTACGGCTCGGGCTATGGACCAGCGGTTCAGTTTGGAGCTAACATTCAGCTTCCTTGCCTGCGTTTCGGAGCGAGATTTGGAGGGAGTTTTGGGGCTTGAAGATCCGGAGTCGGGTTCAGGATGAGCTGCGGTCGGTGCCGGATTCCCGCCGCCCGGTAGGTTCATGGCCAAGATGATTTTTTTTTTTTTTGGTCCAAGGATGGTTCCGATAAGATCCGGTGATTTCTAACGCATTTCGTCGGGAAGTTCTACCGAGCAGTAATTAATTTCATATGTTTGTCGGGAACAAAAAATGTAGGAAAAAACAATTGTCTGAGCCCGGGTTCGAACCGGGGACCTCTAGTGTGTGAGACTAGCGTGATAACCGACTACACCACCCAGACAACATGTGATGTCTGATCAAAATGCTAAACTAGAACAATGATGCGTTCGCTCCTTCCCTCACTCCGACGGCCACATTAATCGATCTCTGTAGTTTCCGCCCTCTTATTTCTGGGGTTTCCCCCTTTTTCAGCGTTTCTCAAAGTACGAACTTGTAGGAGATTAAGACAGCTTGTTACTTTTCCATTGATACAACAGCAAGGTTCCTCCTTTTGTTCCTGCCTTTCGCCGAATTAGCTGCCTCACTCCAAAGCCCATCATTTGTCGAATCCTTCGCTTTCCCAAAAGGTTGCGTTTTGATCCTTCGGCGACCCACTCGCCTCCTCCTCCAGTACACTTCCATGCACGGAGTGATCGCACATACTCGTCGAACTCATCCTTAATGGTTCTCTCTCAGGTAAATCCATGGCAGAAACCCTTTACCTCTGGAAAAAGAAACCCTATTTCTACTTCTTCTTGCCCGGAACTTTTGCAAATTCTCTAATTTTTTTCACTATTTTAGGCTGCCTATCTCGTTCCCTTGAAGGTGGATTTGGAGGAAGATGATTCCATCCCCAGAATACCTATATCCGAGGGACCAAACACCATCGGCCGTGACAGCATTCTCGTTGCCGATAAACGGCTCAGCCGTAAGCACCTCACAGTCACCGCCTCCGCAGCAGGTTCGGCCACTTTGTCCGTGGTGAGCCAAAACACTGACAAATTTGCAAAATGCCAGAATCTGAATTTTTATTTGAGTTTATCTTGTGATTGGTTTTTGTCCTTTTTTTTAGGAGGGAACGAATCCGGTTGTTGTTAGGTCCCGTGGCGAGAGAAAGAAGGTGTATTTGGGTGATGAGGTGTCAGTTTCTGATGGTGATGTTATTGAGATGATCCCTGGTCACCATTTCTTCAAACTTCTGGTGCTTCCCGTTGCAAATCGTGACAAGGTGAAAGCAAGCGGCGTTTGGGGTGAGTCTGAAATCGGTGAAAGCCATGAAAGAGCAGCCAAAAAAGCTCGGAAGGTGTTTGTTGAATCATTGATTTAGCCCGTTTCAGATTGTTCTGAGTTTCTTTCCGAAAAGAATACAGAATTTGGTAGCATGTGTTTTGATTTGTTTAGGTTTCCTGTTTGACAATGGAACTGTTTAGGCTGTAACAGGAGGGGACGATGCTGAGGCTATTCGACATTTTCATTTGCCTGATGAAAAACTCCCTTTGACATTTCGGTTGTTGCATGTTCAAGGGTTGCCAACTTGGGCCAATACCTCTTGTGTTTCCATTGATGACGTCATTCAGGTATAAGGGCATCTCCCTGTTTCTTGTTTTCTCCCTCTCTCCAGTATTTGATCTTAATGCAAAAGATTTGTTGCATGAGGCTCTTGATTAAACCAGCAGAGTGATCCAACAGAAGATTCCTCATTTTAGCTCTTTGAAAACGATGGTGGATTACGCACTGTTGGTGTCCCGCAAAGAGCTTGCTTGAGCAACCTTGTGACTGGTTTCATTTATTGTGTTCTGTATGCAGGGAGACATTGTTGTTGCAATCCTGTCGAATTACATGGTAGATGTAGACTGGCTGATGTCTGGTGAGTTCCAGTTTCAGTCTTTGTCTTGTCATGTTTCTTGATTTTGCTCTCCTGTTTGCCTTTCTGATTCTAAAATGAATCTCTCATACTCTGTCTTTTGGTTAATTTTTGGGCTAGATTTATGGATCATAACATTTTTTTTTTAAATCTGGTGCTGTTTTATGGAAGGGATATATTTCTTGAAGGATTCATTTTGGGTGTTGATTCATGGGTAGCAGTATCTTGTTATCTGGTTCTGTTTTACTTTCAGCTTCTTGGGCTTGTTAATAAAACCTGGTCACAACATATCCTCTGTAGCTTGTCCAAAGCTGGCCAACATACCTCACGTTCTGGTCATTCATGGGGAAAGTGATGGTAGGCAAGATTATATGCAGGTTTGTTCTAGTCTTTCCTATGATACAAAATAAAAATCTTTCTTTAGCCCTTCAATCTTCTGATCACGAAAACCGGAATCTCGTTCCTCTGCTTTTTTGGTCATTTATAGAGGAAGAAGACAGCTAATTGGGTTATTCACAAACCGCGGCTGCCTATTTCTTTTGGCACACACCATTCTAAGGCAATGATTCTTGTCTATCCTCGAGGGGTGAGAGTTATAGTGCACACTGCCAACCTGATTTACGTTGACTGGAACAACAAAAGTCAAGGTTTGTGGATGCAAGATTTTCCTTGGAAGGATAAGAAAGATTTGTCTAAAGGATGTGGGTTTGAAGATGACCTGATAGATTACCTCAGTGTTTTGAAGGTATTTATACGGATTTTCAATCAGCAAATATTTCCTCGTTGCGTGGAATTTCGTCAACTAAGTTTACTCTACTGACCACCGTAGATTGTGTCTCTCTTTCTCCGTTCTCTCCACTTCTTTTGGTCTTGTGTTCTGTCTGGTATCTCTTTTGTTATATTACCATCCATAATGTTACTCAACTGGTAACGGAAACTCTTCGATCTAGTTTCTTAGCATTTCATTAAGCTGCCTTTCATTCTGAATGTAACGTGTAACTGTATAAGGACATTCTGGACATTTTGACAGTGGCCGGAATTCACGGCAAGCTTTCCAGATCATGGTAATTTCAAGGTCAATGCATCTTTCTTCAAGATGTTTGATTATTCTGATGCTGCGGTACTTTTCTGCTCTCATTCAAACTTTGATATCTCACGGGTGATTTATTGAGATCTCGTGGTTGTCAATCATCGGATATGAGATTTACTCAGGTATGCATGAATTTTTAGGTCCGACTAATTGCATCAGTCCCTGGATATCACACCGGGTCTTCTTTGAGAAAGTGGGGGCATATGAAGCTGCGAACGCTTCTTCAAGAATGTACCTTTGATAGAGAATTCCGTAGATCTCCTTTAATTTATCAGGTATCGTTCCCCCGGTCTGATCTTTTTCCGTGCTCTGTTTGTTTGCTAGTTCTGTTACAATTGTTTGTACCCAGCCAGTGTGTATATTCTCTTATTAAGTCTTCATGTTCTGCCTCTCTAACCAAAAGGTCTAAATCTTCTCAATTGCCCATTAAATTCTGTCATATTAATTTTGACGTTCTATAAGAGGAAAAAAAGGGGCATAACATCTCGGAGAAGAATCCCCCCCTGACGAAATATTTCTTCCATCATTGCATTGTTGTAGTTTTCCTCCCTCGGATCTTTAGACGAGAAATGGTTGGCTGAGTTTGGAGCTTCTCTGTCTTCCGGTTTATCGGATGACAAAACTCCTCTTGGCCCGGGAGATCCGCTAATAATATGGCCTACCGTCGAAGATGTCAGGTGTTCCTTAGAGGTAATCCTAAAGAAGGCCGATATGCCTTTATTTACCTTTCTCATCGTCGTAGCTTTCAGATTCTGTTTTAGCACATCTTCTACTCAGTTTCTTTTGATGAAAAATCCTCTACAAGGGTTACGCAGCTGGCAATGCAATTCCGAGTCCGCTGAAGAACATGGAGAAAGCGTTCTTGAAGAAGTATTGGGCCAAATGGAAGGCGGGTCATAGTGGTCGCTGGTAATAAATTCTTGACAAAACTTTATATTTTACATTTTTAACTTTCATTTATGTGCCATGCCTTGAAAAGGATTACATTGATCATTCATTACCACAACATGAGCATGTCTGGTCTGGTATCAGAAGAGCTTTGGTCACAACACTTTTGCAGATACTTAACCAGAAAAAAAAAACATGTATTCGCCTAATGTTTCATTGCCCTGTTTCCAGTTTCTCATATAGTTGTGATTAATGTTAAATCCTTTTGGTTTTGAATGTTGCAGCCGTGCAATGCCGCATATAAAGACATACACTCGTTACAATGGACAGAAGCTTGCGTAAGTGCTCGTTTTCATCCATTTTTCAGTCTTTTATTAGCTGTCCATCTTTCGAACTATTTTACTATAGTAATTTTTTTATATTTTATATTTGACAGTTGGTTCTTGCTAACATCGTCGAACCTCAGCAAAGCAGCATGGGGAGCACTTCAAAAGAACAGTTCCCAGTTGATGATCCGTTCATACGAGGTGCTCTCTTATTTGATTTGATTTTTTTCACTGAAATCCCCCAAAAAATGTATCATCATTTCCAAATTCCCCATTGTCTTGTAGTTGGGGGTCTTGTTTCTACCTTCTCCTGTAAAAAAACATGGCGGGGCCAGGGGTAAGTTTTCGTGCACGGAGAACACGAATTCAACCAAGGTAACCTCCATCTGACAGTTGTCCGGAACGAACTTTCTCGATCTCCCATGCTTTCCATCAGACAACTTTGAAACAATGTTCCCCCATTGATTCTTCTTTTTTGCATTCAGGGAAAGCACGAGTTGTTAAAGAACGATTATGAAGCAGAGAGGACAAAGCTGGTGACCTTGTCCTGGAAAGGACCCTCTGATTCACCAGAGATAATCTCATTGCCATTGCCTTATGAACTGCCTCCTCAACCGTACTCACCTGAAGGTTATCATCTACCCAAACAAAAAAAAAACGTTCTTAAAATTGCAATTTGGATTCTGAAACATGGATTGTGTGTATGTTTTTTTTTTTGGTCTTGAGGGACTGCAGATGTACCGTGGTCATGGGATCGGCGATACACCAAGAGAGACGTGTACGGTCAAGTTTGGCCGAGACAGGTTCAGTTGTATGCGTCCGATGACTAGTTTAATAAGGCTTTTATAATCATTACAATGAGGTTTTTGTATCTATATATATATATATATATATATATTATAAGGTTACGTTAGTTGTCTACAGAGATTCTTATGGTCATCCTGCAACAATATGGTTGTTCCATGTTTTGTGTCCGAACCATGCATGGAATTTTTTTTCCTTCATTCGGACAATTGGCAGATCAGATTTTTTCAAGTGTCGGATATTGCATTTACCGGAAGTGAGTCAACCAAAGAGATTCCCTTATAGTTTTGTTCGAAATTGAATGGATCGTATGTGAATAACCGGATGAATTCGTAGTAAACCGGCAATTAACGACGTCGACTCAGAACCAGAATTAAGGGTTTGATTAGTAATTAATAGATAATTAAAAGAAAATACGAATCAAGAGGATTGGGGGTTAATTGTCGGCTAATCAAATCGAGGATGATACATGTACGAGAGGCGTGAGAAAAGAAAAATCAGTGGCACATATTCGATGGGAGTTAGAATACAAACAGAGGAAGACAACACCTCACGATCAGTGTCGATGTTTCGAAGAACATGCGTCTCTTTCCTTAGGATTTGGCAATCATCTCTGTGTAAATTAAATTAAATGGCACCCACATTGCTTTCAAATCACTACGCCTGCGTCCAATTAGACATAATATTATTAACCTGCACTCGCATTTTTTTTGTTTATGTATATGTTCGGACCATTTCGTTACATGCCATGTCAAACCTGGGAGCAGATGATTTCTATAAAATTCATAAAAATAAAATATAAACTATAACATAGCATTTCTTGTTCATCCAACAATTCAACCCATATTTGGTGTATATATATAAGCCGATATCGAAAATCATCATTGACCCGAGAAGACTATAGGAGATTCAATGAGGAGATCGACGGTTTCTTGTTCATAAATGGTCACAATCGATTACTCAATTAGAATAGTTATGGGCAAGAAAAAATCGAGGGGAGGGGGGGGAGGGGGTCACATGTGACAATGGGTGCTCCCTGAATGGAGGGGAAGAGTGTCATATCATCACATGGTAGGGTGTTTTGATTATAAACTTAATAATATTAAAAACACCCAAGTCCCACTCTGCGCTCTTAATATCCAACATCTTCCTCTATTGCCCACTTGGTCACACCATGTCCTTGCTCCCGAACATCATGCCTTGCCTTCATCCCCCATATATATATATATATATATATATATACACACACATGCACACTCCTTTGTTTATATATATATGTGTGTGTGTATCATCCATCATCATCATCCTCTTCTTCTTCCTCTTGTCTTTTTCTATATTTCCTCTTCTTACTCCTACTTTAACCTATGCTTTTGCTATGCCCATTGCATGTATATTGTGGAACAAAAACCGGCTGATTAAACACTGCACTTATTTTATATATGTATACATGTATATATGAATTGGTCATGTGTTACTATTCCCGTATATGTATAAGCAGCAAATGGAGCGGACATTAATAATTATTATATTCAAACCCACAGTACAGTATATATCTTCCCCTCTCCATCTCCCTCGCTCACACGGAAACCTCCAAGTTTAAGCCACTGCTTTCTCCTATGCACTTGTCTTCTTCATATCCAACATCACTGTTTATGTTTATTGTTCTCTCTCTCTCTCTCTCTCTCTCTCTCTACGTGGTCCCTTCCCCCTTTATAACACTCTTATCTCTTCCCATTTCTCCATATCTTTAAACCCTTAAACCATCCATAGCTCTCCTTCCCCCTTCCCCCAATCCCAAAAGTTCTCTGCTTCTTCTCATGAAAGTTTCCAAATAAACCCAACAAGGGGAAGAAAGAGAAGAAAGGAGATCGAGAAAGGGTTTTCCGCAATATCTCTCATTCACACACACACGGGCAGTATAACTTGGAGAATGTCGAGCAGAAGATCGAGACAGGCAAGTGTTTCGAGGATCAGTGATGATCAGATCATCGATCTCGTCTCTAAACTCCGCCAACTTCTACCTGAGATTCGCCCCAACCGTCGTTCTGACAAGGTATGATTTTGTTTTGTTAATGAAAAGATATTTTCTAATTTATTACATCAACACATTCATATAATATTGTTTACAGGGGCAATGCACATGTACGTCATGTGAAATAGTGCATTACAGTCATATAATAACATTTTTTTAGAGATTACATATCAATATACGAAATATAGTAAGGTTTGAAACTTTTGACCCTCCCGAAATTCGAGACCATCGAGCTTCTAATTTGACGCGCAGTAGTCATTTTGTTTTTACAACATTAATAAATGTCGACCGTATTAAAAAAAATAAAAATAATTCTGTCACGGGTGCATATTTAGATATATTAGAAGCACCGACTTATTTCTATTCTATCTTATTCACTTCGTTATCCAAGTTTCCACCAAGCAAGAAAAGACAAATAATTGAAAACCACATTATCGTATGAATATATACAAGTACAATGACAACTATAAAAAAATACATATATTTTTTAGTTAATAAACAATTACTTAAACTGATTTTTTTCACTAATTAATTAAATTTTTTCTGCTGCAATTAATGGTTAGGTGTCGGCGTCAAAGGTGCTGCAAGAGACATGCAACTACATCAGAAACTTGCACAGAGAAGTGGATGATCTCAGTGAGCGGCTGTCTCAGCTTCTGGAAACCATTGACGCGGATAGCCCCGAAGCCGCCATCATTAGGAGTTTAATTATGTAATAATTATTTATTTAAAAAGGAGCTTTTATCGATCAGTTGCGGTTCCATGTCTCTTGCTGCTGATTTTTCTACATATTAATAATCGCTTGTATGCTTCTTATCTCTCTTAATAATATTATAAAGTCTTCTAGGTCTAAGTTTTCCATTTTCTCTTTATCGTTGGACGATTAAAAAAAAATCTATAGCATGGAGATGCATATTTGATGCCGTTTATATGTACGCGTATATATGAGCATGAATGCAATTCATATATTTGTAATAAACTTTTGTTTATATGTATATTGTATGCATGTATGTATATGTTAACGTAGCACACACGCACACACACGCATAATGGCATATTTACATCCTAAGCCTCTAAGCTTTTAATTTGTTATAACCAAAAATCCGTATAAACTTGTAACCTATCTCACTTCTTAAAGATCCTAGGGTTTTCTTCAATCGTATATTTTAAAGTCGATCAAGAGGATCCATATATATATATCAGAGCAATAAAAGACAAAAAACAAAACAAAGCTTTTGGGTAATTATTAGAAATAAAAGATTCGATGGCATAACATATTAACATATTTTTTTGTGATCCATGCAAAAGGCCTCAACGTCAGACAAATTTACATTGTTTTCTAATGGCGTTAATAATAATCACTAACGTCCGTTTGATCGAAATGAGCAACAAAAAACATTGATGTCACGTACACTGATGTAGTCTCTTTTTGTAATAAAGCCATCCATCCCCACAAAGCAAAAAAATTAAATTAATATATATATATATAATTAGCAAATATTTAATTAAGTTTTAATTCAGGCCAGAGACCAATGTAAACAAGATTTCATACGAAGTTTTGTCGTCATGTGAACAGATGGGAGGATATTAGTGACAGTAGTACCCCAATTTGTCGGATCAAGCGCCACAATCTCTGCATAAATTAGTGCAGTAAGTTATTATTAATTTTCATTACAATAATGTATCTGCGTACATGAAAGCATTTATTAAATGATTTGACAAGATTTTATTCACATGATTTTGTTACAAATTAACTTTGTCACGCATATGATCGCCGACTTGCATATGTATATATAGGATAGACCCCACAGAGAGACAATATACGAAACGTATATATATAATATATGTATGCATCACTGTATCTATGTTGGTATATGTATTATACCACCACCCTAAAGTTTTGGATCTTATACATATATATATTCTTCTTATATACGTTTGCAAAAAAAAAGAAAAAAAAAACTGAACGATATCTTTTTTTTTGGAGGACCACTTCATGTTAATTTATGTAATTAACTTTAACGTCTTAGGGGAGGGTAGTTAAATCGGTTGAAAATAATATTTTCTACACAACAACTAATTAAAGAAACCTTTTCTGCGGCTTTTTGTTAGGACCCATGTAAAAAAAAATATATATCATGGAAATATCAAACACTTTATAAAAAATGTGATACTGAGTCTAATTAAAGGACCAACGAACCAACCGTTCGTGTTTTTTTTTCTTTCTTTCTTAAATAAACAGTAGTTTCGTTAAGATTACCAAACATGCACAGTGGTGTTCATGTTTTGCGTTTGACCAATGTCCTTTTAAACGGCCTATCGTACGTCGTCGTTTCCGGCGATCTTCAAGTGATTTATTACTTGTGAGGACCACTTCATGTTAATTTATGTAATTAACTTTAACGTCTTAGGGGAGGGTAGTTAAATCGGTTGAAAATAATATTTTCTACACAACAACTAATTAAAGAAACCTTTTCTGCGGCTTTTTGTTAGGACCCATGTAAAAAAAAATATATATCATGGAAATATCAAACACTTTATAAAAAATGTGATACTGAGTCTAATTAAAGGACCAACGAACCAACCGTTCGTGTTTTTTTTTCTTTCTTTCTTAAATAAACAGTAGTTTCGTTAAGATTACCAAACATGCACAGTGGTGTTCATGTTTTGCGTTTGACCAATGTCCTTTTAAACGGCCTATCGTACGTCGTCGTTTCCGGCGATCTTCAAGTGATTTATTACTTGTTCGTTGCATGTAGAAAACGATCTCTTGCCCCCATGCAAAAAAAAAAAAAAAAAAACCTATATATGATTTGATATATCACGCAGCTATATGTATAATGGCAATATATTTTTGTAGAATTGTTTCATTGGTCAAATATACAAATTAAGCTACAAACTGGTATACGTATGAGAGAGTCCAAAGATATTTTACATTTAAAAAAAGTATATACATCTCCCTTTAATAATAATGCTTACGTGTACGCATTTGTAAATAGTCTTTCTTTTTTCTCATTCTATCTAACAAATATTTCCTGAACCCTAGCATTTTTTTTTATAGTGCATGAAAATCCAATGTTTTGATGGATGCCCAATCAGCCATCTTTGGGAATAGAATATTCACGTTGAAAGACCAACTTAAAATAAATTTCACTTATCGGTTTGAATAATATTATCATTGATTTATTTTCTTTTCACCAAAATGTTAATTATTGTTAGGAATAGTACGAGTCCGGTAATTATTTGACGGAGTATAGACGGTGAAAGAAAGGTAAATATGGCTTCCCCGATCTTCTAGCATGTGAAATCGCCAAGCCAAAAGATAGAAAATATATATGTATATGTATATGTGCGTGCGTGTGTATATATATACATGCTGTCCTATATTATAGGATATAAACGAAACATAAACCATAAATTCTAGCAGTAAAGTTTGGTGGTAACTGGGGCCCTTGACGTTGTCTCTTTCATCTTAATATGTTACCATTGAGACATTTTTACCCTTGCGGTCAATTCTCTATTACCTTAAAATTTACCCGAACTTTATAAGGGTAAACTTTTCTCACCCATTACTGTTTGGCCAAATAAATAAACAAGGTGTTGTTATCTTCTCCTCGTCCTTTGTGTTTGGAGAATTTCAAATCGATCGTTGTGTAACGTGTTAGAAGTCTAATGTTATTATACGATACGTATTCGGAAGTCGGTCCATGTTTGGTAAAATCTAACTGTATATATAAATGCATGTTTTTTGGTATTTGTTCGATAAACCAACCGACCCGTTTACGTGTGTGGTTGAACTTTTTACATAATCTTTAGACAGTTTCTCTAACAAAAACTTTTATTTTTTCAAATTGAAGGGATATTTTCTATGACCATAGCAAATCTATATAGTCAGCAAAGAATATCTTTGACCGTATCATTTTGGTCCAGCCGGGTCATACACTGTGGGATACATTCACAACAGTCTCAAACGTGCCATCCAAATATGATATGGAACTATATATTAATTATTCATGCATGTGTACCAACTGTGTAACACCACGAAACGGACTATAAAGTCGAGCTTATCTAAAATACAATAAATTTTTAGAACCACATTTCATAGTTTAATTAGCTTATACAAAAGTAACTAGTTATATGTACCGAATGTTATTTTATTTAATAATGTGGGTGATAAACGTATGCACAAGTATTGATTGATTGGTAAAGATATATCAAAACTTAAAAAAAGAAAAGTAGGCCCATCTATATATATAAAAAATATTGAATGTTGGCATGCCCCGCCATGTTATTAACAACCGACAGCAATTGTTCCTACCGTTGGACAAAGGAAATGGATAGTTTCTTCTTCTTCTTTTTAAATATTTTTTTAAAAATTTTAAATAAAAAAGGAACGAAAACGAATATGAAATTTATGAGAGGAAGGAGAGAAAAAAAAAAAGGGGAGTCATTTATGTAGGTCGTTATCACCGTTTTAACGGTATCGTCGAAAAAAAGACATGGACGTGCTGTAAGAAGGTCCTATGGCTGTCCGCATTCTTGACTTTTCAACCCTTGTCCTTTCTTGCTATTAAACCAATCGATCGGCGCATATCTATTTCACATTTATGGACCGCACATTTTTTATTATGAATTTTTACCCATATTCTTTTTCATTTTATTATTATTTTTTGGCTCGTGACTTGGATATTATTAGGATCATATGGAATGGTGACCGTAGAATAAGATTTTGTGCTGATATACACTTAAAAGCTATCAGTTTATCAACTTATTCTTTTCAAATCGTCTTGTGTAATTGAAATTCTGAAATATGTGAATGAAATCATACAAGAGGAAAATGCCATCGCGGTGTTATATGGCGAGGCACGGTGAAAGTGGGCCCAATTTTCTATCTTTCTGAAGCCCAAGTAGTTGGACACGTGAATTGGGTCCAAGCCCAACAAGTTTGGATGCCTTTTTTCTTTCTTGTTTTGTCTAAAAGTTCGATCCAATGGGCTAACTAATAAACTCAATAAACCCCAAATAAGGTTATCAGAGAAAAAAAAAATACCGAAATTAATTTAACAAATACATATTAATTAATTAATTAAAAAAGAAAGTATTGAACACGCGCCTCGTGTGATAAAAGTTGGTCGGCTTTCGGCCTCTCATTAGAAGAGAAGCAGGGGCTGTGCCGTCGGCAACTTCACACACCCTGTCTTTCTGTTCCTCTTGCTTGTATTCTCCATGATCCAAAGCCCTTAATCGTCTCATCAATCTGCGGGTAATCTTTTCAAATTATCGTTGAATTAGTCGCTGTTCTTGAGAATTGCAATCTTGTTTTCGTTTCCTCAATCGGTTTCTTGATTGGCTCGTTTCAATTCCTCGAACTGAATTTTGGTAGAAGCTTCCAAGATTATGATTTCTTCTGTTCCTTTGATTGATTATCTGATCGAAAGGGACCACTTGAGTAATTAAGCTGCTGCGAGATGATAAGAAGATAGATATTTCTTGGTACCATGGCCTTATCCTATTCCTTCTTCCCCCCAAAAAAAAAAGGGTTCATGTTTCGATGTCGGGGAAGAACACCAAGTGGGTTTATTGCTGTATAAATGTAAGCGATCTGATGAACGCGTCTTTCTGAAGTTAGGGTTCTGGTGTGTCTGAAGATTTGCTCAAATGTGTGGTTACATTGCTGAAGTCACAAACTTGTCCCCTAAAGCAACCGAGAAGGAACTTCTTGATTTCTTTTCTTACTGTGGATTGGTCGACCACCTCGATCTCATTAGGTGATGCTCTTTCTCTCAAGACATGTTCACATTTGTTATGTAATCCCCCATGAATTTCGATAAATGCTGTCTCTATATATGTCGGTGTTCAGACACGAAGAAAGTGCGTGCACGGCCTATGTAACTTTCAGAGATGCATATTCTTTGGAGACTGCCTTGTTGCTTAGCGTGAGTCACTCCCAAATCTGCCACCATGTTTTTGCCTTGAGGATTGCATTCTTTTATCCTTTTTTTCTGTTTCCCTAATGGAAAATGTTATCACGGTAATGTTTTCAGGGCGCTACGATCGTCGACCAGACGGTTTGTATATCGATGTGGGGCGTGTATTTCGACGAACCCGACACTCCCACGTGGAAAACAGATGGGAATTATAGCTCGATGGTAACGGAAATTCGCATAATGAACCGGGTTTCTTCTCTCCAAAGTTTTGAAACATGTACATTTTGGGCAAATATCTTAACACTTAGCGCGTGAATTTGGTCGGGTTCAACCCATATATAGGTCACTCGCACGGACGCGTTTGCTTCGTCCCCTGGAGAGGCAGTGACCGTGGCTCAAGAGGTGGTGAAGGCAATGATAGCGAGAGGATACGTCCTGGGGAAAGACGTGATCGTGAAGGCAAAGGCCCTGGACGAGTCTTACAAGCTGACCACAGTGGCCACGGCCAAGTTCGCCGAGCTCAGCCAACGAATAGGGCTGACTCAGAACATTCAGTCAAGCATGGAAGCCAGTAACTAGTTATATGTACCGAATGTTATTTTATTTAATAATGTGGGTGATAAACGTATGCACAAGTATTGATTGATTGGTAAAGATATATCAAAACTTAAAAAAAGAAAAGTAGGCCCATCTATATATATAAAAAATATTGAATGTTGGCATGCCCCGCCATGTTATTAACAACCGACAGCAATTGTTCCTACCGTTGGACAAAGGAAATGGATAGTTTCTTCTCAGGGCGGCCGTTTCCGCCGCAAACGCGGCGGTTAACAGTCGCTACTTTGCTAGAGGAGCTCTGTGGGTGTCGGACGCGTTGGGCAGAGCCGCGAAAACTGCGGCCGAGATGGGGGATCGAGCAAGTAAATAAGGAATCAATAGTAATGTTATGTTTTATTAATTACGATTATTTTGCGTTTATTTGAAGATTAAAAAAATGAAATGGGTGATCTTCTCTTGTATACGGTGTTGGTTGAAATCATAAGCTAATGTTATATAGCTTGACAGATTTCCCGTAATGAAAATTTAAAATCTCACAGTTTAAGGTAATTAACAATTTTAGCATGATATTGTATACTTTAATTACTAATTAATGATGATTTTATACGTAAGATACTAGAACACGTATGTCAACATAGTTTATTACCGTCATCCATTGCGGTCCCAACGATCCTACTTAATGTTCTCGTTTATTTGCACATATATATATATATATAAATAATTATGCATATGATACAATAAATTAACACAACTATATATATATATATAAATAATTATGCATATGATACAAGAAATTAATACAACTATATATATATATATACATATGTTGAAGAAAAGGGATGAACGAGCGCAGATATAAAAAGAGAGAGAGAGAGAGAGAGAGAGAGAGAGGTGAAGAATCCGAAGAAAGAGGAAGCAGGGCACATGGGAGCAGTGGAGCTAGTTGGAGATATTTCTTATTTTATATCTTCGATATTCGATTTTAAATTGCCAAATATTAAATAAATATTGTTGGAATCATTTTGGAGCAAACGAAGGATGTATAATTTCCCATATGGATAGGCATTATACTCTTAATATTTCCAATATATATGAGCATGTGATAGCCCTTGTCCTAGGCCAGGTGTCTAGAGCACTATATCGTAGGATCCACACCCATTGTACAATATTATATATGGTATATGCTCATACACATGTACATGCATGTATGTATGTATGTGGAAAATATACATGAACTACATATAATGTATAATATATTTTGCGTGTATATGTATAAGATAACACAGACATGACAAGTGGGAACTAGTGGTAGTGGGTATATCATTCACATCTACCTTGGATACTCATCAAATCTTTCCCATACAAAACTTTGTAGAGTGAAAAAAAGGCAAATCCCTCATCATTTGTGTAATCAATTCCTCATGTTATATATATATATATATATATATATTGTTTTACATTAATTAAACCTCTCTCTCTATATATATATATATATATATATATATATATATATACACATAGTAGTCATGTAACGGCAATATACGAGTAGGTGGCGTGTACACATTTACTATCTGGAAGAGAAACATTAATCTTCCTGTAGAATGTTTTCTCGAAAGCCAATGAGTGGTGTGGCGATGTCAACTGCAGCTTGGATGGTACATTTTTTGAAATAATAATAATAATAATAATAATAATAATAATATACAAAAACTGCAGAAAAATGTAACAAAAATAAAAAAAAAGGCAATAAAAATTAAAAGATTCACCCCATAAAATATACAATTAGCGATCTATGCGCTGATAGACACTAGCAAATCCTTAATTTCGCAGATTATAAATAATTATTTTATAATTAAATAATTAATAATTGAAAATTCGGAGTCTATTATGCAATATATATTCGGTTTAGCCATATTAAAATAATTTAATTAAGTCAAGCTCACCGTACGATAAAAATATTTTTATAGGCGACAGTCCCCTGATGGGTCGCCTACCTTCAAGGATGGGAGTATGGGTATCTCACTGCTCTTTAATTTAATTTTGTCGTCGGTTTAAAATTATATTGAACTTAATTTCGTGTTAATAACATCAGCAGCCGATTGGAATGACCAATGATATTATGTTATCGTAAAGTGTGTGTATTAGACTTATCAATAAACTGTTTTATTGAAATGTGTACATATCTTAACGACGCACGCCATTATAGTATATTTATTGAAAATAATAAAACACAATATATTACAATAAATTCCAAGTCTCCAACGCAGTAGTGTAGTACTAGTATATCGTATTTTTTTGGAGCTAACGTCAAAGTATTCGCTGTTCATGCTCTATAATCAGAAGATGTAAAAATATCATGTATTATTATTATTAGAATAAAAATATTTTAACCGTACTAATTAAAAAAAAGTACATAGTATAATGTTGACTACGGAGCCTGCAAAATGTGAATGTCTCCGGTATAATTGTGATACAGATAGATAGATCGTATCTATCCATTACAGCGAGTTAATTCCCTAGCTGCTGGATTCCATGTTCTTTTCTTATATATATATATAAAAGTTTATGTTATATTTATGAAGTGCTCAAACATTAACTGTGTTATAACCATGATCACATAGGAATAGAGACCACATGCATTCGGAGCTGGCAACTATCAAGAAAACATGAGTACTGTTGTTCTAACATATATACATGTATGTATACATGTAGTTTTTTTTTTCTAGAAAAGAAAAAACAACAGATACAGTTATATATGTTTTTCATGTATATATTAGTTGTTTTGTTGTTGTGTAAAGCTGTATTAATTTAAAGTTAAACAGTTAAGGAGGAGAAAATGGATGTCAAACATGCATGTGTGTTTGCCCAAGTGCCCCAGAAATGGAGAGAGAGAGAGAGAGAACTAAGTGGTATAAAGGACGAGTCCTAGAAAACTCCCATGAAGTGATCGATCTCTCCTCTCTCTCTCTCTCTCTCTCTCTCTCTCCATCTCTCTCCCATGTGTTCTTGGATATAGGGTATAAGCGAGGGTGAGAAAACACCAAAAACTCCAAGAACCCAACATCACACGCACACATATCTATCCTAAAGTGACTGGTAAATGAGTTTATGTATGATCGAGACAGCAGTATTAAGCAGCAGGATTGAGATTGAATATGGACTTTCCTCCTCACGGTTTTATGTTCCAGCAACTCCATCACGAAGACAATGGTGGTCACCACCTTACTTCTCCTCCCTCTCTCCCCTCTTGCCCCCCTCACCTCTTCCATGGTATATACAATCCTCTCTCTCTCAATTAACATATATCTTTATATATCGTTTTTTTATCTACGTATCATGTAAATATGTTTGGTGTTTTACCTATTGAATATCAAGTAAGATCTATATATCCAAATTGTTCTCGTGTGTCCCATATTCATATTTGCTAATAGGGGTAGGCGGAAACTACATGATGAACATGTCTATGTCGTTACTGGGCGCGGATCAAAACCAAAAAATCACGACAAACGGTCACGAGGAAGCGGAAGGAGATCTGTCGGACGAGGGATCACAGCTCTTGGGGGAGAAGAAGAAGAGACTTAACTTGGAACAAGTCAGGGCACTCGAGAAGAGCTTCGAATTGGGGAACAAGCTCGAGCCCGAGAGGAAGATCCAGCTGGCGAAGGCCTTAGGGCTTCAACCGAGACAGATCGCGATTTGGTTTCAGAACAGACGAGCCAGATGGAAGACGAAACAGCTCGAGTCTGACTATGGAGCCCTCAGGAAACAGTTCGAGGTTCTTAAAGCCGACAATGATGCTCTTCATGCCCAGAACAAGAAACTCAATGCCGAGGTACTGTATTATATCGTTAATTACTTTCATATATCTACATAATTATTCACCAATTACCATAGATATATACGTATAAACCATGAATATATGTATAGATACCTGGGAACATATATAGAGTGATTTAATAAAGAGTAGGACAGAGATCATTGTTAGGTGCTTGATCCAACACTCTTAAGATGTCTGTCATCAAAATGCAGTAAATTCCTTTGTTAAATATAAAAGATTCTTGATCAATATTTAATTAAACAATTGTTAAATACCAAAGGGCGTTTCACCTCAGTTGACATAACCATAACTTATGATACATATTTTTTATTTTTGTTCTAACACGAAATGAAAAGTGTCTAATAATTATTGGCTTAACAAATATGATGTTACAGTTACTGGCGCTAAGGAAAAAAGAGTGTAACGAAGGGAAGGCAAAGGGAGAAGCAGAGGTTTCATGGAGTAACAATGGAAGCAGAGAGAATGGTTCGGACATGACGACGACAAGGACACAAGTGAACATGATCAAAGATCTCTTCCCTTCGTCCATCATCAGATCAAACACGGCGACAGCGAACCAAATCGATCATCGGATGGCTCAAGAAGAGAGCTTCTGCAACATGTTCAATGGAATCGATGAAACGACGTCGGCTGGTTACTGGGCATGGCCTGATCAGCATCACCATCCCCTCCCCTTCAATTAGTCCCCTCGCCTATTTTCTCCTTTTATTTGATTTTGTTTTGTCCCATGATCATAAATCGTTTTCCGGTTGTAACATGAAGATGAAGAAGAAGATATATATCTGAAATATTTTTTTTCTCCTTTGAAATTTATTTATATATTACTGCTTTCAGTTGAAATTATTATATATTACTGTTTTCAGTTGAAGTCATCGGAAACTATTTCATTCTTGCATCTTCAGAGCACTATTAGATATTCCATTTCGTTTTCATTCTGGTGAATTTATATATATATATATATATATATATATATATTGGTTTGGTTTTATTATATTGCTAAGTTGGAAGCACAGTATTAAAACAGAAAACTCAACAAATAAATATAATAATAAAAATTAAGATGCATGTGCTATCGAGTGGGATTCCAGCTCTGCCATTCAACCAACCATGTAACCATGAAATATTTTTAAGATGGGATTTTCTTTCTCATATATATATATATATGGCGGAGAAGGATTATTTTAAGCACACATTCCAAAGACAGTATTGTATTGCCTTTTGGGGTTGTGGCGAAATTTTACATTTGAAGAGTTTGCATTCGGTTCGGTGCCAATAAACACAGCAAGATACTCGCGAAAAAAAAAAAAAAAAAAAAAAACTATAGAATCTAAATGTCTGAATCAACTCTTGTCGTCTTTGTTCACAAAACTAGTCGTGGTACTCGAAGAAGTGTTCTTGAAGATAGAAAACGGCAACTGCGACGACGTCTGTTCTGACGGCCCTCCCGTCTGAGGATTCCCCATATTCGACAGCAATAAGCTGCTGAAATACCCTCCACACCCTGCTTTGTTACTATTCGCCGTTTGTTGATTGCTTGGCGAATTGTTGATCTGTGCGTTCATCTTCTGTATCAGATTCTGCCCGTTTTGTTGATCCCCGTTCCCCGACCCAACCATTGTTGAGATGGCCGCAGCGATCACGGACTGGAAACTTGGGTCAGAAGTAAGTGCTTTTGTTAGGGTTTCGGTCAGTGTTTGTGGATTCTGTGTTGCTGGTTTAGCTATGTTTAGAGTATTAGGTTGTCCGGATTGGACATTGCTGTAGGGAACTAAGCTAGAATACGTGTACCCATTTGCGTTACCCCACATGGCGGGAAGATTGACTGCCGCCGAATCTGATGAAGAAGAGAAACTAAAGCTAGTGGAGGGGAATCTCCGTGAGGAAGTAGAGCTTGAGAATCTGTTGAAACTCAAAGAAGACAGCGAAGAAGACGGTGGCTGTGGAGCAGTGAGGTCTAGAGTGACGGTAGGGTGCAACGGAGAGAGAACGGTGGCGGCCGGGGAATAGAAGGGCTTATTGGCGAATCTTGAATTATCGTAGATATTGAAGTTGAAGCCAGTTCCGATCATCTCGGAAGCTGACGTGGTGGCGGTTGTCTGAGCTGACGCGGAGGATCCGGAGAGGAGCATGGAGGCGGCCGCCGAGGTGGTGGAGGCCATGGCGGTTGCCGACAGTGGGAGAGTGTGGTTGTGTGTTCCTTCGTAGGTTGTTATCAGTATGGACATGTCGTCTGCACATCTTTGAACCTGAAAACATTTCAGACTATTTTTAGATACCCATCTACGTAGTGGTGGCGTTTGTCTGAGCTGACGCGGAGGATCCGGAGAGGAGCATGGAGGCGGCCGCCGAGGTGGTGGAGGCCATGGCGGTTGCCGACAGTGGGAGAGTGTGGTTGTGTGTTCCTTCGTAGGTTGTTATCAGTATGGACATGTCGTCTGCACATCTTTGAACCTGAAAACATTTCAGACTATTTTTAGATACCCATCTACGTATATTAATTAATTGATATATAGATGTATATATATACCTGTTTTCTGACGGGGCAACCGGCTGCAACTGTGCAACGATAGTAAGCTCGTGGACATGGATTTCCTTTTGCGATCTTTTGTCCGTATTTCCTCCATTGGCATCCATCATTCATCTATAATTCAATAACATTAACATGTCATATACAATGAATGAAAATTAATCAAATATATATGTTGATAAAATGTATTTCCTATGAAATACGTACCGTTGGTGTGTCACATCTTGCTCTAACACAGACCCTAGCTCTCTTAACCTGATTTTGCTGACCAATATCATCTGCATCGCCATCAGGGCTTCTCTTCCCGGCAACTTTTCTTGGGGGCCAAGTTTCCGCCCCAGCTTCTTCCTCCTTGTTATTCCTCTCTTCCAAACTGTTTTCCCGGCTCGAGTTCACTACGTTCTCGGTAGATGCCCCTGTGTTCGGGCTAGGACCGTCGCTGCCAAACCCAAGAGTCAAGCCGGCTTTGGTCAGCTCTTCGTTCTCTATGGCTCCTGAGTTGGTTGAACCTATTTTCTCTTCTTTCTTGGAGATTGGGGAAGAACTTCTTCTCCCCAGGGAGAGCGACACGAGCTCATGTTCTTGGTCGGACGGACACAGATCTTGATCCGTAAGAGATTCTCGAACCGGCTTGGCTGAAGTTTTGTCCTGTCGGATTACGTCAAACAATCTGAGCTTGAGAGACTTGTAGTCGTTTTCGATCCTTTCGAGCATCATTTTCAGCCTCTCGTTCTCTTCCTTCACCTCGCTCATCTCTGCCTTGGCGGTCTCGAGTTCATAATCACCCTATCGAAAAATTTATTTTTTTAAAAAAGAAGTATCAATTTGTTTCTCCATCCATCCGGAGAATCTATCCCTACATTAAATCAACCAGCAAAAAAAAAAATATTTTTTTCGGCCGTTGGGTACCTCTTTCTTTCCGGTCATGTTATTGGTCTTGGAGGTGGGTGGAGATGAATGTCGACCGCTCTCGTGTCTTTGTTTTCGGAATCCGACCTATAATTCGTTCGCATAATTAAATAACGAAAGAGAGAATTCCATATTCATCATGGTGCACCAACATGAATTAAGGTCGAGAACCTGTACGAAGTGTATATATATTAAGGTCAACCAGCAAAAAAAAAAATCATCTTTTTTTCTCTAGCTAGGCAAGATTCAATAATTACAAATATCGAAAAGATAAATTTCTACAGGTAGAATTCTTATGCCGAATACTAATTTCAGAAACTATACCCGTATATATATATAAACACGGATAAATACATCATAACCTCAGTTACGTGATGCAATTGCAAACCATATATATATATATATGAAGGCGTATAATTATATATATAGGCATATACACGTATATGTTTAAGTAGATGATTGAAGAATCACCTTTCGGGTTTCATGGCCACATCCATCTTCAGGACAAGAAGCAGCAACATCATCTTTAACGGGAGAATCCGAACTCGGTAGGACTTCCATGGATCTTGTAACTAGAAGATCTCTGTCTTCTAATTAATTCTTGTCTGAAGATATTCTTCTTCTTGCGTTGTCTTCTTCTACCGAATCCATTTCATATTGCGCCCTTTACTTATAGCCAAAACAGATGCGTACATTGTCCAAGGGACCCAAATCGTCAACATCTCAACTTGTTCTTTGTTTTTATCTTTTAAAAAATCGTACATTATTCAACTCAACCACGAGGCGACGACCCTTTCGACCGTCGGATGCTTTTTTCTTCCAATCATATGTAATCCGAGTTATATATTTTAAGAGGGTAACGGGAAAACTAATTTAAATTCTTGACTTTGTTGATAATATATAATGAACCAAATGTAGATAAAATACGGATGTAACCATGTAATCGGACTATATATTATATATAATGCTGATGAGAGAGAGAGAGAGCCTAAATCTGCGGCGTCAACTAGAGATCGAAGAATGTGAAGAGGGGATATGGTTGAAGCTTCATGGAAGAAGAAGAAGACTTGTATCTCGTAGCCTCACATGGGCATTCGTCAACGCTTTAAACCCTATACTATTTGTTTAGTCCTCGCCCGATAAATGATATACATAATACATAATTTTATATGAATCGTTCTCAGCCTTATATATATATATTCATTCTGAAATTGTGTTTTCCCCAGAAAAAAATATATTTCATTTAATCTACGCATTATACAGACATGACACAGAACATGTCGATTCACTTTCATTTCCTATTTTAAAAGAAAATATTTCCAGTGATTTTAATATCCTTGTACTTAATTAAAATACATGTATATAATATCCCCCGATGTAATAGTTTCCTCCTATGCACATACAAATACATATAACTGTAAGCAGGCTTAATTATATATTTTTGGTGTTTAAAAATAGAAAAATAGTAAAGAGGATATAACAGCTTTAGAATATGGTATATTTGAAGATAATTGTTGCTCAATATTAAATTAATGAAATACTAACTCAAGTTAATTAAGTACAGACAAAATAAATATAAAGGAAATTAATTAAGACAAAGGCTGTAAAAACGGTTGTTTAATTTATTCCGGTCAATACGCTGCTTTCACACGGTAATTTTGCGTATATAAAAAACGTTTTACGATTATATATGGGATCTGATTCTACGAATATATGTACACATGCACATTTTAATAAACTCAACTTACGTCATTAATTTGATTTTTTAAACTTTAATCAGTATCGAAATGAAGATTTTCTTGTCAATGGTTTAATCCACTATTAATTCATATTAATGGTTAAGTAAACCATCGTGGTCTGAATGTGGCTAATTTTTTTTTATAACAAATGTAACAACTGCTTATCGTATTAATTATTAGTTACTTGATTAACTAGCATGTCCATTCACCTTTAAATGCGTACCTCAGTTACATATTTTCTATGACTTGGGCAGATTTTTTTAACGGAAATAATAACTTTGGAAAATTTATAGAATTAATACACATGAGATTTTCTTATTTCCCTGAGAATCTTAATTATACACTCTCATCTAATTGAGTAACATGATATGTTCATAAAAACATTTTCTGTTTCTACCTTTTCACCCAAAAAAAAATATTTTTGAAAAACAATCAAAGATAAGTCGTAGAGATTTTAATATTTTGACGTGGAAATTATATATTGATGGCTATAGAAAGTAGAGACTAATCGTCGCCCGATAGAAGACAAGAAACGTTTATGGAAGCTTTGGTCATATTTAGACAATCAAAAGTCTTTCATGCGTAATCAATATATTAATTAATGTAAGATAAGTTTGTTTTTATCTTGGTGTAATTAACTATAAAAGGACCAGCCATGAATATGATATGATCACATTACCTTCAACGATATTATTTAATCTTAATTTTATTATTATTTTTAAATAGGAAAATCAACGTTTCAACGGATAATAAGTTGTTGATCTTTCAGACAAATGGGTAATGAAAGGGTCAACTATATGGCATGTCTCTGCGACTTACTACCATTTAAGACAGATCGGACACTTTCACGACAGATCAGAGATCTTGACCCGAACTTTATTTAATTGATTTTTAATATTTTTTTGTTGAAGTGATTTTTAATATTTCAATATTTTTCTATAAATCAACATTAATATTGCATATTGCATATGGCATTCTCATCATTTTTATTGAAGAATATGAAATCTGTTATCTCTAACTATAAAGAGACTAGAGCGAAATAAATTAAATTTGTTTACAAATGTTTTTTTTTAAAATTTTATTAATAATGACGAAAGTTTCGTATGTATTTGCTAACCTTGATAGGTAATATTAATAATAAAATTTAAATATTTTGTGGGGGATAATTAATTGGGAAGTGACCTAAGGTCAATGTTTTGGGTTTAGACATTGAAATTAAGTTTAAGGCCAACTTGGAGATTCTCTATTGAAATTAGGGTCAATGGTTTTAGATTAGTCGTTGGACTAAATTATTTATTCATAGAGTAATTAAAATATAAGTTTGTAACAGAAATGTTAATTGTTAATTGTCGCGTTTAGGTTGTCCATCCCTATGCATTTATCTAAGCTCTTTGAATTTCAAATCATCTTCGGATTTTAAAATTGCTTTAATTAGCATCTTGATTCGAGTTGAAGGAATCATAGTAGTACATGTACAGCTACTGCTTCGCAGCCGGTTCAATTGTGGACCGGTTCAAATGCAATTGTTTTATACCAATTGGGTTAATAATAATGTCACGCAAATATTATGCTGTCTTATATGTATAAAATTCAAATTGGTTGAGCGTCCATGGCCACGGGATATCCGACTACTTCCAAACATTTATAGTTAAATATCCCAAAGACTTTGATAAATGGTTGCCAAATTATACAAAGCTTATGTATAGTCATTTGTAAGACGGGTTTATATTTAATATAGTTTAATTATTTATTTGGAACCGGTGCGTTGTGTAACCGCGCAACGTGGCGACAATTTAAGCTTGGACTCCATCAAAGATGTGTCGCTTCCAAAACGTTCAAGAAGGTTAACCATGCATGCATCTCATAGTAATACGCACCATATCTTAATAGAGTAAAAGCGTCCGAACTATCTCGACCTAATACTCTGGCTCAGCTAGAGTCTTCCTGATTGCAGGCATTACACAACAGACTGCGAATTCAGGAGGCGATGTGTATATAACTAATCGAACTTTACGTATATCTTCTTTACAATATATCCTAACATGCACCGACCATGCATGCATCTCATAGTATAACGAAAGGTCTAAATGAAACATTGCACACCTTGTCTCCTCATGTACTAAAACAGAGGGGGAGAGAGAGAACAAGGCTGAGGAATGAGAGACTGTATCAAAGTAGAAGCTCTACTGCCTTTTTTCACCGCCAGGTTCTTACCGTTTACAGTCCTCAAAAGAAAAAAAAAATTCTCAAAGTCAGAAACGACTCAGGCCACAACATTGTAAAGGTGTACAGTAAGGGGAGCAGATGCGATATAGTTTACGTCAAAGAAGTATATGCAATGTGGTACCTGAGAAATGGCTGAATGGGAAATCAAAGAAGTAGGTGCAATGACGTCCCTCGGGATCGGAGTAAGAGGGTCCAAGCACGTCCAGCACCGCACATGGTGTCTCTGCCGTGAACCGATGCATGTTTCCACCTTCTGCTGGGTACAAGATTGACGTTTTACCCAGAATAGATCGCAGCCGTTGGATTTTCTCGTCAGAGGGAACGATTCCTGGGCCGCAATCGGCAAAGACTTCTTTGCAAGTACTGAACAGCCGCCGCACCGGCAAAATCTCCGCCGCCGTCGGATTTTCTTCTTCTTCGAACTGCTTGGCGAATTCCCAAAAGTTGGGTTCGGATTTTTTGCCTTAAGCGAGTCAGCAGTCGGGCTCTTGAGTTTATTCTTCCCCAAAATCACTTCCTTTTGCAATTCTAAAAATTCCTTCTCTGTTTTCGTAGCGAAATTCACCTCATACCCCATGAATCACCGAAAAGGTTTGTTTTTTCCAGAATGAGATACCTAACTAATCAGAGTACCGCCGGAAGATCTTCGGGAAATCGCCGGAAAACGAAACAGTTGCGATCAGGGTATGGTAAAGATGCAAACAGGAGGGTTCACTTCCCGCGTGTTTGGGTCTCAATCTCTCTGGGGATGGATCAAAGACGAGGAATCGAAGAAGAAAGGATATAAAAGAGGAAAGAAAGAGAGCGGAAAGCGAAGAAACCATATCGAAAGAGGGGACAAAGGTTGGAGAAACAAAACCAGGGGCCATTTCTGGTTTCCTTCCTATGGGCTGTTCAGTTCAAACAGCGGATTTTTCTATCCGTTACGGGAGAAAAATTACGGCTAATTCCCGGTTTACGTTAACCGAGATAACTGTTGATCATTCTAGTGGGATGATTTTGTGATTGTTGTAAGCTTTTGGATAAATAAATAATATATGTAGATACATATAATGTGATGGGTGGAATATAGACGGGTTAATTGCAAGTTGATCCATTAGTTTCGGAAATGTCTGATTGACCCCTCCATCCCTACTTTTCTTGAGGTGAAATTCGTACAAGTTATCTTCTTCGGGAGGAAACTAACTATAAACTCAGGTAACAAGCGATCATAGAGGGACATTTAGCTTTGAAATTCTGATGTAATCGCCGGAGAGATCCGATACCGTCATCGGAGAACGGGATGGGAGCTCCGTTGCCGGCGAAGGCGGAAGAGGAGAGCTCCGCCACGAAGATCACCGACTTAGACTACGACGCTTTTGCTTCGCTCGTTTCCGGTACCTCTGTGACGTCAGCAACATGCCTATGGCGTCTAATCGGTCAGGCTTGCCGCTTACCACGACTCCATCTGAGCTCGATTCTTAAGGTTTTGGATTACCCATTTCTGATTGCGCTAATGTCTGCAAAAATTAGGATTTGGGATTTAGGGTTTCTGTGGGTACATATTCGTTTTTTGTTTCAACAATAGCGGGTGCTTTATTGGGTAAAGTACCTTCCTCGTCGCTTGGACAGTTTCCTGATTTCTCATAAAGCTAAAGACTTGTATTCGTTGATATGCGATGATATCATCACTTATCAAGTAACAACTAGCAAGATTGAGCTAAAGACTGGTTGAATTTTCACAACAAAGGCAAGATTTTCTGCTAGTTTCAACAAAATTTCGGAGTGATTCAAGAGAATCCAGTGTTTGGATTTGAACATCTGGTCGAGCTTGTGTAAGATCACTAGCTATGATGGCGTTGGTAGTTTGCCTTTCAGGCCTGTTACATGTTTGTGCTTAATTCCACAATGTAAGCGGTGACCGTTGGCCTAACCAACCAATCTTGGAATCGTTGGGTATGCGAGCGAGGAGCATTCTTGGGTAGGGAGTGGAGTTGCGCAAACTCAAATTTGAGGACCCATTTGTTGTGGAAGTTGATGCAGATAAACCCTTCGGACATACATAGTTGGATGTAGAAGATCTTTTCCCTGCACAGGTACATATGTTCTCCATATTTGTAATAAATTATGAAACTTATGAAACCCCATCGGCGTGTTTATGAGATATGAGTTATGGGTGGAGATGTGTCTTTTGCCAGCCTCAATGGCCACATTCAAGTGACAGTTATGGGTGGAGATGTGTCTTATGCCAGCCTCAATGGCCACAAATCAAGAGTCAATTGCATGAGGTAGAGAACAGGATAAATAGTAGCATTACTAATTTCAGTTATTGATGAGGATAGCGATGGTGAATCTAGTTACTGAGAACCCCAATGGTATTAGCATGGATGTGTGATCTCTCCATCTCAGGTTTTAGGGTTTTTTTATCTGTTGTCGCAGTGTAAAGCTTCTTTGAAAGATAAACAATGGTGATCTATTTTTGTTCTTTTAATTGCAGATGATGATGTTTATCTAGCTGATTCCGAGCGGAGTTCCATACGTGCCACAGGTCCGTATTATAGTTGCAAGTAAGTTCTTTCAAAGTTTTGGTAGTGAAGTTCTATGAACCGTTCTCCTGTGATTTTTGGTTTCAGATTTAAGTTAATGGTAGAAATACGGCATGGAGATGTAGATTACCAAGTAGTATTTCTTCTTAAACATAATGTTTGAATATTAAGAAACAAAACAAAACAAAAACACCAACAAAATGCAGTGAAGAATCAACAATGGATTAGAATCAAAGTATTAGAATCTCTTGGCACATTCCTTTTTTTTCCTCGTTTTTCTTGAAACAAGTACCCTCTCTAATCAGACATTTTTTTTTCATGTTTTCATGACCAACCAGTATCATCCTAAAAAAAGGCATGAAATGAGTAGCAGGTAGATTTAGCAAGGTCTGCCAACCTTGCAGTCCAATGCTCCGGCATACTTGGTTAGCATGGAGACCGCCAAGCCGTGCTTGGGCTTTATCATCTGTTGCCTTGTGTGCGTGCACCTGAAGTTAGGGTTACCAGATTGTCTAAAGAAGGCTCCGTTCATGAAAATGTCCCTCTCTGATCTCCAGTTCCAGTTCTTCCACTCGGCCTCAGGCGCATAGTCCCTCTTCGTCACCTATATACAAAAGAAATATATATATATGTATATACATGTAAGACATCAAGGAAGTTGAATGAGATGAAAAGAGGCAGGTAAGTTGGGGGGTGAACCTCCTTATACTGGGGAATATGAGGTGGAGCGATGAAACGGTTGCCGTGGCTGAGAATGGTTGGGCTTTGGCTTCCACCGATGGCGTAAAGCTCCCAGTGAGTGTAGTCATTGTTGACAACATGGACGAATCCCCATCTGACACGTGGCATCCTCTGCACCAGCCCTTTCCCAAAGTGGTTGTATGCCACTGTAACTTGCATCCTCTTGTCCTTGTCTATCACATTGTGTGCACCCAGCAACATCACCTTCAACCCAAAAGAAAAAAACCCTCGTAAGAAACATTCGCTCTGATTCATTTTTGCCCTTATTTCATTTGTTTGATCTGTTTGATTTGATGATTGATATAGATACATATGTGCATGTGCTTACGTCGTTGTGGTGGGTGAAGTGGGAGTTGGAGATGGTGATGCCTGTGGAACCATCAATGGCGTCAATGAGTCCATCTTGGCATCTGGACATGGAGACATGGTCAATCCAGATGTTGCTGGCCCCGAAGATGGAGAGGCCGTCGCCATCAGCCCTTGTCCTGAACCCATAATGATCAACGGAATCCCTGATCATACCGCCGTTGCTGGAGACAATGTGATGGATGTGAAGACCATGGATGATGATGTTGGTGACGAATTGCATGGTGATACCAGCTCCATAAGCGATGTGAACGTTTGCACCACGAGCATCGATGGTCTTGTGGCTGTTGATCATGAGCTCCTGCTGCAGCCTTATGTTCATGTCGTTCTTGAAGATGATCCATAGAGGTTCCTTCTGGATCACGGCATGACGTAGGGTTCCTGGTCTAGGGTTGATGAGGTCGTTGTCCAGGTTGCTTGTGACGACGTAGATGCGTCCGAGCTTTCCTCCGGTGGTTTTGTATCCGAAGCCGCGGACACAATCCGCGAGCTTCTGCCGGCGTCTGGCCCAGTCCGGCATGCAGCGCCAGCACTTGTCGATTGGGTTGCTTGCACTGCAAGGTCCTTTCAGCTTGCTCCATTTCCCTCGTCCTCTCCGGCCTCCTCTCAAGCTCCTTCTTGTGCTGTTGATCGAGCCGGTTAACATGGCGATCGAGTCCTCCTCCTCTTGATCATCCTGCCTCTCTGTCTCGATGTCCGTTGAGTTGCTGCAGATTTATAGACCGACCAAAACAATCGTAAATCCTCCGACACAATCTTGTGTTGGGTTCGTTTAAAGAACCAATGTTATAGTTCGTGTTCTGTCGGAAACATTTGAAGGGTGTAGTTTGCATGGGACAAACTCGGTTTTTGACGAAAAACCATACCGAGAAATTACCAATTTAATTCGGGTTTTTTTTTTTATTTTCAGAATCATAAACCTGTTGTGGTTCGTCCACTTCCTAACCGGTCCGGTCGGGTGATTGGACTTACTCGTAATGGCGTTCGTGGAAGTGGTCGACGATCTCAAAAGGGTCGGAATGGTAAGCCGCGAGGGAGTGCTTCTCAGCTTCCTCGGAGCGTTGTTGCCAATACTCGTCCAGTTCTGCAATGTTGGATCTAATGGCTGGAATCAAACTGGCAATACAAACCACACAGATCAAATGCAAAAGCCTAGCGCCCTCCATTTCTTTCTCTCTCTTTTTTTTATAATCTTCTCTTTTGACTTCGAAATCGAATTTCAAAAAAGAAGAAAAAAAGGTTGGAAAGCTTATGGAGAGCCGCTAAGCTTTGAAAATGGCATACGGATTCTGTATGATGAATCGTAATGCGAATTTGAGAGACGAGGAGGCCGGCGTTTAAATAATAAAGATGAAGGAGTTGGGGTCCGAATTTAGAAATTTGCCGCTAAGGATGGAGAGCCATCCCTTGTTTACTTGTTCGCTCGTGGACAGTTTTTCTCTTCTTTATATTTCCCTTCGTTTTTTACGTTCTATTTCCGATAAAAATAGCGCACACACTTTGTCTTTTGTCTTTTTTTTTTTAATTTTTAAATATAGAGTAATATGTTGTTAAATCTGTCCATTCTCGCTATGAATCAGTCATGTCGTACTCTAAAGAAGATCACTTCCACTTGTAACCATGCATGTGTTGAATACTATACAATGTGTGTGTATACATATATGTATGTAATTGTATTATGAATCACGTGGATATCGTCATCCATCCCACCATGTATATATTATAATGTTGAAAAAATATTAATATATGCATTTTAAAAAGTTATGAGTGCTACAAATGGTATTCTTGCATTTGATTTGAAATCCTTACATTGCTTGGTCCTATTAGTTACACTTTTAAATAAAAACTTGAAGGGCTTTGGGTTCTTTTCGCAGCTTTCAAATGCTGCAAGTTTATGATTCATCTAAAACGGTAAGCATTTTTCTTCTGCATTGCATGAAGCAAACTCAAAAGGAAGAAGCAACATCCATTTCTGGCCACACAAAAATAAAAAGACAAAACTCTCTATTTTGTTTCATAGATGCGATTACGTCCAAATCTTAAACCATATTTGGGATTTTTTTTATAACGTTCCATGTTTCGCTTCCTTCCCATTTCACTTAATTATTCCATGAATGTAGAGAATAGTTATGGAAACCTTTTTCGGCTTACTATTTATTTATATAATAAACATTCTGCATTTTTTTTTCATCGACGAGAATTGGAGTTTATTTCTTTAGGGGGAAAAAAATCAAAGGCTATATAGCACTAGACTTCTCTTGAGAATTTATAGGCCTTCTTTGTTCAGGCGAAAGACACATTAATTTGACTTCTTTTTTTTATCATCTCTCATTTTTATTTTTCCACTAATGGTGTATGATGGCCATAATTACGGGAATATATCTTTCTGTGGGATGTAACCGGGTGTATTAGAATTTATTTTATTTTATTTTTTGATAAAAGCAAAAAAGAATGAACATATATGTGAACCATTTTTTTTTGTCAAACCAGGAAGTTCACCTGAGCCTTCGGCTATGTGAACCATCTTTTGTTCCATCAATTCAACTTTCTCGCATCCATCTAAATTCCACCCAAATTTGGATGCTCGAACATGTAAAAACATATTTTTATCCCGAATTTAAATATAAACGCCGAAAAAAAAACATTCACCTGAAATTTTTCATTCTCTAATAGATGTAGGTAGACCAACTGTTTTGTGAATTTGCATATTATAAAAAAAATAAAACTTCTCGATCCATTCAATTTTTTATATTGTTAACAATAAGACTTTCTATTATCTTTTGTGTATTTGATTTATAGGATGACAAAATCTTTGTTTTTCTAAAATCATATTTAATTAATTAATTAAAACAAATAAAATCGGTCCTTCCTTTCTTCTCCATTTTTTTTGTCTCAACTAGGAAAGAAACCTTGATAATTAATTGTTATTTCATTTGAGTTTATATATTAGCCAAACGACAGCTCAAATATAACATTCGGATTTATTTACGTAATTACGATAAATAAAACCAAACTAAGTATAACATATTTCTAATTAAAGGTAAATTTTGTTAGTTTTCCTTTTTTTTTGTTTCAAGGTTGCTCGAATAAAACAAAAATTAAAACAGGCATTTCACAAAAATAACAAAAGAAAAAGAGGGAAAAAAAAACCAGAAAACAAAATCACAGAGTCATGCCTGGAATCAAGAACCCTGAATACGAAGACTTCTTCAATGAAAGGAAAAAAAATAAAGAAAAAGGCAAATGAAAAAAGAAACAAACCTTCGCCAACGCTTTCGGCTTTGCCCTATTATATATATATATATGTATATATATTTGCATAAATCATATATACACACTCCATCTACATATTCTTTAATTTCTTTTTTTTTCCTTGTGATTAATTAACATCAATATCCAGTTATGATCTCTTGGCTTGATGTCTACCATGTTGTTTCATCCACTGTTCCTCTGTACGTCACGATGATCTTAGGCTATGTCTCTGCGAAACATCTGAAGCTCTTCTCACCCGAACAATGCTCAGGCATCAACACATTCGTCTCGAAATTCTCCATCCCTTTGCTTTCTTTCCAAGTAATCTCTCAGAATAACCCTTACAAGATGAACCCTAGACTCATACTCTCGGATGCCCTCCAGAAGATCCTTGCCGCCGTGTCCTTGGCCGCCGTCGTGAGATTCTGGCGGCCCGCCGCGAGCGGAGGGAGGCTGGGCTTGATCATAACCGGGTTTTCCATATCCACGTTACCAAACACTCTGATCATCGGGATACCTATGCTGAGAGCCATGTACGGTGATGGATCCGTCGACTCTTTAGTGCAGATTATCGTTCTGCAGAGCCTGATTTGGTACAATCTCCTGCTTTTCCTGTTCGAGCTCAACGCCGCGAGATCATCTGTTGCCGCCAGAGTTCCCACAGAGCATAGAGGTAAATGAAGTATCAATTAATATCTCCTGTGTTTAGGGTTTGATAATAAGCTTCTTGGACACGAAACTCATCCGGATTTCTTCTGCTCCAAGGCAACGAGAACACAGATGCGGAACAAGAACCAAAAGAAGAAGAAGAAACAGTGTTGGCATACGATTCCAGCACAGGGAGAATCCTCTTGAAGGTCTGGAGAAAGCTCGTAAGAAATCCGAATAGTTATGCAACTTTGGCCGGACTCATTTGGGCCAGCATTCATTTCCGGTGAGATTCACTCAGAAAAAAAAAACTTCATCTTTTCTTATACATATATACACATACATATATATATATATATATATATATGCATATATGTGCGTGTGTGTTCTTAAAGATTCAATTTCGATCGGTTCCTAACGTGTAAAACTAGCTATTTTTCCAGATTGGGATGGGAAATGCCCGGAATGGTCGATGGATCCATACGTTTATTATCAGATGGAGGCCTCGGGATGGCGATGTTTAGCCTAGGTGAGAAGAAAACCAACCATTTTTTTTTTCTGTCGTTGAAGTTGAAAAAAAAAAAACCCTCTGAAAACCCTAAACCACGAGCAGGTCTATTCATGGCATCCCAAAGGAGCATCATAGCTTGCGGAAAACAAATGCTGGCGATAACTATGGTGTTGAAGTTTCTAATCGGACCGATCTTGATGGTCGCTTCTGCATTTGGCATCAGATTACACGGCACTCTCCTACGAACCATGATTTTGCAGGCAAGCGAGATCAAAAATATTTTCCACGTAATTAATATTTTTTTATTTTCTTTTATGATTTTATATATTTGCAGTCTGCATTGCCCCAAGGAATCGTACCTTTCGTCTTTGCAAAAGAGTATAATGTTTATCCAGAGATCGTTAGTACCGGGTACTTTGATTTTTTTTTTTTCGTTGGCCCCTAAATTTCGATTTGATTTTTTTTTTGGTTGCAACAAAATTTAATCCGAAGCTTTCGTGTGTTATTTTTTTTTCCTTTTGCAGGGTGATATTTGGGATGGTGGTTGCCTTACCAATTGCTTTGGCTTACTATTTCGTGATGGCCCTTTGAAAATGATTTAAATAAATTTTTTGGGGTTCTTTATGTTGCTGCCCTTTATTGTATTATAAATAGATGAATATTTTAATTATTTATGTTGTAAAGATTTGTTGTAAAGCAATAAGTTCGAATAGCTCATATTTATTCGAACGGTTCACAGGTCCCAAAAAAAAATAATGGAAATGGAGATTATTTCGATTTTTTTTTTTTTTTTTTTGTAAAATGGAGATACAAAACAGAGTCAAAGCGGAAAAAATAAAGACATATAAAAAAGGAAACAAACGTCACCCGCGCCGCTGGGGAATATTACTCAAATAACCCACTTGGGTCGCAGCAATTTCAGTGTACACCACCGGAAAAAAAAAAAAAATTTGCGACCTTATTACGACTAATATATAACTAATATACAACTTATTACGACTAATAAACTACTCTTATTTTAGTTATATATTAGTTATATATTAGTCGTAATAAGGTCGCAAATTTTTATTTTTTTTTCGGTGGTGTACCCTGAAATTGCTGCGACCCAAGTGGGTTATTAGGGTTAAAACCCGCGCCGCTGGCTGCCACGTGTGCAAAGAGGGGCCAAAAAAAATAATGAAAAAATTGGGTGTGGGTATTAGATCGACGGCTGTGGAGCGAGGAACACCGACCAAAGGTATCGATCCGACGGCTGATAAATTTTTGTTTCATCAGCAGGCAAAAAAAAAACCCCTCTCCGATAATAAAGAGAACTTAGGGTTTTCCCTTTGCCTTATATACGCCACATTTCCGGCATCCATTTCCTTTCTCGGTGCTCTCCGACTTCGATTCCAGAGGCGCAGAAGCTCCTAGAACTTCTTCCTCCTCAAGTAACCATGGCCAAGGGTCCCGGTCTTTACACCGAAATCGGCAAAAAAGCCAGAGGTATTCTCTCCCTCCTCTTCTCAATCCGTTCACTCGTATGTCTATGTGCCAGAGATTTTGTGTTTTTGATCGGGTAGCGACTAATCGCGATTCTATGTGGGTGTTTTGATCTGAATTTGGTTTGGATTCTCGCGAATTCTTGGCTTCTCTACCTGGATCTCTCACTGTCCATCTGTACTGGTGTCGTGCGTATATGCATACCTTTTCCGTGTTTGATCGAATAGCGACTTCCTGGACCTCTTCCGCGGATTAAGGGCCTGGGTTTTGTGTAGATTCGAATGTTTCGACGGATTCAGATTCTGGGATATATCGATAGGGTATTTCGGACTCTGATAGTTATCTATTGCTCCCATTTTGTGTTATTCTCCATGGGTATTCTTCACTTGTATTTTTTTGGGTTTGATTTCGATTCCTCTCGTGCTTTCATTGTCAATCTTGAAATGTCTATCACAAGAGTAGCTGTTTCGTGTTTTGGCGTTTATGTCCGTGGGAGCTTCTGTTGAGTGTATTTGTTTTATTGAGTTGTCTAATGTTGTGAATTTTATCGCCATGGGTTATAGATCTTCTCTACAAGGACTACCAGAGCGACCAGAAATTCTCTATCACCACCTACTCTCCTACCGGTGTTGTAAGTATCTTTTTTTCCTTCTTCATTTTGATGGTTTCTTTATCGGTTCCTCATGATGTTTGTGCATATGTATGTTTGATGGTTGTAATTGGCATATATCTTGAGTTTTAGTCTCTTGTGAGTTTCATCTTTGATTCTTTGCATGTGCCTGGATGAATGTTATATTGCACAACATTGTGTTTATATCATGACCATCTTTGCTTATGAACTGACTCGTCGTTTGTGATTCCTTTCACAATTTTAGGCCATCACTTCAACAGGAATCAAGAAAGGTGACCTATTTTTGGCTGATGTGGCTACCCAATTGAAGAACAAGAATATCACAACTGACATAAAAGTTGGCACGGATTCCACTGTAAGCAGCCCTCTCTAGCTACTTTTCATTTCTTCGAGACATTCGCAGTTCCTTCCCAGTAGTCTTTTGGTACCTTGCCCATTTCTCGTAGCTACATGGTGTTGATGATTGTTGACTCTGCATCCTTTTATCACCTGATCCAGCTTCTGACCACCATTACGGTTGATGAGCCTGCCCCTGGACTGAAGTCTATCTTTAGCTTCAAGGTGCCTGATCAGAGATCTGGCAAGGTATAATATAATGTTCATACCATCTTCTCTGGCTGCATTTTTTTTTCTGCTGGATGATATGATTCTCTCTTCACATCACTGTGCTATATCTTCAAACAGGTTGAGCTACAGTACTTGCATGACTATGCTGGCATCAGCACCAGCATCGGGTTGACAGCGAACCCAGTTGTCAACTTTTCTGGTGTTGTAGGCTCCAATGTCTTAGCTCTTGGTACCGATGTTTCCTTCGATACCAAAACTGGCAATTTCACCAAATGCAACGCTGGTCTGAGCTTCACGAAGGATGACTTGATTGCTTCCCTTACTCTGTAAGTACATATGTATCATTGGGGAAGCGGTTCTTAGGGAAAGTTTCAAAGTGATTAAGGGGTTTTGACAAGATAATATCATTTAATGATAGAGTTATTCAGAATAAAGGGGGATATATCACCAGAGTTTTGTTTTCTTGGATGTGTGGTAGGAATGACAAGGGTGACACATTGAACGGGTCATACTATCACATCGTGAACCCATTGAGCAACACAGCGGTAGGAGCGGAGGTGAGCCACAGCTTCTCGACCAACGAGAACACCATAACGGTGGGAACCCAGCATGCGCTTGACCCACTGACCACAGTGAAGGCACGCGTTAACAACACTGGCAAAGCGAGTGCACTGATCCAGCACGAGTGGCGTCCCAAGTCCTTCTTCACCATCTCTGGCGAGGTGGACACCAAGGCCATCGAGAAGAGCGCCAAGGTTGGCCTTGCCCTTGCCCTCAAGCCCTGAAACGCAGCGAGGGTAGCTTAGTAATGTCACATCCTTGCTCTCTCTCGTTCCCTTTTTTTTTGCTTTGGACAAGAAGAAAGCTCTTTTCCTAATCGTTCTTTGATCTCGTTGGGTGTCGGATTGTAGAAAATAAAAAGATTAAAAGGATCGTCTTCCTGATGAACCTACAAAGATCCTTCTGTCTTTGTTCTTTCACTGCTAAAAACTGGTTGGTGGAATTCTTTTTCCCGTCTTATCAGAAAACTGTTGTTCCTCTATCAAATTTACTTGTAATGTTTTGTCTTTATCTTTGTCTGAGATCGCTGGGGACCACCCTGTTGATGTGATCCAGTCTGTGTTTCGCCTTGCATTTGTTACTCCGCTGGATATTCGATTCCCTTATGGCATCTCTCTTCTATAATTCTCGGCGGCTTCTGGTTTTTCATTTTTAGGGTTCTCTTTCTTCTTCTATGATTTTCCCCCGTTACTTCAGGATATACTATCAACCCAATACTTTTGGGGTTTTTCATTGGATGCTTGGATATGCAATTTTTCTGGTTTGTGTTAGATTTGATCGACAACAATAATTGGGCTTCTGCCACGGTTAATCCGAATTGTTAGGCCCAAATTATAAGGCCCATAAGCCCAAGTCCTTAAAAAAGACTTCCACCGCCTAAAACTTTTGTATCTTACAGGCCGTTCCTTCGAGAATTCGAAATATCTTTGGGATGTTCCCTCCGGATCGTACTCTGTTCGGAGATCGTCGGTCGTGGCCGCGGGGTAGAAGCAGCACAAAAGCGACCGAAATGGCGTCCAACTTCTTCCGATGGAGCGCGATCTTACGCCTTTACCGTCCCGTTTTGAGGTGCTTTCGCGTCTCTTTTCTTTCATTTCGTTAATTTCTAGGTTTTTGTCGGTTGAATTTCGAAATCTGTCTGTAATCTAGGTTGTTTGATCCGATTTCTTCGCTTTCTTTCATTTTCTCGGGAAAATCTTCCGCTGATTTTGTCTCTGTAATGCTTGTCACGTTTTCTTGAGTGAACTATCTGGCTAAATAGTATAAATGCCGAGAACGACTTTAAAGGCGAGTGAAATAGCTACGCCTCCTAGATGCTGCATGTTTAGATTGTTCATGAAATCAACATTGGGGAAAATTAAAATGTAATCACATTTATCGTGCTCCTGAACGAGATTGTTTGTTGCAAACAATTGTATATGAATTTGCAAGGGCAATCTGTGATAACGAGTGAAACAACCCTAAAAATTACACGAATCCAATTATGCAGCAAAATTGTTTCAATTATTACGATGCAAATTGTAAACCTGTGTTATTTCTTGCGGTCTGTGAATGAATTAGTTTCCTGTAAATTCTTATTGGGAGTATGTGCATTGAGAAGGAGAAGGCATGTCTCTTAAGGAATATGATGCAACTAGCATATCAGCCTTTTACTATATTCAACATTTTTGCCATCTAATATATATGTAGCAGAATAGGTAGGTAAACTTTGCTTCCAGGGACCTGAATTTGTTTTTGATTTTTTTTTTTTTGTTTTGCAGACTATTGATAAGCCAAGTCAAGGCCGTGTGTCTCTGTAGGTCCACTTTGCTTCAAGAAGAAGGTGTGTTTCTTTCATTTCATCGATTCTATGTTTTTATCGGTTGATCTTCGAAATCTGTCTGAAATCTAGGCTGTTTGATCCCATTTATTCGCAAGGGAAATCTGTGATAATGAGTGAAGCAACCCTAAAAAATTACAAGAATCAATTATGCAGTAAAACTATTGTTTTAATTATTACAACATGGGTTGTAAACCTGTGTTATTTCTTGTGGTCAGTGAATGAATAAGTTTCTCTAAATACTTATTGAGAGTCTCATTCATGTGCTAAGCATCCATCAAAACAATAAGATGCAGAGTGGTTCTATTTGTAATATTCTGATACCTTTTATAGGTTGCTGTTTTTTGTCATTCATGCTTTTTTTTTATTGAGACGGAGAAGATGTGTCTGTTAAGCAATATGATGCAACTATTGAAAAGGAGAAGGTCAGCCTTTTACTATTATTTAATCTTTTTGCATTTGCTTCAAGAGACCGGAATTCGTTTTTTTTTGCAGGTTATTGATAAGCAAGTAAAGGCCATTTATATCTGTCACGGGAATGCATCCAGCCACATTAGATTTTTTATTTGCTTGAATGCTCGGATAATCTCGCGAACTGAGAACTTCATGGTTGGATGGTAAAAAACTCTGACCAATTTTTTATCCGTGTTCACTGGTATATATTGGTGTTCTACATTTGATCAAAGAGACGGATAATATCGATGTTCACGTGTGATGATGCAAGCAGGAAGTGATGGTTTCTGATGGTTCTTACCTAGTCTCCACTCCGAGCAGGATTCCTTCGCATTGGTCACCTTTTGTTGACAAAAAGGTATGCAATCGTTTTAAGATATGCTTCGAAATTCAATAATGCTCCGAGAATATGTTTTGTTTTGTGAGTTTATATGTTGAATGCATATGTCACCCCAAACTCCATTAAACGAAAGCCTTGGAGGAAAATTATCTGGTGATGAGGAGGGAATGCATACATGCGACTGTGCTGATGTCACCCCAAACTCTATTAACCCATGAAGGTTAGTAATCATTTTTGCTTGTATTATACATATATATATATATATATATATATATATATATATAT